TGTTGTTGTTGTTGTTGTTGTTGTTGTTGTTAATTCCCTGCCCATCTGGCTAGGTTTCCCCAGCCACTTGGGGCTGCTTCCAGCGCATATAAAAACATAATAAACGTCAAACATTAAAAACTTCCCAATACAATAACTTCCCCATACAAAACTTCCTGATCTAATAAGAACAAAAATACAAAACCAATTGTTTGCTCTGCCAAAGGCCTGGTTGTAGAGCAACCTTGTTGCCTGGCTCCTAAAGATATGTAGTGAAGGTGCCAGGCAAGCCTCCCCGGGGAGAGCTTTCCAGAAACAAGGAGCCACCGCAGAAAAGGCCCGTTCTCATATTGCTGCCCTCCAGACCTCTCGTGGGAGAAACATGCAAAGAAGGGCCACGGAGGAGGATCGCAGGGTCCAGGTTGGTTCTTATGGGGAGAGGAAGTCCTTGAGTGTCTTGAGCTGTGAGTGATGGCAAATGGGACCTGCAGCCAAATTTTGCAGGGTGCGAGCTAGTCATGCCTCCCCCCCCCCAGTATATTCCACCTCTCCCTCTGCCACCAGTTTTCCACTGAACACACACACAGTCTTGTGGATTCTCCCCTCTCGAGCCTTGATTCTACCACCCAACTTTTCTTGTATTTCTGCAAATGTTGAGATTCTCCCCCATCATCCTCTTGTCCCTTCTTTGGCTACCTAATAATTGGCTCCTGGAGAATTAAGTTTGTTATTAGTATACATGATGGATAACACCTTGTTCTGGAACTCCCATAATGCTTTGCTGGGTTAAATACAGTCTACTGGAACTCGATAATTTTGATTGGCGGTGCTCTGTTGGTCTTTTCTTTTCTTCTTTTTTCCTTGCCCATTTTTATCTTGTTAATCCCACTCTCGCTCCCTCTCCGCCCTCAAATGTTGGTGGTGTTTGTAGTATCGCTGCCGCCACCCAACAGTTCAATATTTATCTAGACTAGTGACCTCGATCCTGTCATTTAAAGGGATGCTGTTCCCCACTTCACCCTCCCTGGGTTGTCTGGCTGGATTGATGAGCCAAGAAAAGTGCCTGAATGAATTGGAGCCATCTGGACAGGCTGGCATAAAAAGTTGTGGCAGAGGGTTGGGGCGGTGGATGGGTGCTTAACGAGCCAGGCTCGGAGACACTGGCTCTAATACAATTAGGACGACAGAGCTGTTTAGTTACTTTTCACTGAAGCTTCAGGCACTGCCCGTTGACTCTTTACGTAGGCTTCTTCTGTGCTGTGGGTTAGGGGGTTTAGGCTGTAACCTTTGGCTCTAGGGCATGGCTGCAGCCTCCGCAGGTCCAGGTGAGATCAGTGCTTGGGATAGGAAACTTCCTGGAAACCCTATTGAAGTGGTGCAATTCGGTGGTTTTAGAATCTGGAATTGATGGTCTTATCACAGCAGTGGAGAACCTCTAGCCCGTGGGCCCATTCAGTCATTCAGTTTGTACACCACCCTTCATTTGAGGATCACAGGGTGGTTTACAATATAAAAGCACAAACTGTTGTTGTTATTAAAATTTCTATAACACCGTTCACCCGAGGATCACAATATAAAAACAGCTCCAGCTAACATGGTCAGTGGTCAGGGATGATGGGAGTTGGGAGTCCACAAGTGAGAGCCAGTGTGGTGTAGTGGTTAAGAGCAGTGGACTTGTAATCTGGTGAACCGGGTTCGCGTTCCCCGCTCCTCCACATGCAGCTGCTGGGTGACCTTGGGCTAGTCACACTTCTCTGAAGTCTCTCAGCCCCACTCACCTCACAGAGTGTTTGTTGTGAGGGAGGAAGGGAAAGGAGGTTGTTAGCCACTTTGAGACTCCTTAGGGTAGTGATAAAGCGGGATATCAAATCCAAACTCCTCCTCCTCCTCCTCCTCCTCACAAACATCTGGAGCAGGGGTCAGCAACCTTTTTCTGCTGTGGGCCGGTCCACTGTCCCTCAGACCATGTGGGGGGCCGGACTATATTTTGAAAAAGGATATGAACGAATTCCTATGCCCCACAAATAACCCAGAGATGCATTTTAAATAAAAGCACACATTCTACTCGTGTAGAAACACGCTGATTCCCGGACTCTATGCGGGCAGGATTGAGAAGGCGATTGGGCCGCATCCGGCTCCCGGTGCCTTAGGTTGCCTACCCCTGATCTGGAGGCACCATATTGCCTGTCCCCAGTGTAGAGTAATTTCTAACCCGACCCTTCCGGCCCCTGCCCCCTGGTCTCCATAAGAAGAGCCCTGTTGGATTGGACCAAAAGATTTATCTAGTCCAGCATGGCGTTCTCATGGTGGCCAAACACCTGCTTCTGGGAAGCCCACCAGCAGAATATGAGCATAATGGCCCTCTCCCTATCTGTGAAATGGGTATAATGATGACCTACCTCAAAGCAGAGGTTTAAGACCAGGATGGGGAACCCTGGAGCCCAGCAGATGTTGTCGGACTGCAAGTCCCATCGTCCTTGATCACATCTGGAGGGCCAGAGCTTCCCCATCCCTGATTTATGGCAAAACAGTAGAGTACAGCAGTCTTCTGTGAGATAAAAGTGCTACAAAAAGCGTTGCTTTTATTAATAATGATGGAAGGAGGATGGGCAAGTCGGTACACATCATGGAAAGAGATTTCAGGGGAGGCATCCAGAAAGAGAGCAGTAATTATGCGTTTCAAGTTCTTGCTTGCTTTATCCTCGACTCTTGGGGTGTGAATTATAATTTTAAAAGGGTACATAGCATGTCCAGGGCTGGATTTAGCTTTGATGAGACCTTAAGCTATTGAAGGTAATGGGGCCCTTTATATGTCCAGCTGTCCTTTGTCAACAACAAATTGTCGCTGTTTTTAGTGTTGAATATATGCTGTATTGTAATTTATGGACCTAATAGGTATCTAAAGACATTTGCACATAACAAAATAGGTATTTTATCAAAGTAATTGTTGAACTGAAATACAATTAAGAAGTATATTAATAGTGAAATAATTATTAAGCTCTAACTGTATGTAGGTTTTATTTTGTTTTTTATCTTATATTTTGGAAATGTACATGCAGTTTTTTCCCCTTTAATTTTTTGGGGGGGCCCCCAAGAGAGTGGGGCCCTAAGCTATAGCTTGCTTAGCTTATACGTAAATCCAGCACTGAGCACGTCAGGCTGAAGCAGAACCCCTGTGCTGAAGATTTCAGCCCCCCTTTAAAGCACTTGTGCCGGTCCCCACAAACCAACCTCGGTCTTCTGAAGATAAAGTTCAGGGATTGGTGGGTTACTAGGGAGGCCAGTCACCCAGAGCGAATGTCTTTGTGCAGCCTGAATTTGCTACACAAAGGAAGCAGTTGTAAGAGTACCTTTTTGCTTGTTGGGATGCAGAGGTGATTCTGCACTGCTCTCCCAATATGACAATAAGTGCTTGTGTGTATTTTTAGTGGGGTGTGTTATGATGACTGGAAGCCCAAGGAACCTGTATTTCCTGTTCCCCTTGCTTATTTCTGCATGGGAAGTGGCTCTCAAGTAGCTGAAGCTGTTTATTTAAGTGCCCATGTGCCCATTTGCATACATGGTACTGAGTTTAAGCCACTTATCTCCCTGGCTGGTGTGAACTGGCAGGGTTTTGGATGTGATGCTAGATCTACCACGCCACTCCTCTCCTGACCCCATGTAGGATTGCTCTGTCTGTGCTGTAAGAAATCTGTGGATGGGTAAAAGAATACTTATAAGCCTTCTGCAGGTTTAAAACTATAGTGGTACCTCAGGTTATAGACGCTTCAGTTTACAGACTCCACTAACCCAGAAATAGTACCTTGGGTTGAGAACTTTACCTCAGGATGAGAACGGAAATTGTGCGCTGGCAGCATGGTGGCAGTGGGAGGCCTCATTAGCTAAAGTGGTACCTCAGGTTAAGAACAGTTTCAGGTTAAGAACGGACCCCTGGAATGAATTAAGTTCTTAACCCAAGGTACCACTGTATATATCTGTCTCGTTTAAATCTCTTATTGGTAATACATTGTTAGCACCAGGACTTGTCAACAGCCCGGTTTTAGAAAGGCTTGGAAGGGGCGTCCTTATTGAACCGGCTTAACAAAGTTTGGCAATTGGCCCTGGCAAAGAAATTGACCAAGCAAAATACCACTAGCTGAAGTACAGAGACGCAGAGACTCATTTAAAACTCACCGGTACTGTTTTAATGAATAATAATAAAGGACTTCTGCAGGCAATCGAGACGTTTTTGATTGGTCTAGGACTCTAGGTTAAATAATAGTCTACATTTTAGACTTCTGACTGTGTGTTGTGCTGTGTTTTCAGTATATGCCTTGCAATGATTTTTTTTAAAAAATAAAAAATAAAAATCAAGTTACATACGTGTCTTCAAGTGAACCATGATTTAGCTTGCCAGGTATTCCAAATAACCAAGATTTGGAACCAAAGTTTGCATTTGGTAAAGGTAAAGGTAAAGGGACCCCTGACCATTAGGTCCAGTCGTGGCCGACTCTGGGGTTGCGACGCTCATCTTGCTTTATTGGCCAAGGGAGCCAGCGTACAGCTCATGTGGTCATGTGGCCAGCATGACTAAGCCGCTTCTGGCGAACCAGAGCAGCACACGGAAACGCCGTTTACCTTCCCGCCGGAGTGGTACCTATTTATCTACTTGCACTTTGATGTGCTTTCGAACTGCTAGGTTGGCAGGAGCAGGGACTGAGCAACGGGAGCTCACCCCATCGCAGGGATTCAAACCACCAACCTTCCGATTGGCAAGTCCTAGGCTCTGTGGTTTAACCCACAGCGCCACCCGTGTCCCTTTTGCATTTGGTAGCACCATTTAAAAGCCAGTCTGACTACTTCAGAAGCCTAAGCGGTGAGCAGTTGGTTAATGGAACACTTTTCATTAAATATTGTTGCCCTTAGTTTTCTAAAAGGTGTCCTTTGGAGTAGGCATCCCTTTGCCACCATCTTGAACTTGATAGCAATAGCTGCCAGCAAACTAATGCTGCCTTGTGTGTGTGTGTGTTGTCTACCTCCAGAGACGACAACTACTTACCGCACACCCCTTTACGGCCAGCCATCATGGTGGGGGGAAGATGATGAAAACAATAAGTTGGAGTCAGCAGATGACAGAAGGCCAGAAGAGCCGTATCCAGGTAAATATACCTGCTGCTTCTCTTTTCAACAGTTAAGGGTGAATAGTGTGAATAGGAACTTTATATAACTGTGACTTTATTTAATTGCATTAATTCATTTTCAATAATTTGCTGATGTTGTGTGCTTTAGCTGTATTCTACTGTGTTTGGTTTTTTTATTTATTTCAAACAATTTATATACCGTTTGATTGTGGGGGGGGACACACTTCAAGGCAGTTTACAAAAAAGATAAAGAAATAAAATGATCACTAAAAGATTTGCAACCATATTTTAAAACCTACAGAAAGTTAAAACTGCAATAGAATAGACTAAAACGGATTCAAACTCGTAGAAACTTTCAAAACTTCTGCGTAGACTTTGATTTTGATATTGTGATGTTTGCTGTTGGTTTTTTTTATGCTTCTGTTGTGATTGTTGTGAGCTGCTTTCTGCTTTGCGTTTGTTGTTGGAAAAGTGGAAGGCAAGTATTAAATAAAAAAAAATAAAAAGCTTTGATTTCAAATTAAAAGAATAAATAATACTTCCCCCTTTACCCCGCAGAGAGAACAAAAGACACAGGTCAGCACGGAGAGGAGATCAATGGGAACATCACCGGCTACAGCGATCCTCAAGGCGACTCTGTCTACGCCTTCCGAAGGGAGCCTAGTTACTTTGAAATCCCGACGAAAGAATTCCAGCAGCCGGTGAAAACTCCAGAGGCCCAGGTCCACGAAATCCCCACCAAAGACGTTGACGCGGTGGCGCTGCCCGTCGTGCAGAGCCACGCCTCTTTCACCATAGAGTTTGACGACTGCACCCCGGGTAAAATAAAGATAAAAGATCACGTCACCAAATTTTCGCTCAGGCAGAGAAGGAACCTCGGCAAAGAAGGGGGCCACGCGGAAATGATTTCGGCAGAGAGCAAAGTGGCCGATTGGCTGGTGCAGAATGATCCGAGTCTCATGAGGAGGCCGTCCCCGGGAGAGGACGTGTACAGTACGAAAAGCGACCTCCCAGTTCACGTCAGGACTCTGAAAGGTAAATGCCAGTGTTGCTAGAGTTGCTAGCTGTGGTCCAGGGCATTCGTTGGCTATAGATGCCTTCCTTATTCTTCTTTGAATGGATGGGGTGCATTTGAAATTACAGACATTTGGGATGTGAACTTGCACAGTTTGGAAATCCCTGCTACGGTGTGAACTTGAGTTTCATTCTATGCATTAGGCCCTTGTTCGTCATGGGGTTTGTCCTGCTACCGGCCATCTTTCTGTACCATTTCTCCCATCCTTCCAAGGATACTTACTCTTCCCAAAGCGAGGGAGGAGTTTCTTGGAGCTGGGTGGTCTAGCTTTTGGGCGTGCAAGAATTCTTGCAGGTCTGCTTATGCTAGCGAGTATGCTTGGGAGCATCATCCCACCAGGGTTCATGGGATTTGTAGTGTCCTGTGCATAGCTGTCAACCATCCCTTATTTGGCGGGAAACTCCCTTATCCCAGCGCCATATCCCGCTGCTGTCCCTTATTAATGATGTCCCTTAAATTTCCTGGGTTTCAAAGGAATCCGCTCCTCTCCTTCCCTCCCTGCTGGCCAAAAAGGAGGGAGGCTCCAACTGTGGTGCTTGGCTGCGTTGCTCACCCAATAAGGAATCTAAGAACGACTGGGGGATGGAGCTTGCATGCCTTGTGCCGATCAAATCGGCCGCATTGCCTGGGAACTCGCCTTTGCTCAGCGCTTCCCAGCGGAGAGGGGACGGTGGTTTCCCTTGCTGCATCCCCTTTGCCGGGATGCTGCACTGTGGGAACCACCGCTTGAGGCTTCGTTTGGCTGCTGGCTGGGCTTTCTGCCTTTGGCTCAGAAGTTGAACATACCTGTGCTTGGAAAATCCCTTGTTTTGGCTGCTGATCCCTTATTTTCGAGGTTGCTAGTCCCTTATTTTCAAATCTGTAAGTTGACAGCTATGGTCCTGTGACTCCTCACAAACATGAACTGGGAGGCACAGAAAGCCATGAACCCCAGCAGCAGATGTTGTCTACCTTTAAACAGAAGTCTGCAAGACCATTTGTGGTCTCAGCGAGTCCTCTCTGCCAGGAGTTTGCCTGTCCTTTGGAAGCATAGGTCTGCTTGGAAGTGGGGAGACAAGGAAGGGGAAGGGTTGCTTTCCTTGTATCCCTCCACCCAGAAAAGATTAGAAGCCCTTCTGGGGGACAGTTCACTGAGTAAGCTCAGAAAAAACAAGTTGTTTCCTAAGGGAAATAAACCATGTGCATGGTTAACCCATGGAATTCACATTCTCAAGATGTAGGTATGGCCACAGACTTGGATGGCTTAAAAAGAAGAGGGGACAAATTCATGGAAGATAAAGCTGTCATTGGATAATAGCTGCAATGACTATGTTCTGCATCTGCTGCTGCAGGCAGTATTCCTGCAAATCCCAGTTGCTGGGAATTGCAAATGGAGAGAAAGTGCTTTGGCCACCCAGGTCCTGCTTGCAAGATTAGATGGGCTCCTCTGTTGATGTTTGGGGCAGTGACACAGCAGTAAGTACTCTCTGTCCCAGGACAACTCTAATTGCACATCCACTTTGCAGGGAACAGGCATGAAGATGGAACTCAGAGCGACTCTGAAGACCCAGTAGCCCCCAAAGAGGATGAGACACCTAGTAAAGAACATCTGGCTGAGCAAGCCCGGCTCCAGCGCCAGATCCGCCGCGACCCCCAGGAGATGCTCCACAACCAGCAGGCCTTCGTCATCGAGTTCTTCGACGACGACACGCCTCGGAAGAAGAGGTCACAGTCCTTCACGCACAGCGGCCAGTCCAACCAGAACGACGTGGACCCCGCCTTGAAGACCAAGATTGAGAAGCGCAAGATTACCGTGCCCGCGGAGAAACCGGGGAGCTCTGTGCTCTCATCCCATCTGCCTGCGGCGGGAACCAAGGGGCCAAGCAACTCTTTCACAGCCCCCAGAGCTGGATCCTTTAAGCGGGAGAAGACGGAGGAGAGGATCAGCTCCTCCTCGTCGTCGAGGACCTCTGGAAAGAACCATGGCAGCGTGGGGAGAAAGTCGAAGATCGCTCAGGATTTTGCTGCGGAGTGTTTAAGGGAGAGCTCTCAAGCTGGGAAGGCTAGCGTTGAGAAGCCAGCCCCGACACCGGCACCGTTCACCCCGCGGGTTGTAGCACCGCCGCCGCCGCCACCAGCGCCCGAAATAGTCCCTGAGCCAGTGGCTGCCGATCCTAAGTTGGTCAAAGCGAGGAAGCAAGAGGAAGACGACAGCTTGAGTGAAACGGGCACGTATACCATTGAGACGGAGTCGCAAGATAAAGAAGTCGAAGAGGCTCGGAAAATGATCGATCAGGTGAGCCCGCCGTTCTTCAGAAAATTGAACTTTGCGTAGTTTGGCCCCTTTGATAGTTGCAGCAATTGCTGTAAACAGAGCAAGGCCCAGGGCAAATGTAATCATCATCATCATCATAATTTTTATTTATACCCCACCCTCCCCAGCCAAGGCTGGGTTCAGGACGGCTAACAAGCAATAATAAAAATAAGTTGAATGAATACAACTTAAAAACAAAATTAAAATACAACATTAAAATATTGAAACATTAAATTATTAAAATGTAGCCTCATCGCAGGAGGAGAAGGAAAAGAAAAAAGAAAGAGGGGGAGGGAATCAAATTGGCTCCAAGCCAAAGGCTAGGTGGAACAACTCTGACTTACAGGCCCTGCGGAAAGAAATCAGATCCTGCAGGGCCCTGGTCTCATGAGGCAGAGCGTTCCGCCAGTGTTGAAAAGGCCCTGGCTCTGGTTGAAGCTAATCTAACTTCCTTAGGGCCCAGGACCACTAGCGTGTTGCTATTTATGGACCTTGAGGCTCTCCGTGGGGCATACCGGGAGAGGCGGTCCCATAGGTACGGGGGTCCTAGGCCGTGAAGGGCTTTAAAGGTCAAAACCAGCACCTTGAACCTGACCCTGTACTCCACCTGGAGCCAGTGCAGCTGGAAAAGCACTGGATGAATGCGATCCCATGGCAGAGACCCCGTGAGGAGCCTCACTGCAGCATTCTGCACCCTCTGGAGTTTCTGGGACAGCTTCAAGGGCAGCCCCGTGTAGAGCGAATTACAGTAGTCAAGCCTGGAGGTGACCATCGCATGAATCATGCATCATAAATGTAATGCTTGTTGACCTCGTGGATAGGATATTCACTGTTTTGTTCTAAGCTGCCTCCCCCCCCCTTCTCTTGGGTTTATCAGGTGTTTGGCGTTTTGGAGTCTCCGGTATTTTCCAGAATTTCCCCTGCCTTCAGGCCCATCATAAAAGGTGAGAAGGAGGATCTGGCTCACTTGATGGGCGAAAATGGCTCAAGCCCCAAGGTTACCATGATGCAGGTCATCGCTTCCAAAGTTGCCAGTGAACATCACACGGAGATGCAGGTACAGTGAATGTGTGAAGGGCCCAGCTCTCACTTTGACTTTCCTTGCACTTGAGGGCAACTCGCATGCCTATTTCTGGTCCTCGTGGCCTGCGAAGGTTTTGTTTTGTTATTTACTGAACAAAATTGTAGACCTCATTGACTGGCCCTCAAACGAAAGACCAGTAAGTGATTTAGAAAAAACTTGTTTAAAATACTTATAGAAGCAAACCTTTAAAAACAAGTTACATGAAAAAGACTAGCAGGTGAAAGTAAGTGAGCGAGACTTTGCTAGTAACAATCACTATTTGTTCCCAAGTATTGCGCGGTGAATAATGCGGAAGCCCTGCCTGCAGGCTTGCAACCTAATGGAACTGTAAATCTTGCTAAAGCGCCGAAGGCAGTTTGGCGATGGTGCAGGCTTTGCAGAAGAGATCAGGGAACAAGACTTCAGTGCCCTTCATAGCTTGATACTCTTCTCCATGCTTTGCAGGAACAGAATAAATTATGTGAAATAAGCAGATATATTTGCATCATTTATACGGGTAGCAGAGTTTAGCACTTTCCTGAGCCTAGGTGGAACAGAGGGCACACGCAAGCCCTGCCTGCATGTCGAAACCTTCATAATTTAAAATTACCCAACAACAGTTAATTAGCTAGCTTTCGGCACCTGCTAAAAACTTCTTTGTTCAGCAAGCCTGCCCAGGCATGCAATTTGATTACATATCTGTATCTATGTTCTAAAGCTATTGATTTTGCTTATATTTTGATATGATTTCACGTCAATTTGATTTTATCAGCATTTTCAACAAATATTTTATATTGCTGTGTATCCGGGTTTTCCAAACTTTGTTCCCCAGCTGTTTTTAGACTACAACTCCCATCTTCCCTAGCTAGCAGGACCACAATGGTCAGAGATGATGGGAATTGTAGTCCCCCAAAAAAACAACAGATGCATATCTAAGTTTGGGACACCCTGCTCTACCTAAACCACTAAGAGCCTTTTGTCGAGTTAATCAGTGTATAGATCTTTTCCAATAAATGAAATAAATGAATATAATCCGGTTGGATCCAAATTTTGCTTACGTCTGAGTAGCCACATAGGGTTGAATTCAACATTGCACATTAGCATCATTCCATCGGCTCAAGAATTTCTGCGTGCCAAATCTCCCCTCCCCTCCCTCTGTGCGCTGTTCTGCACATTCTCCCACCCACCCCAAGCCAGTTTGGAGGGGGACATCGGGGAGGGGGAAAGCCCCATTGTGATAGCAGAACTTCTGCCAGCTCATGCTAGCGCAAATAATTACTTGAGTCTTGCCCCATAATGTATGCTTGTTTTCTGTGGATATCCTCAGGCAATGATGGGTTGTATCCAATTGTACACTGCCCTGGGATCTTTTTTTAATGAAGGGTGATTTTGAGTTTTTCAAAATAAACCAAGCAGACAAATAGCGCCTCTCTGGTTACAGAAGGCTCGAGGATCCAGGTATCATTTCTCTTCAAATATTATATATTGGCATAGCATAGCATTTCCTGCTGGGAACTGAGCCGTAGCAAATGTCGCCAAAAACAAAATGGCCAAATACTGTGCATTATGGTGAGAGTTTGTATGAACGGTGTGGGATTTCCCCTCCCCTCTCTATTTGCAGTTACCTCTGGCATCTCAAGGTGGTCAGAAATGGGTATCGAGATGGGCAAGCCTTGCAGATAGCTATACAGACTCAGGATCTGCTCCTGGAGTTGGGGACGCTCACCTGCAGGGCCCCCTCTCTCAGGCTGGCATAGGTAAGTACAGCACCTGGCGTCATTTTCACATTGCCAAAGGACTCTACCTAAAAAGGGACAGGTGACAAGCGCCCCTGGTTCTCTTTCCTCTTTCTGCTGCTTAGGCCCAATGTTTTATTCTGAGAGGTCTGTAGGGGGCAACACGAGAACGGGCCTTTTCTGCAGTGGCCCCCTGTTTGTGGAATGCTCTCCCCAGGGAGGTTCAGCTGTTGCCTTCATTATACACCTTTAGACGCCAGGTGAAAACATTCTTATTCAACCAGACCTTTGGTTGATTGACATCCAATGCCCTTTTAAATGGGTTGTGGGCGAGGGGATTATCGGTTTGTTTTTGTTCTTATTTTTATTGTGTACAGTAGTACCTTGGTTTTTGAACAGAATTCGTTCCGGGAGTCCGTTTGAAAACCAAAGTGCGGCTTCCAGTTGGCTGCAGGAGCGTCCTGCAGCCAATCAGAAGCTGCACCGGATGTTCGGCTTCTGAAAATTGTTTGAAAACCAGAACACTCACTTCTGGGTTTCTGTCGTTCGGGAGCCAATTTGTTCGGGAGCCAAGGCGTTCGGCTTCCAAGGTATGACTGCATTTTGTGTTCTTTATATTGTAATTTTATGTTGTAAACTGCCCTGAGATCTTTTGATGAAAGGTGGTATATCATCATCATCATCATTACTAAACTTCCTTTTTTGTTGTCTTCCGTAAATGTATTTTCTTTTTCTTTTTTTGTATATTTTTTCTGGGTTTGTTTTTTTTAACATATCATTTCCAACAATCATATAACATAATTTCTTATCTTATACAATGTTTTAGACTTCTGTCAATGCCTCTGATGCTTTTTTGTTCTTTATCACTTATTCTGCATTTCTTAATTTCTCTATTACTCTTAATTATTATTAACGAATAATTCTCCTCATAGTCATTCTTGCAATATTCCAGATAATCCTCCTTACAAAACTTCTTGCAGTCCTACTAGCGTAATCTGTTCATTACAATTACTTTTCAAATAGTTACTCCAGTCTTCTAAGAATCTCTGATCCCGCAGGTTTCGAACCCTTCCTGTTAATTTATCTAGTTCTGCATAGTCTCAGTAAATGTATTTTCATTCCCCTTAGAAAAGGACTGCTGTCCCAGAGTGGCAGAGTCTGAGAGCTCCCTGGCGTTACGGACGAGGCGTCTTCTTCCTCAGCTCCCACCGGGTGACAAGCCGGAAAGCCCTACGCCAACCATTTTGATTTGTCCAGAGGCATATTCCGACGTTTCACCAAGGAACGCTGCTAACAGCCACGTAGCAGAAATGTTTGTGGATCCTGCCAGCCGACTGGCGGTCCGGGAAGATTTGGATCCTGATAGCCTTAGTGACGCCAGCAAATCTGACGACGGATTTGGCTTGGAAAGACGAAGGAAGAGCCACAACAGCACCAAAACATTGGAGCAGAACCAGGGAAAGGCGGAAAACGTGAAAGCCAAAAACCACCAGCACACGGTGCCGAAACTTTCGGGTCTGAGAGCATCCAGCGACCCGCTGTCGACATCTTTCTATATTGGCGACGATGAAGAGGAAGTCGGGGTTCCTTCGAAACTTCCTCCCAGCATTTCTCCTACTCAGGCGGAAAAAGAAGAGGCTCTTTTCAAGTGTGGGAAGCCGGCGGCCAAAGGTGTCAGCAATACCTACGTCAGCTCCAACGGGAAAATGGTGATTTCGTTGCACCAGGGGCTTCCGATTCCGGAGCAAGAAGTTGCGGCTGCGAAAGAAGCGTCGTCCTTTGTCCGGCAGGAAAGCTTTACCAAAGAGAAATCGAGCAGCAACGTTCCTCAAAACCGGCTGCCGCATATCTCAAGCCACCCTCTGCTCAAAGATCTCGATGTCACCCGAGCAAATCGCATGGACTATAACCCAGACACCCACCTCCTCCTTAAAGATACCGAAACTGCTCTGGCCGCCCTGGAAGCCAAAATACTCTGCCAAACCAACCAGCTCGACACTCTGGAGAATTCGCCGGGGCAGTTGGAAGACTCCTTGTCCGGAGAATCTGACGTGGACACGGCTAGCACCGTCAGCTTGGTGAGCGGCAAAAACTTGCCCAGCCACTCGCCGAAGGGCAAAGCTGTGACAACCTCGCAAAAAGAGAAGACTTCTCCCACGCCTTCTGCCCAAGATCAGAGTCTTCAACCCAGCGCAAGGGAGAGGCTTTCAGAGAAGCGGAAAACTCTTCCGCTTGAGGCAGGGAGCAAAGGCGAAAACGCGAGGCGCTTCCAAGTGAAGCGTAGCCCAGGGACCGGAGGCTCCCTGGACTATACAGATGATGAACGAAGTAGCAGCCTCCCATATCTGCCGGCGAATGAAATCGCCTCGTCTGACCATGAGCAATCCACTTCGAGGCCTATCTCCAGGAAGAAGCCCTTCTCGCAGTCCACCAAAGAGGAGCACAGCAAAGTGACGCCCACGGTGCAAAAGATCCAGCAGGTTCTTACCAGGTCCAATAGTTTGTCTACGCCGAGGCCCACCAGAGCCTCCAAACTTCGCCGGGCCCGGCTGGGGGACACCTCGGACAACGAGAGCGCCGATACCGAGAAAGCGACGCCTCACCACGAAGGAACGGCGGCGCCTTCCAAGCAGCCGGCGGAGGCCAAGAAGCTGTCGAGGCTCGACATCCTGGCCATGCCGAGGAAACGGGCGGGGTCTTTCACGGTGCCGAGCGACTCGGAGAGCGCGCCAACCAGGCCGACGTTCTCCGGGCGCAGCGCAGAGTCGTATTATTCTACCCGGAAGCCCCCCGTGTCGGAAGCCAGGAACGCCGCTAGGAAAACGGCGGCGGCAGTTGCTGCTTCGAAGCAGCCTTTCAGCAGGACACGCTCCAGCAGTGTCAAATACTCCTCTTCTTCTAGTGAGTAACTGTGTGTGTGTGTGTGTGTGTGTGTGTAGTGCTTGATTCTGCCATTGCTTGGAGGTAGAGCATCTCTTTTGCGTGCAGAATGGTCCCCAGGTTTGATCCCCAGCATCTCCAGGTAGGGCTGGGGAAGAGTCACTTGTCTGAAATGGCGGAGGGCTGCTGCCAGTCAGTGTAGACCCTACTGAACTACATGCACCCAAGAGTCTGACTGCGCAGGGGTTCCCCAAACTTGGGTTTCCAGATGATTCTGGACCACAACTCCCAGGGATTGTGGGAACTGGTAGTCCAAAAACAGCTGGAGACCCAAGTTTGGGAAACCCTGGACTATGCTATAAGGCAACTTCCTGTGTTTCCACATGTGTTTTCCATTAAAAAAATTCCAAGCCAGAAGAAAACAATTTGGAAATAAATCTGCAGCCCTTTGCAACAGATACAGAGCCCTGTACTTTTTAAATGTTAAGCGCTGGGATTTTATAACCCAAAGAGAGTTGCCTTCTCCCTTGGTTTGTATCTGTGGCGAAATTTGGCTGCCATTGCAATGCAGAAGCTCTGATAGCCCAACATCTGGTAATTCTCTAGCATAACCCAGCTTGATAGCTTCCTGAATCATCTGGTGGTATAGACAGAAAACGCTGAACTGGGGTGGACTCTTGGCTTGTTGCAATAAGGTAATTATTATATACTCTCAGTGCCCTTGCTTTGAATTGTTCTGTGACCTCTGAATACTCACTAGCTGCTTGTTCTTACGTCAGGCTTGCCTCGTCGCTTGCGGTGAGTACAGATCTTCTCCTGGCAACCAGACAGGGGAACTTGTGGAATTGCAGGAAGGTTAGAGTTTGAAACTTTTCAGCCAGCAATGTGCTAATCAGTCACAAACATTTCTTAGGCTAGTAAAATACTTGTGGACCAGCAATTTTTGCAGAACTTTCTTTTCGCAAGGCTATCTTCAGTAGGTTATTTTTTTCGCTCTACGTAAAGTCAGATCTTCAGAGGAAAATGTTTTGTATGTCTGTTTTGGGTGGGTGGGACACAAGGCATGTAATCATTAGGATTATAACTTTTTGACTCCCCTCCCAAAAAAACACAATTTCCTGTATCATAAAGGGATGAACTTTTGCTTAGAAACACTGAAAAAGGGACTAATTTTCCTCAGTTGTAAAAAAAAAAAAGGGGGGGGTCACCCCAAAATGAAAAGTTGGGCTCACCATATATGTAACCGTTGCTACTCATATTAGTATTAGCACTTTTAAAAAGTTTATGGAACTGTGTAGAACTTTTACAGCTGCCTGGAACTTCCTGAAACTGTGTTGGAGAATCACTGGAAGCAGGAGCCATCCATGCTCCAGATACCAAGAAATAATCAGTGTGCAGAATGTGCAGTCAAAGTGATGCGGGAACTTTATGGTTCTTGCAACGGAAACAAAGGCAAACTGCAACCTTGATTGATTCTAAGCAATAATGTACATTGTACAAAACATTGTACAAGTATTAGAAAGTTTGCAAGCCCTATTTTTCCTGTGTACATGCTATGTATATAACATAATACATTGTACAGTTACATATACAAAAAATGATTTATTGATTTCGGGGTCACCTTTCTTTTCAAAAGATTTGGAAATGACAGTTCATTCCTTTGTTTTTAGGGGAAAGTTCATCTAACTAATCTACAGGAACACGAGGTTGTAAAAAAGGTTTATAACCCTAGTAATCATATGTCTTGTCAGACGTTTGCAAGCTGCAAGAGTCGCCCTGCATTAATTCCCCACCCATCTGCATTGAACATGGGGAAAATAGTCCATCTGATGTAGAGCACAGCTGGGGAATGTCTGGCCCTCCAGGTGTTCTCGGGACACAGCTTCAAACAACCCTGGCCATTGGCCATGCTGACTGAGGCTGATAGGAATGGGACTCCCAACAGCATCCTGCAAACTGACCTCCCCCTCTTCCCAGGAGTTAATTCCTATTACTTTTCATTCAGCACAAGCACAAACTGAGATTGCAGGAAGTTCCTTTGACCTGATGTACTCCTAGCGGCTGAGCCCTGGGTGATGCAGTTCCTTTTAATTTATGAGTAGCTGCCGCTTGTTGCTGGATAGTGCTTAAGCCGTTCACCGCTACAATGATTTAAACTTTGCAGATGACACTGTGATTTAATGGTGCTGTGTGCATAATAAAGCGGGGATCGCGGTGTGCATTGTTGGTACTGCAGAGCTGAAGTGGTTTAATCGCCATGACTTCCCTCGAGGAACACCGCCGAGTCACGTTTGCTGAGAGACGATGGCCCATCCTAACCGTGTCTAATCTTGTTCCAAATGAATTGGTTTTGTCTTCCATTTCCTTTGCCCCAACGGCTAACCGGGTTTTAGTGCCAAATTAACCTTGGGAGTTACTACGCATCAGTATACGACTAACACGACTAACCTACTAATTCCACAGGGGTTATGGACCTTGTGCAGGCGTTATGCTTGGTTCTCATGTCATAGATGGTGCCAGGTGTGGGACACATAAGGGCAGGCCCTGGCGGAAAGGCTGTGCCTGCAAAACCCTTTGGGTAGCACATCCCAAGTACTGACAATTGGCTTGTTTTGGGGCAGTGCAGAAGCGCTTTGCAAGCCCTGTGCTTGTCACTTGGGGAGCACTGAGCATGGGGCTTGCAAAGTGATCCATGCTGCGCTTGCAAAGCCCCTTTTGGCCAAGCCTCGTCCTTACCTTTCCCATGCCTGATGTCATACAAAATATCAGAGGTGGAGCATGTTGGTCGTGGTTCGGCTGAAACAGCCTTTTGGGCCAAATGGGGAGGGCTGGTGGGCCCAATTTGGCTCATGGGCTGGAGGTTCCCCACTGTTTACACTCACACTCAGAGTCTGGGAGAGGAGATTGTGGCCACTTTGCTCCTCGCTGCTTGTCCCACTGTTGTGCTGAGCTATGCCTTAGCATGCCTTCCAAAGCCAGGCTTGTGGATTAGCTTTCTCCAGGCGCTCTCAGGGGTAGAACATCTGCTTTGTACACAGGAGATCCTTGGTTCAATCCCAGCATCGCCAGGAGAGAACCCTGCCTCAGTTCTTGGAGACTCGGTCTGTGTAGACAATAATGAGCTAGATTGACTCAAATGGTCTGATTCAGTTTAAGGCAGTTTCATATGATCCTGTGGGCTCTGCGCAGCAGCAGAATGACCAGGGGTGAGCAAAGCGGTCGCAGTCTCCTCTACCAGAGCCTGTGCAAGAGCACTAAGCCAAGGTTTGGCGTGGTGTGTTGTGCAAACCAGACGACAGTGTTCCAGCTTCCCAGTTATGTGTCTTTTTTCTCGTGAGCAAATGGATAAGAGAAAAAAGTCAACATGGAGAAATGTAAACACCGCAAAGCAGCTGATAATCACTTATCAGAATTGGTGCACTCTGATAAAGCACAATAACTTTGAAGCTGAAAAAAGGATCTTTCCGTAGCCCGGGAAAAGAATTTCCAGGGAAACAAAATGAGTGGTTTCTCTCCCCTTGACCAGGAACATCTGTTTTGGGTGTATAAGGGTGTTGCCTGTAAACTGCAGCCAAATGCGGCATGTAAATGCTGCAGGGCAAACCCAGGGATCTCATGGAAATAATTATGACCATGAACATGATGTGAGCAATCTCCAAATGGGGCTGCCCTTCTGGTTGAAGTTTCCTCTTTCACTTGGCTGAGCTTGTTTACACAGTCGATAATCCCGAGGCAATTAATACTCATGGAGCTGTTAAATGGTGTGCATGAAGCAAGTCAAAAGTAAGGGAAGATCCCTCTGGAACCACCAGGCCTCTGAATTTGCCACTGTTCTATCTCAAGGCAAATAACCACATATAGTAACTTAGCATGGCTCGTTTCGTTGGGTGTGAAGAGATGCGGCGGAAGTTCAGGGGGAAGGCCCCTAGCTCAGTGGTAGAGCACCTGTTTGGCATGCAGAACGTCCCAGGTTCTATCCACAGCAAGAGGGCTAGGAAAGACCCCTGTCTCCTGAAGCCCTGGGAGAGCAGTTTCCAGTCAGAGTTGACAATAATAGATGGGCCAGTGATCTGGCTTGCTGGAAGGCAGCTTATGATATTGGAAAGAACCTTCTCCAGTGTGGTGCCTTCCACATATTTTGGGCTACCCCAGCCAGCATTGTGCAAATTTCAATCAGGAGATCTTTTATGGAACAGACTCATAGGATGGTAGAGTTGGAAGTGAGCCCTAGGGTCATCGAGTCCAACCCCCTGCAATGCAGGAATCTCGGCTAAAGCATCCATGACAGATGGCCACCCAACGACCCTTGGGAGGTTGTGGACTCTCCTTCCTTGGAGGTTTCTAAGCAGAGGTTGGATGCCTGTCATGGATGCTTTAGTTGAGATTCCTGCATTGCAGGGGTTGGACCAGATGATCCTTGTGGTCTCTTCCAACTCTACCATTCTATGATTTTATGATGCCTTCAGGGCTGATGGGAGTTTTAGTCCAAAACATCTGAAGGGTACCAGGTTCAGGAAGGCTTTTTTAGAATGTAAGTAAGCAGGCCGTGAGTGGTATGATGGTGCTCCAGCTTTAGGGACCCTGGCCTAAATCAGGGGTTGGGAACCTGCCGAGAAGGGAAATAGCCCAGTGGTGTAGAACATCTGCATTGCAGGTTCAATCTCCTAGGTTCAATTTCTGGCCTCTTCAGTTAGAGCTAGAAGAAACTCCCTGCCAGAAACCCTGCCAGTCAGTGAAGACAACCGTGAGATAGATGGACCAAATGTACTCACTCGTACACAACTTCATCTGTTTATTGGGAGGAAAGTGTGTTTGGATGTACAGTACCTGATGCAAGCACCTCAACCCCTCTACTCCTCACCCTTCATACCATTTGTGCCCATCATTAAATTTGAGAACCACTGGATTAAGGATGACAACACTGGATCTCTGTAAACAGACCAGGGGTTTCCTGAGTGTGTAAACAAGCCAGCTGTTTCTGCTCTCCATCTTGGAAGTCCTTAACCTGTGTGGAAATGAAGTCACCTGAACTGGTGACACCTGGGGGGGACACCTGGAAGTCTAACCTGCCTGACGGTTCCTCCTGGGGCCTCCTGTGCATGTGGCGATTCAGGACCACACCCCACGCTGGAAAATCCCTCCAGTGGAAGGCGCTTCCGTACAGGGATTCACGCAAGGTGCCTTCCACACAGGAAATTTGTAACATGAGCGTATACATTTTGCCACCATAGAATTGCAGCAGCCTTCTCTGTTGCGACTGGTTAATTTGTGGAAGCGGAGGGCGGGTACAAATGGCCATTTTGCCAAAAAAATTATCACACGTCTGCACCTGATCTGTGGTTAAAAAATTCTCCTTACTATTTGACTGGCTGGTGGAAATAGCCCTCCACTGTTGCTGTGACCACAGGGTAAGCTCTCTCTTTCCCCAAATGTTGTGTGGCTGCCTTTATCTTCCTTGCCTTATTCATGTGCCAGAGAAACAAAACTTTAATGTCTGAATAAGAGGGCAATGGGGCTTCACCCTAGACACAGCCCTCAGTATTATCTGCCCGCTTGGCTTCACCCCTCCAAACGTCCGCCTGTCAGGCAGAAATCTGAAGGTGGAGCCAGCTGTCCTCACATAGGTTCCTTGACGTGATCCAAATGGGCATGTGGTACCATATTCTCACTCGTCTCCCCACTAATGCTTTTAAGGCTGAAGTGGGGGGCAGGATCTGGCCAATGGGACCAAGTCTGACAGGTTTGTGGGGGAAGCCTGAGAGGCCCAGGTTAGACCCTCAGGTTGTCCCTATGCTACAAATGAGCTCCTGTCAAGGGAGCCACATATTTTATTATCTGTTTAAGCAACTTATATGCCGCTTAACTGCAGTAGTCCCTTAATCCGTTTACAAAGGGGCAATGCGAAAGAAATGAAAACCTGTTAAATCTATAAAATTCCAACGTCAGTCACTTAAAGATCAGGTGCGGAAGTGTGATAACGTTATATGGTGGTTGTTGTTTTTTTAAAAAAGGTGGCATCTGTATTCGCCCACAGTAAAAATGCAAACAATTCCATCTTTTTATTCCTCCAAAGTTCTCTCCATTTGGTGGGATGCACAGGAGTTTCCTAGTTCACCTTCCTGCTCCTCCTGCTCCTTGGGCTGTTTTTGCATTCACGGTTTTTTGCTTGTTTCTTAACCTTTTGAAGCCCGTCTCAAAAGTCTTTTTCTTTGCCTTCTCTCCTTCCTATTCTTCTTCCCCACCACCACCGCCCGAAACCAATTCATTTCTTATAAGCTTCAAGGCGGCGGCCGCAGGGCTCAGATTACACTTCTACTTCCGAGGAGGAGTATGGCTCAAACCACAGCTCCCCTAAACACAAACGCTCCCATACTTCAACAGCCACCCAGACGCCCAGGACCCGGGGCTCCGGCCTGAATAAACAGAAGCACACCAACAGCAGGGAGACGGAAGACGAAGACTACGATGACCATGACCCCTACAACTTCATCGCGCAGACGGCGGAGATTGCCGAAATCGCCAGGTGAGAGATGGGTTGCGGCAGCGTGTTGAGCCGTTGGAACCTAAACCATTGGTGGCACGCTGTGGGTCAGGTGAGAAGAGAAGGTAGGAATGAATGGGGTGGGGGAAAATATTGTGTAGTGTTATGCAAGGTAGAAAGAGCTGGGCTCAGGGGTCGGCAAACATTTTCAGCAGGGGGCCGGTCCACTGTCCCTCAGACCTTGGTGGGCGGCCAGACTATATTTTGAAAATAATAATAATAAAAAATGAACGAATTCCTATGCACACTACACATATTTTATTTTGTTATTATGGTCACAGACCAGTTCCGGCTCCAGACAGCCTGCCCAAGATGGACACACTGGGAAACCTCCAGTCTCTGTTCACAACTAAGGGCAGCGGGGCAGGACAGTTCTCTTGCATTGCCAATGGCTCTCAATGGCCCTGTATCGCTTCTTAGTGGCCCTAGCATGGCCAGGTCTTTTTGCATATTCTAGCCCAGGAATTCCTCTGTAGTTTGTATTTCGCCCTTCACATCCCAAATCATCAAAATCCTACCATTTATTAATTTCTTGGCTTTAGCCCTGCCCCCCAAATCTATAACAATACATTTAAAGCCCACCCCACTTCTAACAGTCGTGGCTCCCCCCCCCCAAGAATTATGGGAGCTGTAGTTTGTTAAGGGTGCTGAGAGGTGTTAGGGGACCCCTGTTCCTCTCACAGAGCCACAATTCCCAGTGTTGCCTGGAGAGAGGAACCTCCCTTGGGAAGTTGTGGACTCTCCTTCCTTGGAGGCTTTTAAGCAGAGGTTAGATGGCCATCTGTCATGGATGCTTGAGCTGAGATTGCAAGGGGTTGGACTAGATGACCCTTGGGGTCCCTTCCAAGTCTACAATTCTAGGATTCTGTGATTGATAACCACTCTGGGAATTGTAGGTCTGGGAGGACAATAGGTTTTGGTTTTGACTCAACCCACTGTGGATATGACAGCAACCATGGTTCTGGGAAACCATGGTTAATTAGAAGCCTGGTTGCTCATGATGCAAAGGGAGGAAGGAATGAAGGGTTTTGTGTGCTTGAGCAAAAGGGCCTGTTCTCCAAATTATTACTGTCCAAACTATTCATTTGGCACCTTAAGAACAAGCAGATTTATTGTAGCGTAAGCATCAATCTAGGCTGACTCAGTGTAAGGCAACTTTCTTTACTAATATGAAAGGTTGCTGCAAGGCTTACTGAGATAATGATAATCCCCCTCAACACTATAATAAGGTTAAGTATTATATTATTAGCATTCTCCTTTTAAAAAATCATATGCGTCAAAAAACGCGTAGGAAAAGTTCGGGTTGCACATCTGTTAACGGGGAAGCCTTGTGGGAAGGTTGCGTTACACAATCTTGCCGTTGTAGTTGCTGAATAAATCTGGTGGTCGGCTCATTCTGGTGCGGTACGTTGTCTTCTTGATAATGGCACAGCTGGGTGTTTAAGGGATGGCAGCTCTTCAGGAACTTAAGCATTACACAGCTCTCTGTGTTCTATAAATACTTTCTGCTTGAGAAGCCAGCTCTCAGAGATTGCAGAAGCTAAGGCTGCATGCTTGCCTGTGATCCGTCTGGCGTCAGGGGCAGAAAGTGCTCTGCCGGATTTTGCAAGAAGGCCGCCCCATAATTGCAGTCTTTGCCTCCCGCCTCTGCCACGGCTTCTGAATCAACAGGGAGGCACAGTCTAGAATAGCAAGTGAGGGTTCAAAGGGAAATTAGTCCCCCTTGTTTACACTGGGCTTAATCACGTAATTGAGGCATCAGAAGAAACTGCTTTGGCCCCAGACAAACCTAGCCACTCAATTAGTCATGCAGTTCTGAATATTACTCCATTTTAGCTCACTTGTGCCTTTTTGTTTCCAAGGAAACAGCTGAAAGGTACCGTATTTCTATAACCTTGCATGTTTCTGCGGAATCTTATTCACTGCATAGAAAACAGGACTGCAACATTCAATCCCTTTAGCTGGTAAATTAATCAACAAAAGTTTTAGCTGATAAATTTTCAGGAGACCAGTTTTCATCAGTGAAACTGAACATTCAGAGCACACTTGCCTAGTTTCTGAGATTATCTTTATTCTGCTTTGTTGCACCAATCAAGCATTTTAAAAAGAAAATGTTAACAGTTGACATTTCCATGTAATGACAAGTGACAGTTTTGATCAAATTGTGACTTAACTCATGCTTCATTTAGCATTGCAGAAAGGTGTTGGGAAATTCCAATTTATTTACATGTCATTGATTAATAAATCATTTGGTTAGAAACAAACGATGATCAATTAAACCCCCTCACAAAAAGACAACAGAAGAGATGATGCAAGAACCAGATTTTAATGTGTTGTCCTGAGGTAGCAAAATAGACGTTCTGCAATTTGATAATTTAATAAGTGTAACTGCAAAGCTAAATTGCATTTTTCAAGGGCAAGGATCTTTCCCTTTGTGTGTGTGTGAGAGAGAGAGTGAGTGAGTGAGAGAGAATTATAGTTTCAGTTTTTTCTTGAGTACAGTGGTACCTCGGGTTAAGTACTTAATTCGTTCCGGAGGTCCGTTCTTAACCTGAAACTGTTCTTAACCTGAAGCACCACTTTAGCTAATGGGGCCTCCCGCTGCTGCCGCGCCGCCAGAGCACAATTTCTGTTCTCATCCTGAAGCAAAGTTCTTAACCTGAAGCATTATTTCTGGGTTAGCGGAGTCTGCAACCTGAAGCGTATGTAATCCGAGGTACCACTGTATATCCCCTGTCTAGATAAGATGAAGACAAGGGCTGAGCATGATGGCTTTGTAGCTGAACGTTCCTCAGTCCTTAAGTTCTCCATGCTGTTCCTCCAGATTGAGCCAGACTTTGGTGAAGGACGTAGCGATCCTTGCTCGAGAGATTCATGACGTTGCTGGAGATGGAGATTCCCAGAGCTCATCGGGAACGGGGCCAAGCACCTCCCACAGTTCTGTGCCTAACACCCCTGCCTCTACCATATCAGCAAGGGAAGAGGTAAGACGGCGGCTTAAGACCTATGCGGTAGTGAATGCAAGCAAAATACAGAGGTTAGAGGAAGCTTCATTAGGTCAGAGCAGCGTTTCCCAAACGTGGGTCTCCAGCTGGTTTTGGACTACAATTCCCATCATCCCTGACCACTGGTCCTGCTAGCTAGGGATGATGGGAGTTGTAGTCCCACAACAGCTGGAGACCCAAGTTTGGGAAAAGCTGAGGCAGAGGCTCCCAGTTGACTCCATCCCTGTTTCAGAAAATCTGTACTTTCTAAGGCCCATCTACCTTCCCCAGGGGAAGAAAAACACACGCCACACTCTCAAGCTCTCTCAATTTAGTAAAATTAACTTTAGCTCACCCCACCTATGCCCTTTTTGCTAGTTCTTTCTTTTGCAGCAAAATGAGGTCAAAAGCTGTTGGGACACAAAACCAGTTCTCCCCAAAATGTTTCGTTACAGAGACTCCTGCCGTATTTCCGCAACCCACTCAGCAGCTTCCAATAATGGGGACCAGGAACAAGGACTGTGATGGGATGCCAGGCATGGGGTGGTGGTAACGGCAGTCCCGTGCCCAGTTCCGCCTCTTCTCCAAGTGACGCTTGCTTCCTGAAATGTGTGACCTGTCTTCATCACACCCTGTGTTTCTCTGCTCCCACTCCTTGTGGCTGGTTATTGGTTGCTGTTAGATTGGGGTAGGAACATGCACAATGCCGTGATGTTACGTCTTGTTCCTCCCTATGTTTTGCAATCAGTTTCCCTTTCACAAAGAATTCTGGTGCTGGATATTGGAAATCTCCATTCTCGTGCTGGATATTGGAAATCTGCTGTCAGCTCTCCCCACTGAAAGTCAAGCCTTCATTTTGGGATTTTTATATGACATGGTGCACTCCCCACAAACACACACCCTTTCTCACTAAGATTCAGTAACCGGCTAGTTTTTCTACATTACATCCAAGTTTTATACTCCATGATCATTCATTTTGCATGCACATTCATATGTAAAGCTGCAACGTGTATCTTTTCAGTTAAGGAGGGAGTAAGAGCTACTTCTTCCTAGCTGGACTCTCTGTCATAGCGCCATTATTGTGCATGGCTCTTTACAGAGTTCGAGCAAATTGGTCCCTTCCTCCAGGATCTTATGACCAGAAATTCAACACAGAAGGAAATGAGAGAGGAGACAGGGAGGGAAGGGGTAACTCCTGTTCTTGAAAACAAAAGTACTCCTGTTCTTGAAAACAAAAGTACTAAAACTCTTGGAGCATGCAACTGTGGTTAATGGGGACTGGGGCAAGATCAGGACATTACATCAATGTTTCATCACCTTCAATGGCTTCTAGCCAATTCAGAGTACTGGGATTAATGTCTAAAGCCCTAAATGGCTTGAGGTCAGGATACCAGAAGGATTGCCTCCCCTGTACATACCTGCCCGGACTATAAGAAACTCACTGGAGACCCTTTTTTCAGGTTCCCCCACCTAGTGAAGTGAGCTGGATGGATACTAGGGATAGGGCCTTCTCAGTGGTGGTGCCTTGTTCCTGCATTGCTCTCCCCAGAGAGGTTGGCCTGGAGTTTGCAATGGGAATTTTCAGTGATAGCGGGGGGAGACCTTTTCATGTTTTTAGTTCTTACAACTACTTTGTTTTTCCCCTGGTCGGTTGTTAGTGTTGTTGCATTGATCTTATGCTGCCTTGTTCGCTGGTTTTTGCTCATTTTATGTAGGTGCTGCTTTCATATTGATTGTTTTCGTGATGGTATTGAAATTCAATGAAATGCAATTTCTGGACTGCTCAGAGGACATGGTTACCCGGGAGGTATTGAACGTGATTGCTTTGCAACTGAAATCTCTTTCTCTTGCATGGCCTTGCATCTCTCTAGTCTGAGACCTCCGTCCAGTGGTTGCCCCCTGCAGCTCCTGAGCAGGAGGAGCCTGTTCTGCCAAGGCAGTTTTGAGAAGAGCAATTCCTCTTTTAGCAACAATAGCTATTCAAGGGTACTGCCAACAAATCCAACTCAGCACCTCTAAACGCAAAGACAGGAAAAGTTTAGCTAATTAATAATATAGCCGGCACAGTTTAGTGGTTAGAGGGTTGGGCTAGGACCCAGGAGACGAGAGTTTGAATCTCCACTCAGCCATGAAGCCCACTCAATGACCTTAAAGGTAAAGGTAAAGGTACCCCTGCCCGTACAGGCCAGTCTTGACAGACTCTAGGGTTGTGCACCCATCTCACTCAAGAGGCCGGGGGCCAGCGCTGTCCGGAGACACTTCCGGGTCACGTGGCCAGCGTGACATCGCTGCTCTGGCGAGCCAGAGCCGCACACGGAAACGCCGTTTACCTTCCCGCTAGTAAGTGGTCCCTATTTATCTACTTGCACCCGGGAGTGCTTTTGAACTGCTAGGTTGGCAGGCGCTGGGACCGAACAACGGGAGCGCACCCCGCTGCGGGGATTCTAACCGCCGACCTTTCGATCGGAAGCCCTAGGCGCTGAGGCTTTTACCCAAAGCGCCACCTGCGTCCCTCAATGACCTTAGGGTAGAAATATAATCATACATGTGTAGATAGTGTCTTGGCCTCCTCACACTGGACTTAGAACCCCTAATGTAAACTATCAGAAAAGCCTTAGTTCTGTTGTTATGTTCTTCTGGTGGTTGTATATTATGATTTACCAAGGCTGAGCCCGGGGCACTCAGTTGGGAGGGTGATATTTTCCCAACAGAGAATGGGTAACGTTGGGTTATTAAATTACTTACTTGCAGATCTTGTCGTTTGAAGCTGCCAAATAACCATTCTCCCTCTTATCTCTCAGTTCCATATGGACTTTTTATTGCCTGTAAGTAAAATATTAATAGAAATAGATTAGTATAGAGAAGTCTGTGTGTGTGTGTGTGGTGCTTTGTAGACCTGCTGTACTTCCCCACCTTTAAAATCTGGTTGAAATAGCAGTGATTTGTAAGTGGAACAGAAACCCTGTAGCTCCCACTCTCATACAAGCAAGCTTGGCTTAGATGCATGTGGTGGTCTGTAAACTATGGGACTTGATCTTGTGTCTATAAATAAGGATACCTGCTGGAAAGGCTGGAGAACTAAGGTGTTAAAGTTAAAAGGAAAACGCCATTAAAATATGATAACCCCAACCTGAACGGTTTGTTTGTTTGTTTGTTTGAGCTATAGGTGCAATCCTAACCCCAACTAATGGAGAAGGTGCAGCAATTGGGTCTGGATTGAACCCAATGCCGTCCTGTGATGGTGGGTGGGGCCAGCTCAGCCACTCTCCACCCCCATGTTAGGGCTTTTGGCTGGCTGCCCCCAGCAGCAGGGAACCTGCCAACAGCATTGCCCCCCCCCATTTGGTGGGCATAATGGGGAATTTTATGCCAGCGGAGTGCCTCTGTGCAATCCAGCCTCTCCTACCTGGCACAAAGTGGGTTTGGATTTCATCCTGGGACCTGAAAGGGGGACACCCCCCGCCCAGAATAAAGGCTGCCTCCTTCCCATCACCAACCCGGAGACAAGAGGTCGTGGCTGATGCTGTCAGTCTACTTGGGGAGTTTTGTCCCTCCCTCCCTTAACACTAGTTGCTGTCCAGCAGCCTGCAGGCTTGACTCGCACCCCAAGTCCAAAGATCACCCTACAGTGTCCTTAAAAGATGCTCAGTGTAAGATTTTAGCAGCACTTCAAGGGCTTTTCTCTGTTGCTTTGGGACATCTGCTGAGTGCCTCTCTCTGTGCTCCAGTCCAGTTTTGGTGTCTAAACACAGCTCTTTAAAAGCAACCAAGAGTCCCTGCCATCTTAAAGCCATATCTTGCGCAATTTTCTATTTTCCATCATTTTTCAGAAGGATACCTTAATCTGCATACATTCATGATGGTTATTTTTTTCCTGGAGAATACCTTGGTTAGTAAATCTTGACTCACCATAGTGTCATTTCCTGTTAAATGGATCTTGGGTACCAGGGCTGGGAAGGAACCACCATCAGTTCAGGAACCAATTGGAACAGACAATTCTGGACAACATGGATCCTAACTCAATAGGAGGCAGTTTTGCATGCTTGAATGCTATGTTTGAACTTTCTGTGATAACATTGCTGCTTCTTTGATTTGCCTTTTGCTTTCTCAGTTACATTATTCTGTACTTTTGCCTTTTGGCTCACCCTCTCTGTATATGTGTGTGCAGATTCTGTTGCTCTTATGATCAACATTGATCTCTTTCTATCTCTTCTTTTTCCTTTCTTTTTTTAAATGCAGATTGCTCATTCATCTTTGCGGGCAGCAATTCCATCTCAGGTGCATTTTCCATCCCACTTATTTCTACTTTTTAAAGTGCTCTTAAAGTTGCTTTTTTTAAAAAACCTCATTTAAATTAATATGTTTTAAGCTAGGGGTGTAGGGTTTTTTTAATTAAAAAAATATTATTATTTGGCTAATCTTTATGGCACCAACGTTCTCTGCCTTTGTTTTCCTTCCCTGAATTTTCTAGCATTGCATTTCTTTGATCTGGTTATGTTATACGTTTATTAAAGTTCAAATAGGAAAAGATGCAATCAGGAGCCGATTATTCCTCCTCGCTCCTGCCCCAACTTTCCCTACCTGTGATCCGAGTATGTTTGACACAACATCTACATGGCATGTATGCACTTAGAGTTCTGTTCACCTATGCCAGCCCTGTGACATCTTGGTCCTTTGATTTTCGGGCTTTTCAGAACCCTGGATTGTGGAAGGTGGAGTGAACCTGATTGCCCCATTCCCAAACAAAATGTGCCACCCCCTGCCCCAATTTCTGCTTGTTTGGTGGAAGTTCCAAATTGAAAGCCTGCATGCATATACCTGTATACCCAGGGCTAGTTCAAGCCATTTCACTGCATGAAACAAAGGACAATTTCCATATAGAGAAGCTGCCTGGACTGACAGCTGAATTGTACTACCATATTGGCCTGAATATAAGCTGCACTTGCAAATAAGCCACACCTTTACAATTTGGCGGCTTGGGGGAGGCTTGGGAGCAGTAGGCGGGCTAGGCGCCGTTGCCCCACACTCCTGGGTTGCTTCCTGGGGGGAGGGGAAGAGAGCCGCACCACTTTGCCGGTGGCATAAGGTTGAGAATATAAGCCGCAGTTTGACTTTTCACGATTGGAATTTGGAAAACAAAAAGTGCGGCTTATATTCTGGCCAATACGGTACTTCAGCACTGGGGACCAGACAGTGTCCATCGCTGCACCTAAGCTCTACAGGCCAGATTAGGGCAGACTGTGTGGTCACAGAGCTGTGTCTTTCACACACACACCGGCCCCAGCATCTGCCACTTGAGGCAGCTCTACCTACCAGTAGAGCCGGCTGTTTGTATGCACATTTGTTTCCTCCACATGGCTTGCAACCTTGCACAATTCGGATCCCAAACTGCTTTGAGGAACCTAGCACTGCACCCACGTAGGCCTCTCGTTCAGACCTCCCACCAAACTCGCAGAGATTTGGAGGCAGAGCCCGTGGTCCCTGGGTGCAGTCCCCTTCCCTCTTCTGCACGTTCCTTTGTATAGTTGGGAGGGGCCCCAAGGGCTGTCCAGTTCAACCCCCTGCAATGCAGTGAAAGTGCAAAGGGCATTTTTTGAAAAATGGTAAGGGTTGTATGTTACTTGGGTTTATGCACATGGTAACCTAAGCTGATATGCGCTATTAATACGTGACAGCAAGCATGTGCAGACTGGGAGCATGCTTGCCTGCCACATGACTGGCTTCGCCCAGTTCAGCTGCGATGTAGGGATGTGCAGATCTGTTTGTATTGGTTTCCCTCTGTTTCTCGTTTGTCAATTCACTTATCCCCATTTTCACATCAGTTTACATTTTTAAAAAAAACCACACACATGAAAATTTGTAGGCTTTTTTGTGTCCCTTTCACCTCATGTACACATTTTTCCTATGCAATTTTGCCTAATATACACCTTTCTTGTTTGCAAGCACTCCTCCCCCCCAAAATTTTTTTTATGCTTTCTTGTGCACTGATAGAACCGTTTTGTCTCCTCGCTTTCCCCAATGTACACTTCTTTACTAAAGCATTTTTTGCTAGTGGGAGAGCTGCACCGCAAAATTCGGTGAACAGCTTGTTGTCATGTTTTGCATATTCGCGTGGAAAGGGTGAGTTGGCTGGCTCCATGTTAAATTGCGAACTGAACACATTTTTTTACTTCCATTCCTGGAGAGATGCAAACAAACGTAAGAACTGCCTGGGAAATGGGTTAACTGAGCAGTGAGCTGAATAGAAAAAGGTGTGCAGAATGCCTTGCGCTGTTTTGATAGTTTCCCTGTGAAATTTTGACTAAACCTAATGGGGGCGTCGGGAAAAGGCCTCAAGATTTTGGAATGGCTAAGGCTGAAAAGACGCATGACACAGGAATGCTGTTGAAAGTGTCGCTGCATCGATAATCTGTTCTTCCCTACTCAACCTGTGATGGGACACCATCACGTTATGAGTTTGTCTTGTGGTTGTAGCTGGTGTTGTCGAACTGGGGCAGGAAAACAGGCTGTGCGATGTCATCGGGTCACATGGAGGGTACTCGTACGCATTAAAGAGGGAAAGATCTAGAGGCATGTCCCTGGAACACATGTAACATGTAGTTCGGCCTAGATGAAGCAGGGCGTATTCCCAGAGCCTGTTTCGGGGGCTTAATCCATCCCCTGTGGCAGTTTATTTCCAGGGGTAAAAGAATCCTAAAAAAGGTCAACAACTTCAATCCTTTCAATCCTAAAAAAAGGTTGACAACTTTGGTTGCACTCATGGCCCTTCACTTCATCAAATCTGGCCGTCTTTGAAAAAAGTTTGGACATCACTGATCTATGTGCTTTACCCTACAGTTTTATTCCTCTGTCCCGAACGGCAATATACAATAAATTCTCTCGTCGTTTGTTCTGTATTTCAAAGCTGGTGCAGCACATACCAGAAGCAAGCCTGAACTACCAGAAGGTGCCTCCTGGCTCAACGGGATTCCACGATTATGACCAAAATATGAATGACAGCCGAGAAGAGGATCTCACAAGGAAAACAAGGATGATGAGAAACAGAGAAGAGGTAAGTTCTTGTCAAGCGTGCTCACAAGCCACACAGCAGATAGTTTAACACCAGGTTGTCAAAGTTGGCAGATACAGGGCCGCCCACCTGTCAGTCACCTGATGTCACATAGAGCACAACTCTAGGCAAGCTGATCAGCTGATCCCCAGGGCATGTAGGGAAGGTGGGTGTGGCTCAGGCAAATGGGAAGGTCTTTCGTTCTAATCAGGCCCATGGACCTGGAGGTTTCCAACTGCTGTTGTAGACAGTCATTTGGGAGCAGCACATTAGTATTAAAAATGATAGCTCTTCAAAAATAAATGAATTGTGCCTCATTTATCAGGAGCTTGTTTTAATTCACGAATGGAGAATCTGTGACTTTCTAGATCCTGAATAATAATAATAATAATAATAATAATAATAATAATAATAATAATTTATTGTTTATATACCCCGCCCATCTAGCTGGGTTTCCCCAGCGACTTCCAACAAAAGATTAAAAATACGTTAAAATATCAGTCATTAAAACTTCCCTAAACAGGGCTGCCTTCACGTGTCTTCTAAAAGTCAGATAGTTGTTTATTTCTTTGACATCTGATGGGAGGGCGTTCCACAGGGCTGGCACCACTACCAAGCAGGCCCTCTGCCTGGTTCCCTGCAACCTCAGTTCTCACAGTGAGAAAACTGCCAGAAGGCCCTCAGAGCTGGACCTCAGTGTCCGGGCTGAACGATGGGAATGGAGATGCTCCTTCAGGTATACCATCAAGCCCAGCCAACATGATCCAGTGGTCAGGGATCATGGTAGTTGCAATCTAGCATAGTCTAGCAGGCCACAGGTTTCCCATCCCTGTTTCAGTTTAGCTGATCGAGCAGTAGCCTTTTTTGTGATTATTTTTTTAAATGTTTTTTAAAATCATGGAAGGACTTCAGGAAGCTTCAGCAGATTAAAACCAGCTTGTGTGAAAAAAGTACATTGTCTAGGATCCTATGAAATTCTAAATGTATACACCAAGCTTCCCATGCAACCATTTGTATTCAGCCCATTGGCACTTACCATATCATCTTATAATCTGCCACTGAAGTTCTACAACAGCCTTTCTCAACCTGTGGGTCCCCAGATGTTGTTGAACTACAACTCCCATCACCCTTAGCTAGCAAGGCCAGAGCTCAGGGATGGTGGGAGTTGTAGTCCAACAAACATCTGGGGACCCACAGGTTGAGAACCGCTGTTCTACAAGAAGACCTGATCCCTTCCCTGTTGTCAGTAACACAAAACATTGTTTCCTTTGGGAAAACACCGTGAATATATCCTCCCAACGCAGGGGTCTAATCCTGTTGTAGTATCACTTCTGATAAACACCAGCTTCTGCTGAACGAAATGTTGCTGTTTGTGGTGTTGCGTTTCAGGTAATCTTTGACAACTTGATGCTGAATCCAGTGTCCCAGTTATCCCACACCATCCGGGAACACACAGAGAACCTGGCGGAGAAAATGAAGTGAGTGGATGCCCTCAGTCTAAACTTCACAGTGGTGAAGCTGTGGAGGAACCCTGTTACATGCTACCCGAGGCTCCTGGTCCGGAGGAGATGACTGATTCATAGAATCATAGAATCATAGAGTTGGAATAGACCACAAGGGCCATCGAGTCCAACCCCCTGCCAAGCAGGAAACACCATCAGAGCACTCCTGACATATGGTTGTCAAGCCTCTGCTTAAAGACCTCCAAAGAAGGAGACTCCACCACACTCCTTGGCAGCAAATTCCACTGTCAAACAGCTCTTACTGTCAGGAAGTTCTTCCTAATGTTTAGGTGGAATCTTCTTTCTTGTAGTTTGGATCCATTGCTCCGTGTCCGCTTCTCTGGAGCAGCAGAAAACAACCTTTCTCCCTCCTCTATGTGACATCCTTTTATATATTTGAACATGGCTATCATATCACCCCTTAACCTCCTCTTCTCCAGGCTAAACATGCCCAGCTCCCTTAGCCGTTCCTCATAAGGCATCGTTTCCAGGCCTTTGACCATTTTGGTTGCCCTCCTCTGGACACGTTCGAGTTTGTCAGTGTCCTTCCTGAACTGTGGTGCCCAGAACTGGACACAGTACTCCAGGTGAGGTCTGACCAGACCAGATACAAATAGCAAGGTTTTTTTTCCTGCCAAGATCTGCACATTTCCCAAGGCCTGTTGGAGATAATGTTCTGTATTATGGGAAATGTGGACAATTCGAGAGCCAGTGTGGTGTAGTGGTTAAGAGCGGTAGTCTCCTAATCTGGTGAACCGGGTTCACGTCTCTGCTCCTCCACATGCAGCTGCTGGGTGACCTTGGGCCAGTCACACTTCTCTGAAGTCTCTCAGCCTCACTCACCTCACAGAGTGTTTGTTGTGGGGGAGGAAGGGAAAGGAGGTTGTTAGCCCCTTTGAGACTCCTTTGGGTAGTGTTAAAGCGGGATATCAAATCCAAACTCCTCCTCCTCCTCTTCTTTTCTTCTTCTTCTTCCTCGTGGAAATATTATTTGCACATTCTCCTTCTGAATGTGCATTGTAGCAGGTTTGTAATACATGTTAATCCCTCCCTCCCTTTATAATACAGTTTCTGTGGGCTCATTTAGAAGCCTAAATTGGAACTGCTGCCTCCCTCCCAATGCCCCTGACTTCAGAATGCAGGGGAGCTCAGAGAACGGTCTTTGATAGAATTATAGAATTGGAAGGGACCCCAAGAGTCATCTAGTCCAACCCCCTGCAATGCAGGATTCTCAATAGATCACACATGACAGGTGGCCATCCAACCTCTGATAAAAACTCCCAAGGAAGAGGAGAGTCCACAACCTCCCGAGGGAGACCATTCCACTGGCGAACAGCTCTTAACACCTGAAAGTTCTTCCTGATGTTTCATTGAAATCTCCTTTCTCATAACTAAGGATGATCTTAATGCACCGACAGGCAGATGTGGGAGGTAGAAATCTATAAGCCAGGGGTGGGGGAATCTGTGGTTGTCCAGTTGTTGTTGGACTACAACTCCCATCACCCCCATCATCAGCTTGGGCCCGATGGGAATTTAATTTAATTTTTAATTTATTAAAGGCGTAGACCATCTTTCACCCAAAGATCTCAGGGCGATTCACAGCATACAAATAGAAAAGAAGAAGATAAAATACATAATAAAAGAGAGAGAGAGTGGAGACCAAAAGGGCCACAGGTTCTCCACCCTAGTGTATTACTGTATTGGAGACAATTATTCCTGAGCGTGTTTCTTTTTTTGACAAAATATTGTCTTATGTTGTGTGTCAGAATTCTGTTCCAGAATACTGAGCGGACATGGGAGGAGATGGAGGCCAAGATTAACTCTGAAAATGAAGTGCCAATTCTAAAGACCTCAAACAAGGTGGGGAATATTTGCCCTGAACTGTGTGCTTGGTTTTACAAGAAGTCTTTGTCGATCTGCAACCCTTAGACTTACATGCGCAAACCTATCTTCCTTCTTTTATTTATTGATGGCACAGTTGAGATGAATGCAGGGCACTAGAATGAGTGCAAGGGGGGGGCATGATAGAGGTGCATAAAATTATGCAAGAACTCAGGGACAACCAGCAAAACGAATCTGAATGTTGGAAAGTTCAGGACAGATAAGGTAAAGGTAAAGGGACCCCTGACCATTAGGTCCAGTCGTGACCGACTCTGGGGTTGCGACGCTCATCTCGCTTTATTGGCCGAGGGAGCCGGCGTACAGCTTCCGGGTCATGTGCCAGCATGACTAAGCTGCTTCTGGCGAACCAGAGCAGCGCACGGAAACACCGTTTACCTTCCTGCCGGAGCGGTACCTACTTATCTACTTGAACTTTGAGGTGCTTTCGAGCTGCTAGGTTGGCAGGAGCTGGGACTGAGCAACGGGAGCTCACCCCATAGCGGGGATTCGAACCGCTGACCTTCTGATCAGCAAGTCCTAGGCTCTGTAGTTTAACCCACAGCACCACCCGCATCCCATCAGGACAGATAGAAGAAAGCAATTTCTTAATGGAGCACATTGTTAAATTGTGGAAAGTGCTTCCACTAGATGTAGTAATAACCACCAACTTGAGTGACTTTGTAAGAGGATTATGCCTCTGATTATCAGTTACTGGAAATCACAATTGGAGAAAGTGCTGTCACTTTCAAGATCTTCCCCTAAGCATCTTTTCAGCCACTGTGAGAATATGATGTTGGACTAGGCAGCCTCTTCTTCTGTTACGTTCATTGAAATGTGCATCTGAAGCGGAAATCTTGAAACTTGGCTCGTTACAGATTTTGGTTCTTAATTTTGTCTCCTTTTTTCACACTTCTTTTTTTCCGAAAGGGTACCGGTACATGGCTGCTCTTAAATGTCAGCAGCAATATCTGCACATTTGTAAGGTCAAAATATTGAGTTTTACTACTACTAGAGGGCGGGTGGGGTGAAGCTTTCAAAAACCAAACGTAACTTTAAAACCTTTAAATAGAAAAAAATAGAGGCAAATTTAGAAACTTTGCCCCAGTTTATGTTTTAATATGGGAAGTTGAACAGATCTGGAGCTAAACAGAAATTGCTTTCACTGATAGAATAAACGTGTTCTCAGTCCCTTGAGTGTTTGAATTACTAAACATATTGTTCTTTATTACTAGGAAATCAGCTCTATTTTGAAGGAGCTCCGCAGAGTCCAGAAACAACTAGAAGGTTTGCCTTATTTTGACTTCCCTGTTTCTCTTTGATTTGTGTTAAATGCAGTTTATTGTACTAAGAGCTGGGCTGGATCTACACTGACCTTTTTAAACGTCATTAGAGCGATATTGCCTATGCCGTTCTAAAACATTACAGGGCATACTGCAAAAATTACATTTTTACCTTATCGTTATTCCTCTGTAACAGCAGTTCCCCTTACTGCCCGGTTCCTGGTTGATTCAGCACCGCCCTCTGGTGTCACATTTACTAACGCTTTATTAACCTTCTTAGCAAAACGTAATGTGACCCTTACCTTTTGAAAATCATCCCTTAACTCTTTCTTAACATTATAAACCATGAGTGTAGATCCAACCACAGATAAAAGGGAAAGAAGAACATATGTATGTTTCCGAGCATAATTCAAAGTGTTGGTACTGACCTTTAAAGCCCTAAACGGCCTCGGCCCAGTATACCTGAAGGACCATCTCCACCCCATTGTTCAACCGGGACACTGAGGTCCAGCTCCGAGGGCCTTCTAGTGGTTCTCTCACTGCGAGAAGCAAAGTTACAGGGAACCGGGCAGAGGGTCTTCTCGGAAGTGGCGCCCACTCTGTGGAACGCTCTCCCATCAGATGTCAAGGAAATAAACAACTATCTGACTTTTAGAAGACATCTGAAGGCAGCCCTGCTTAGGGAAGTTTTTAATGTTTGATGTTTTAATGTTTTGTATTTATTATTATCATTAATATTTTGTTGGGAGCCGCCCAGAGGGGCTGGGGAAACCCAGCCAGATAGGCGGGGTATAAATAATAAATTATTATTATATTATTATAGCACCACCTGCTGCCCAGCTCCCTGCATTCCAGGTTTTATATCACCTGGCATTGTTTTGGAGATGATGATGATGATGATGATATTTATACCCTGCCCATCTGGTTGGGCCTCCCCAGCCACTCTGGGTGTCTCCCAACAGAATAATAATAATAATAATAATAATAATAATAATAATAATAATAAATGTGATAAAACAGATAATACTTAACAAACAAAATAAAATAGAATACTTTGATCTGCTTGACTGCCAGCCGTCAAGTGTGAAGTAACTGGGTGTTAGCGTTGAGTGGTGAGAGAGAGCGAGAGCGAGAGCGAGAGCGAGAGAGAGAAGGAATGAGAATGTGTAGCCCTATAAATCCATCTTAAGTCTGACTTGGCTTTCTCCCCCTCTTTTCTGCAGTTATAAATGCCATCATTGACCCAAGTGGAAACTTGGATGTGCTCGCCAATAACAAAATGTCTTCTGCTACAACACAGTCTGTGGCGGCTAAAATCAGGACTGCTAACAACATTTCCGGGTCCATGTTGGAGGCGTTGTCTCCCGTCAAGAAGAGAAATTACGTGCAGAAATCAAACTTTGGCTCTGCTAGCCTGCAGGATGCTACGTTTGTTCCGGATGGGGAGAAATACGTGATCTAGCAAGAAAGTTTTCTGTCGCTTTTCCTCTTGTATGTAATTTGCCGTGGTGTTAGTATTGTGTACGAGTGGTTGTGGGCAAGTCCGTGTGGAGCAGTTGTTTAGATTGCTAACACATTGCACAAAAGAAAAGGAAAAGGTACAATCTCTGCTGTGTGAGCATGAGTGGCAGGCCTATGTATAGGGGTTTTGGAAGGGGGGAAAATGGACTAGCACTGTGGAACAGCACATACTCAGCACAGAGGCAGACTCTGGTTTTGGTTTTTTTTTAACAGAAAGCAAGTGATGCATAATTTCTCCAATGTGCCATAGCAAACAGGCTTTGCGTATTCTTCACTCTGTACTGCCGAAGCTCTGATATGTTATTGTATTTAGCCTGTTTATAGCTGTCTGTTTTAGTTGTATAGAGGCTCCGTTTTTGAAAATGTACCTTTTGGGGGCACTGGCTGGCTGTTGCTGTATATTTAATTTTAAATACAAATCGTTAAATGGTTCAGCCAAAACTGATTCCCCCCCCCCTCACGCTTGTCAGCTGAACAATGCACCGTGGAAGTCTTTTCCCCCCCTTTTCCTTTCAGAGATCCAAGAGCAGTTAACTTGCAAACATCTCCAAAAAGGAAACCAAGATGACATTGAATCATTCCGCTTCCAATCACACAGCTTTTACGATTCCTCTGGGAATGAGTAATAAAGAGTACAGATGATGGAGAGGCAGTGATTAAGTTCGCATTTTTGATTCCCTTATTGTAATCAGTAAAAGAGAGAGGGGGGGGGGGAGAAATTCAGGTGCAGAGGAGGCGGCAAATTAGTCACAAGGTCAGGATTTTGTATAGTGAAGTTGCCAAATTTGTACGATTTCATGGCAGTTGTTTCATAACTAAGTTTTCGGGTGGTCAAAATGTGTTTTTAATGCAGTCCACAAAGTCTCCTGTTTACAGCATAGAATTCTGAAGGCGCTAAAGAATTGAGTATTCCATGTGTGAGCAATTAAGATTTTGATCATAACTCACCATCCTGTGCTTCTAAACCTCATTGACATGCGTAGGAAGTTTAAGAGTGTAAGGGTTGAGCTGCTTTTTGCACTCACAGGAATCCTGCCTTGAGCCTCGTTCCTCACCCTGCGAGGCATGCTAAATGGAGGCCTCCTTAATAGAGCTTGAGGGGTGCAAATTGAGGATTGTCTCGTGCTGCCTCCAACTTCCTTCGGTGCTCTCATGCAGCTCTGTTGAGCCAGCAAGACCCTTGGCTACTCTTTTGTGCTCTAGGAAATGGCCAGCTTGTCAATCATTTGGCAGCTTGTCAATCACCGATCGCAGGCACGGCACTTCTGCAATACCCCAAAATGCAGGCTGGCAATAATGAAAGTTGCCGCAAATCGTGGTGAAATTCCAACTTTTTACTGCCTTACGTTGATCGCATGAATGTGGATTTCGGGAGTCCGTCTTAGAAGCATCCCACCTGGGGTTTCCATAGGTGGGTTCAGAGTTCACCCTCGTGTTGTCTCTGTTACCTTATTTGCTCCCATTTTGTATGTTGTGTCAAGCATTCCTACCAAGATGAATGGGGAATTTGAGCTGGCAAATCCGGACAAACTGTAATGGTGAATGTATTGCTCTCGCTCTCCCCCTGCAACACGCACAAACAGCTGGAAGCTCAGTTTACTTCAAGCACTATGGCCAGCCTGTCACTGCTGAATCCAGATATGTGAGCCCTTCTGGCTAGTAAGAATTAAGTAAATACAGTATTATTGAAATGATCTTATACTTCCACCAATACAATCTCGGATAAGGCCAAGGATAGTTTTGCAGCAATTCTGAGGTGTATGCTAATAAAAACACAATTTTTTAAAATAATAATAATAATTTTTAAAATTCATTATTTCCCACTCCCACTTGCCAAATTAGTGCTTGCTGACTGGGAGGGGCTGCACTTATTGAGATGCCAGTGAAATTTTTTTCTATTACAATATTCCTCTTTTGCCTAAGTAGCTAAAAAAATAAAATAAGGAACGTGTGTCTTTATTGTGAAAAAGACAGTACTGAACTAGCTTGGCCTTTCCCAACCCAATGCTCTGCAGACATTTTGTGTTACAACTCCTGGGGGTTGATGGGTGTTGTAGGCTAAAACATCTGGAAGGCTGGGGAAGGCTAAGCTAGGTGGACTAATGATGCAAACCAGCACCATCTATGATTTCTGGTGTTAGAAAGATAATTCTTTTTAGAACTGACTTCTGTAGTCTCGGGTTCTCCCCCAGTTATGTATACTTAACCCCCATCTCTTATGGGACTTATGTGGGCAAGGAGAGAAGACAGGAAATCTAAGCAATTGCAGTTAGAACATCTTGGGCATTTGCAAAGAGGTAATAATGCTCTTTATCCTAACGACTATTTGCTAGGTTACTTTGTTGTGCTGCTTGGTTAACAAACAGGTTATCTTCATGGCCCTGGCAGTTGACAAGGAGAATTTCACTACTCCCCGGTCTGGTTGGGTTCCTGACAAGGTGCAAATGTGGAGTCAAATTCTCTTCATCACTTGCCAGAGTGATACAGAGGACTGTACATACAACCCTGCAATAGCCATTTATGAAGCAGTAGGTTTCATGTATTCATCCTAAGTCTGTGAAGTTGTACGCAAAATGTCTTAATGCTGCCGGGGTGGATCTCGCGTCCATCTTTTTGAAAATTAGTGGAATTGAATGATTTTCTGGGGGAGGGGCGCTGTTAGTCTGATGATCCCCAGCTGCTGTAGATGGGGGTTAGGAAAGGGGGTTGTGGTGGTTGTTGTTGTAGGTGAGAACCTACTGGTAATGTGGGTCTGGGGATAGTGGCTGTATTCAGTAGAGAAGATGGCTAGTCTATTAAATGGAATTTGTTTAAAACAATGCGATAAGATGGCAGGAGGCAAAGTGGTCTGGCAAGAGAACAACATATGCAGCCTCCCTGTGTTTCTCTAATGGCTTGTGGAAGATCCATGATGTCTAACTGGTTTTAGTTTTATGGCATGTGTCTTTCTTAGATCAGTTGGTGGTGTACCTTAGAATGCTGCCATTGCTGTAGAGACATAGCAGTAAAGGTTTCCAAAGCTCTTCCTATTTACAGAAGGACCCAGCAAGTTACACATTCAGTTATTTAGGTCAAATCCACACCATACATTTAAAGGGCATGGCTTTCCGCCAAAGATTCCTGGGAACTGTAGTTTTAGCCTTTCCAGAGGTACGATTCCCATCAAACTGCAGTTCCCAGGATTCTTTGGGAGAAGCCATGTGCTTTGAATATATGGTGTGGATCGGTGGTGTTTGCCAACTCAGCTTAGGGTGCATCCAGCCACGTTGAGGAGATGTCAACTGTTGATCTCGGCATGTGGTCAGCCGATTTGTTCCTGTCTGTGAAATCAATAAACCACATGGGTATGGTGGAGCACATCAAATTCACCTAAAGACCTACTTCAGACTGGGTTGTCCCACAAGAGGCTGAGAAGAGGCTGTAACCTGGGCAATGCTTGTCTGTATCCACTTGGTTTTTTAGTCTGAGATATTATTATTTTTGCCTCCCCCTTGATCAAGTTATTCAGTAATATATTCCAGGACATTATTCCAGGACTTTGAAGTAATAAGCAAACCCAGAGGAGGTGGCTGGATCACACAACCGTATCACTTCCCCAGTTCTTCCCCATGATGAAACAGAGATGCAACACAACTCTTGTGTTTGCCAACACCAAGTCTAAATTTGATTCTCTCTTAATATAATGCTGTATTTTTTTTAACACAGGCTGAGTTTGAACAAGCTTAGAACACTCTTAGGGAAGGAGAATAGTATCTGCCAACTTCTTGGATATTCCCACATAGGTTGTAATGCTTTCATAGGGTCTACAGATGTAGACCCAAACTACACTGTAGTTTACCTTTTTTAAAAAAATAGATAAATCTGGGCAGTGGTCCTGTCATTCAGGTCTAAATGTGAGGTACATTTTTGTGCACACATGCTAGGCAGATACTACATTTACATGTGGATATTCTCTTGACTCTAGCATCTGGGTGGCAAAGGGTGATCCAGTCTGTTTTCCTACTGCACATTGCATTACAGGTTAATCAAAACAGGGCCTGCAGTCTGGGCTGTATTAAATTGTCACATGTAGTTATGCCAAAGAGGAAACCTTATGACTCTAAACTCTGTCCAGCTTTGGGTCCCTCTGACATATACATACGTAAATCCCCAGTTTTATGCTGCATACTCTTTGTTAAGTCTTTGTCCTGATACTTCTTGAGTAGTCCAGATCCTATTTACTTTAGGGTTTCAACTTCTGTGGTTTCTTTCTTTCCTAGACTGTCTCGGGATTAATCCATTGTCTCAATGATCCCTTCCTGTTTTCACGTGTATTGTCATGCTCTGTTTTCTTCTTCTTCAAATGTTTATGCTAAACATCTATCTTTGGCTCGTGAGTTTTCAGAGAAATAAAATGCCCATATCCCGTTGAAATTAAGTGGTGAGGTGGGTATCGGTTTGCCTCAGGATTCTTTCTGAAAACTGAGCTTGGTTCTATATGTTGGGGGCGGGGAGTGAGTTTTATTTTGGGTATGTTAACATGTTACATTCTTGTTGTTCATAATGATGGAATGGATGTATATATCTGAGAGCGAGAGAGTGAGCGCACCTGGTTGCATTGAGCATATAATATGCAGCCTGTCACTCTCATGCTGTTGATGACGACAAAGCTGAATTAAGTGGCAATTCGCAGGACCATTTTTAACCAGGTCAAAGTCTTTGCACAAGTTTGAAGCACTCTCTTCCAACAATTTGGCATGTGCCTAGATGATGAGCCCAAGATGTTTGAGATTCACTCACCCTGCAGGGTTCTACCCCCACCCCTAAATTCTGGAGCTTTGTTCACAGGTTCAGTGACCAAACATGTCCATTGGGGGGAGGTTGGAAGTGGAATTGGCTTGTGTTGATGAACCTGAGAAAACTTGACCTGCAAATCAGCTGGGGCGTGGGGAATCTTCACACATTACATGCAAAATAAGGTTTGTCACGGGAGCGTGCACTGATTGTATTAGCATGGTAGACCTATTCTCCTCTTTTCCTCTCACACACACTTCGTTATTTTGGGATGCACTTAACAGGTCTTAGGTGTACACCTAAAACCCATAATGTGTGAATGGCCCCTGACTCATCCTTCAATGAGTTAAAGAAAACGTTTACAGATTACCTACTTTAAAGATAAAAGTGTATGAGTGCATAGATGCTACTGATATTGGTAAACTGATGCGAGGTCTTTCTCTTTTATTTTGAATCCAGCAAATGTATACATTGCAGCTGTAAAATGTACATTAACTACCTGTTCACTTTCTGATGTGCCCCTTGCTGAATTGTGCCTAACTATATGCTGTTGTTATGCTGCTGAAATCATTTTCTGCTGTTCAGAAACACACACAAACTGTTCATGGAGTCATTCATTCCATCTGCATGCGACACAAATGCAAGCTGGGCTGTATAGCAGAAATTCAACTTTGTATAATTCAAAACTGTTTCAGTGACTTGTCTTTTCTTTCGTTTCCACACCCTCTCTTGAAATACTCTGTATAATTTTAATCCGGAATACCCCTGTCAATTCATACATAGTGGGGCATTTCCCATCCTCCCTTATTTTTTCTTTTTTTTAAAAAAAAAAATGGTAATTTATTTCATTTGGTTGATAGGCAACTTATCTGTATATTTTTGTTCCAAGGTGATGTTGTGGATGTCTTTAAAAACAAAATAAATTGTTATTTTATATAATTTTATCATAAATTTGCTATAATAAATCATTCTTTTTTGTTTTCCACGAGAGGTTTTCTTTCATCTCCAAAAATATGTTTTCTCAAGTCCTTTCAAGACTTAATTTTAATAAATTGAAATACAGTGGTACCTCGGGTTAAGAACTTAATTTGTTCCAGAGGTCCGTTCTTAACCTGAAACTGTTCTTAACCTGAAGCACCACTTTAGCTAATGGGGCCTCCCGCTGCCGCCGTGCCGCCACTGCATGATTTCTGTTCTCATCCTGAAGCAAAGTTCTTAACCTGAGGTAATATTTCTGGGTTAGCGGAGTCTGTAACCTGAAACGTATGTAACCTGAAGCGTTTGTAACCCGAGGTACCACTGTAAACGTCAGGGAAAGGATGAAAAAGGGGAAAAAAATATATACATCTCAGTTTTGGGAGCACAGCCAACCTGGATCAAATGTAAATTTGGGGGAAGGATTAGATGACTATGATGGCTAGTGGCCTTATCCCTTGATACAAGAGTGGAGAACCTCAGGTCCAGGCAAACAAGCACAGTACTCCAGGCACCCTAACTGGTCCCCAGGGCTTTCTCTAAGCTTTGCATCCTCTCCCCAAGCTGCCATGCTCCTGACTGGCCCTGCTCCACAACCTTGAGGGCTTCCCAAGAGCAAGGTTGCAGAATTATGATGAAGTTGGGGATGAAAAGCGATGGATGGGGGAGTGAAAAATCAGTTTGAAGAGAACAGAGCATGCTCAGTGTTCACATGTCGATGGGGCGGGGGAGGGGAGGCAATCCGAGGGTGAGGCAGAATGGAATGGAGTATTCTTGAAAGGGGGATGGATGGCTGGGACCCTGAACAGAAGAAGTATTCCACACTGCAACATTTTGTTGCAGGTCCTACTTGTTGAACTCTTCCCTCTGACTACTGCAATCTCCTTTCTAGCCTTCTATTGTGTCATTTCTATTCATCACCCTGCTGCCCGATTCCTTCCCCACTCCTTAAAACTCCTACACTGGCTTTATGCTCTCTTCCAGATCGAGCACTGATTTGGGATCTTGCTGAAAACCATCTTTTGCTAGACGGCATCAAACGTGGGCATTGCAAAGGGGTGCCTCAAGAGGAAAATTACGTCCTCCCGACCAGCCCCTGTTTGTGCAAAGTGCTATGATTTGCTTGTGGTGTTTATTCTCATCCCACAAAGTACTCTGGCAAGCAGGTTTTTGCAGCCTTTCAGAAACCTGCTGAAAATAATATACTGTATTTTAATATTTTGTTGGAAGCCACCCAGAGTGGCTGGGGAATCCCAGGCAGATGGGCGGGGTATAAATAAATAAAATAAAATAATAATAATAATAATAATAATAATAATAATAATAATAATTTATTATAACCTGTTTGACCAGAGATGACAATAGTATATACACTTAAGGGCAGTGATCCCTCTACAATGGTCCTGACATTTTTTGAGAGATTTAATGCGAAACTATTCACTTCTTGAGGCAGTGTGTGTAGCACAGATAGCCACAGATAGTCTCTATTATTCAAATCTAGCAGCTGTGAAATTCTGGTTTGAAAGGGGAAGTTCCACTTGTGGCACTGTGGGGGAGGAAAAGCAACACGCATGGCTTGTGGCCAGTGCATGAAACCCCGCTCAAACAGTAGCAGAGTGTTACTTGCTCCTCTGAAGGAGGTAGAAAGACTTCTAGCTGGAACGACCTAAGACGGTGAGCATTTTTGAATGATTCGGAGACAATTGGTCACTGATTACTTAAATGCATTAGTGAAGGTAAGAGATGGTTTGGGTTGGGGTGCTCAGTAACAGAGGGCATGTCTTTGTGTGCAGAAAATCAGTCCCTAGTAACTCCTCTTAATGAAGGGGGTCTTAGATAGCAGGTTCTGAGAAAGACCCCCAGCATGAGACCTTGGAGAATGGTTGCCAGCTGAGGTAGATCTGGTGGAGAACCTGTGGTGTGTTGAACCTTGCAGAGGTTGCTGGATTCCAGCTGCCATTGTCCTTGAACATTGGTCATATTGTCTGTGGGCTGATGGGTCTTGGGGTCCAACAACACCTGGACGACCACACGTCCCCTATCCCTGGGCTAAATGGAGCAACAATTTGACTCTGCATAAGGCAATTTCATCTGAAGTAGACTTTCTGGGAGCACTGAAGCCATTCACTCTATTTCTTCCAGTTCCTTGCCATGCGTTTCTGTGTTATAGATCATGAAACACGCCCCAATGAACCCACTGAGGACAAACAGGCCCTTTTGTTTGAAATCACACCCAAGCGAGCAAAGGTGCATTAACGTGGTAAGTACCAGAATAAAACCAAGTTGCACCTACTGGGCGGTGAATAAAATTTCTCCCTGAATTAGATTGACTAAGACAGAATCTTAGTCCTGTGGTAGAAGAATAGAACTCTCTGTGTCAAGTCTTTAGGAGGGTTGTACTTCAAAACCGGTTCCTTCACTCCAGTCATCAGCCAGCAGAGAAGGGTGGTCAGAGAGGGGTGGGAATAGGTTGGTAAATATCCCCTCCAGTCTTTCAGTGTCAGGTTCCTCTTGGAATCTTGACCGTCATTCATGTGATGGGGTGGGTGAGGGACTACCGAAGGGCAAAGAGACAGGCACCATTTCAGGAGGTGCAGAAGGACAATCCTGTTACTGAGTCGCCATAGAACAGGATGAAGCAACCTTAAGGCTACACACTGAAGGGTGTCAAAGATTGGGTCAGCAATAAAACACGGAGTAAGTGAAGTCAACTCTTTACTAGAAGAAACAAGGTTGCTCAGGAGTGCCCAGTCTAATGAGCACAGCAACTCTTCCTCATAAGTCTTCCCCCTATGAAGCAGTTATGGAGACTGAAGGTCCTTGCCTTTCCATAGCTGCCTAAGCCGCCTCCTCTCCTGGGTCCTTCCCAAGCAATCTGAGACTCCGCCGGCACGTCTGTCTCTGTTCCTCCCTCTTCATACCTTTTCTGGTTCTGGGAGACCCAAGGGGAGGGGAGCTTGTCACAGCAGGAGGGGACAACACCTTGGCTTCGTCACTGGCCTGACTCATCTCTGCCTATTGACCTCCCTCCTCTCCTGCTTCTGCTTCTGGACTTTAATCTGCCACAGACTCTCCCTGCTCACTACGCCCCGTTACCTCTTCAGCTTCTGATGCCTCTTCCTCCAGTTCTTCTCCCTCTGCACACCACCACCAACCCCTGGGCTCTGAGTCTTCTTCTCTTGGGGGTTCTCCAGCTAGTGTCTCCCTCCATTCCTCTGCATCCAGCCAGTACATGACAAAGGGGGAGGGGGTTATATATTATCTGATGTCAGGAACTGATGTCTGAATAGTACAGCAAATGTTAGCCCAAACAGGGCCCATGATGAAATGTTGAAGAAATTAAGGATGTTTAACCTGGGGTCTAAATGTTGCCTCAGGGAGATCAGTAATGGTTGATGACCTCCCCAAAAGAGATTACTTCTACTGCAACTACTGCTACTACTCAGAAGGGTTGTAGGTCAGCGAAGAAGAGCCATACCCCAGTGCTGGAGTCTGTGTCTGAAAGCTGCTGCCAGTCAGTGTAGACAATACTGACCAGTGGTATAAGGCAGCTTCCTATGTGCTACTACTATGTATAAAGCATTTAACCTTTTTTTAAAAGACAGTCCCTGCCCACAGGCTCCCAGTCTAGCTAGCATAATACAAAAGGGAAAGGAATGGAGGTGCAAGCAAATTTAGATACCAAGCAGAATCATCTGATCTGGGTGGCAGGGCCGCCTCTGCCATTGGTCTCTGTGAAGTGGCCTGGCTGCCTCAGGTTGCCTATTCTGGTTGTTTAATGAAAGCCCAGCAAATTGTTAGTTATTTAATTTATTTTTTACTTCCCGGGAGAGGTGCTTGTGGAGTTTTCTGCCTTGGGTGCCAAAATAACCCACCTAACCTTGAGTACCATACACCTCGGTTTGCGGGGAGAGGGGGCACCGTTTGCAGGTCCTCCTCAGGCAGCAAAATGTTTTGCTTCCAGCCCTGCAGGTGGGCTGCACTGACATTTCCCTGTTCTTTATTATAACCGCACTGTGATGAAAATATAAAGAGGAAGTCTCATCCACCTGCTATATGACACAGGCGGATGGTTAGCAGAGTTTCACTTTGTTTAATAAATGAAACTGGTTTTGAGCTTGAGAGCTGAAATGAGACTTAAATCCATTCCCTCCCTCCCCAAATTGCAAATGTGGTAAAAGGGTGGATTATGTGTGTACCAAAGGAATAGAATCGAAATCCTGAATTTGATATACTTAACTATATAAAACCTATGAAGGAACAGATTCACACTCTAACCTTCCTATGGGCTAATAGACATTGCCAAAAGGCTACTCAATCTCAGGGGCTGGTGTGGTTAAGAGCAGGAGTTACAAGATCCCTGATTTAAATCACAGCAGTACCAGAATATTATTGGGTTGTTCAAGGCAAGGCTCTTTTGTCCCTCCTCCATCTTCCATTTGCTGTTGTTCTTGTTTAGTCGTATCCAACTTTTCGTGACCCCCTGGACCAGAGCACGCCAGGCACTCCTGTCTTCCACTGCCTCCCGCAGTTTGGTCAAACTCATGCTGGTAGCTTCGAGAACACTGTCCAACCATCCCGTCCTCTGTCGTCCCCTTCTCCTTGTGCCCTCCATTTTTCCCAACATCAGGGTCTTTTCCAGGGAGTCTTCTCTTCTCATGAGGTGGCCAAAGTATTGGAGCCTCAGCTTCAGGATCTGTCCTTCCAGTGAGCATTCAGGGCTGATTTCCTTCAGAATGGATAGGTTTGATCTTCTTGCAGTCCACAGGACTCTCAAGAGGCTCCTCCAGCACCATAATTCAAAAGCATCAATTCTTCGGTGATCAGCCTTTTTTATGGTCCAGCTCTCACTTCCATACATCACTACTGGCTTGGAGAAGTGCTGCCAGACAACATTTCATGCGCGTTCTTTCCATGTTCCAGGTGTTTGGACTGCTTACAGTTGCTGGGCTTCTGTTTGTGATAAGAATTCATGTCATGAAACCCTCCACTGCAGTTTCTCCAGGAGAGGAATACGGGGTTCCCAACACCCACAAAAACGACGACCGAAACACAGAAAGAGACAGAGTGATTGAGAAGGACAGCAGCAATGATTCATGCAAGTAAGACAAGCAAAGAAGGTGTTTTTTTTCCTGGTGTGTGTGTGTGTGTTTCCAGTGCCTTTTTTGGTCCCAGCATAAGAAGTGCCCCTGCAGGATGAGGCCAGTGGCCTATTTAGTCCAGCATCCTGTTCTCATAGTGGCCAACTAGATGCCTGTGGGAAGCTCGCAAAAAGGAGCAGCACTCTCCCTATTTGCAGTTCCCATCTACTGGCATTCAGAGCCACACTGCCTTCGAGCATGGAATAATAATAATAATATTAATAATAATAATATTAATAATAATAATAATTTATTATTTATACCCCGCCCATCTGGCTGAGTTTCCCCAGCCACTCTGGGTGGCTTCCAATCGAGTGTTAAAAACAATACAGCATTAAATATTAAAAACTTCCCTGAACAGGGCTGCCTTCAAATGTATTTTAAAGATAAGATAGCTGCTTATTTCCTTCACATCTGGTGGGAGGGCATTCCACAGGGCGGGCGCCACTACCGAGAAGGCCCTCTGCCTGGTTCCCTGTAACTTGGCTTCTCGCAGTGAGGGAACTGCCAGAAGGCCCTCGGAGCTGGACCTCAATGTCCGGGCTGAACGATGGGGGTGGAGACGCTCCTTCAGATATACTGGGCCGAGGCCGCTTAGGGCTTTAAAGGTCAGCACCAACACTTTGAATTGTGCTCGGAAACGTACTGGGAGCCAATGCAGATCTCTCAGGACCAGTGTTATGTGGTCCCGGCGGCCACTCCCACACTTGCTGTGGCTAGTAGCTGCCACCTTTCTCTTTTTAAAATGTAAGTGTTGTGAATGTGCCTGATACAGCATGTAAGATTTATTTATTTATTTATTTATTTATTTAAATGGTGTGTTTATTTAGGTATTTGCATATTGACTTTCACAGAGCATTCCAAGGCGGTGCACAAAAGACGACATGCAATTGTTTGTTAAACACATTAAAGCAGCGTTAAAATCTTTGACAACTAAGATACAACAGTGATCCAGGGCAAAAGCAGCATAATTCTACCCCACAAAGGGTTGCCACATTTCAAAAAGTAAAAACCAGGACACCCCGAAAGTTGTTGAGCTTTTTAAAAATAAAAACACCCCCCAAAATCCCATGATTTTTCTATTGACTTGCCTGAGATTCAGGACAAAGCGCCACCTTTTGGAAATTCCCTCTGCCTTTGAAATCCCAGTAATGTCTGGGAAAATGAAGATGTATGGCAATCCTATCTCACAAGAATGACCTGGGAACAGAGATATGTCTTCAAAAGCCACTGGAGTATCCAAAAGTTGAACTTGACTGTACAAGTTCAAGGCAGAAGTAATTCCACAGAAAGGGGGCCACTACAGAGAAGGCCCTCTTCTCCTAGTCAATACAAAATCAATACCAATCTATAATAGAGATACTGTCCTATACACACACATTCATTATAGGGAAAAGTGTATGTGATTGAATAAAGGAACTGATCAAAATTACAGCTGTCACCTATATTGGAATGAATTTGTTGTACATACTCCTTCCTTCACTAATTTGGATGTGATAGGTTAATTTTGGCATAATTGCAAAGCCTGGAACATAGGAAGCTACCCTATACGGAGTCAGACCATCGGTTCATCTAGTCTACACTGACAATGGAAGTGGCTCTCCAGGATTTTAGATGAGAACATTCCCAGCCCTACCTGGAGGTCCCAGTGGTTGAGTCTGGAATCTTCTGTGTGCCAAGCAGATCTTCTGCCACTGGGCCTCAGCCCTTGTCCTGTGTGTGAGCAGCCAGAAACTGTCTGACACAAGCGGAACAACACATTTCTTTCAATCTGAGGCAGCAGACAGCATGTCTGTTACTAAGCCAAAGGGCATCTTTTCTATATTATCCCGTTCATTTGTAAATTACCCTGGAATAAATGTTTACGAAGGGGGGTATGCAAATTCCTTCAGTCAAGGGTGGCCAAACCTTTTCAGCCTGAGGGATGTTTTAAGGGTTGGCCACCCCTCTGATGGCCGTGTGCCAAAGATGGCCGCCGCCAACCCATTGACGTGCACACCAACTCTTGCTACGCTTATGACACACGAAAATTGGCAGGCAGGCACACACACATCCAGACAGGCAGAAAGCCTGGAAACACACACACACACACACACACACACACACACAGCAGAGGGATTGTTTTGCTCCCTCCCTGAGTGGCTGGAATGCATCACTGAACTCCTGAACTGGCTCTTTAGCACACATTTAGCACACCAAGCATGCACAAGCTAGAAGGCTGATTCTAACTTCCACTACTGCTTTTTTTGTTTTAAGGCAGCTAAAAGTAAAATATAATCTGGCAAGGGGACTCGACATCTTGCCTTTTACACAAGCCATTTTGAAAACAATCCGGAAGGCTGGTTGGTCTGACATTATGATACAGATGTGGCTAATTCAGGAAAAAAAATGTTACCAAGCTTTTCTCTCACCCTGAAGTCTACCCTGTGAATTGGAGACTTAGCTCAGGTTGTCTTGGCGGCAACTGTTTTGACTGCGAAGTATTCTGCTACCCCTTCCCTCTTGCAGTTTCCAGCTAGTGGAAAGCCTTCCTTGGGACATGCCTTATGGACCAAACAGCAGTGCTGCAAAGCCTTTATACCAAGCATGGATGGAGTTGTTAAATATGACCCAGGAAAGCATTCATGTGGCTTCTTATTATTGGAGCTTGACTGGAGAAGACCTTGGAGTAAATGACACATCGTCTAAGCAGGTGAGATAAGAAAGGGTTGTTTTTTTAATAATACCGTATTTTTCGCCTCATAAGGCGCACCAGCCCATAGGGCACACCTAGTTTTTTTGGGGGGAAATAAAGGGGAAAAAATTTATTTCCCCCCCCCAGACGCGGGGCTGGGGTGGGGGAAGCCTGAGCTTCCCCCGACCCCAGCCCCCAGAACAGGCTGCTATCCGCAAGCCTAGGGAGCCCGGCGGGAAGTCGCGCCAGTCTCCCCAGGCTTGCGGATAGTTTCCTGAAGCCTGCATTCACCCCATAGGACGCACACACATTTCCCCTTCATTTTTGGAAGGGAAAAAGTGCGTCCTATAGGGCAAAAAATACGGTAATAATAATAAAATCAGCAGCTGTGTGTAGGCAGCATTTTCAAGGATGGGAAGACTTTACCACCATGTTGTCGACAAACCAACCAGTCTCGCATCCCCTGATCTGGGGGATATTTCCCATGCAGAATTTGGCATGTGCCGCCCCTCGTCCGATACAAGTAAGTGATTTGCCTTCTGTAGGGTGAAGATGTTCTCAAGAAATTCAAAAGCCTGCTTCTGAAGAACGTGTCTGTGTTTATTGCAACAAGCGTGCCATCTAAGGCTAAACATTCAACTGATCTTGAAGTCCTGGAGAAAAGAGGTAACTGTTTATTAAAATACTTCTGTTCTGCCTTTTGGCAGAGCAGCCCCCCCCCCCAGCAGCGAACAACATGAAAACAGTCATAAAATGCTTACGACCCCTCCCATTCCCACTGAAACAACATAAAATCCAGCAACTAAAAATCTTACACAAGAATTAATACACAAGTATTAAACTGCAGGGCCTCTTAAAACTGCCATATCTTTGTTGCACACCAAAAGGTAAGCAAAGAGGGAACTAAATGGAGCCTGCTGTTAAGTTGTGGGTGAACATATCAGACGACACAGCGATTCTTCAAACAGCTCTTGTTTATTCAGAGGCCAGAACAGAACTGAACTGAAGGGCTCAGTCAGCCTGCTTATATAGAGCTCCAGTACAACGTAACTGTAGCAACTTTCTAAAACTATCCAATCACTGAACGTCACTTTCGATCCCTTATTTGCATAACTATCTACAGTATCCCCTTGCTGGCCCAGGGTGAGAACTTCAGTACATAACACCTACTAGTCATGATGATTACGTACTGCCTCTGAAAGCTAGTTGCTGTTTTGTTATTATATTTCATACAATCGTAGGGAAACATATAATTGTAGAGTTGGAAGGGATCACGAGGTCATCTAGTTCAACCCCCTACAGGAATTTCAACTAGATCATACATGGCAGATGGCCTACCCAACATCTGCTTAAAAACCTCCAAGGAAGGAGAGTACATCCCGCAAGGGAGTCCGTTTCTCTGCCCAATCGCTCTTACTATCAGATAGTTCTTCATGATGTTTAGTCAGAATCTCTCTTGAATCCATTGTCAAAACAAAAAAAAATCCTTGAATCCATTGGTTCAAGTCCTAACATCTGGAGCAGGAGAAAACAAGCTTGCTCCATCCTCCATGTGGCTGCCCTTAAGATATTTGAAGATCACCACCATAGCTCCTCTCAGTGTCTTCTTCTCCAGGCTAAACATACCCAACTTCCTCAACCGTTCCTCATAAGGCTTGGTTTCCAGATCCTTCTGAGATCAACAGTCTTACTACCTGCCTCAGTCCCGCAACTCTGTAGGGGGTATTTAGTGAATTTGCATAAGGACTTCCAGTGAAGAGAGCCAGTGAAGAGAGCCAGTGTGGTGTAGTGGTTAAGAGCGGTAGTCTGCTAATCTGGGGAACCGGGTTCGCGTCTCCACTCCTACACTTGCAGCTGCTGGGTGACCTTGGGCCAGTCACGCTTCCTTGAAGTCTCTCAGCCCCACTCACCTCACAGAGTGTTTGTTGTGGGGGAGGAAGGGAAAGGAGAATGTTAGCCGCTTTGAGACTCTCCTTAAAGGGAGTGAAAGGCGGGATATCAAATCCAAACTCTTCTTCTTCTTCTGAAGTAAATGTGTGTTACGGCTTGAGAGCGTCTCAAGAAACAGTTCTTCGATCTCTTAAAAAACAACAACATTTTTTCCATAGGAGCCCACATAAAAAGGATTAATTTTGGACAGCTCACCCAAGGTGTCATGCACACCAAATTCTGGATTGTAGACATGAAACACGTATTTCTTGGTAGTGCCAACATAGACTGGAGAGCCCTGACTCAGGTGAGAGATTTAAGGCTATTAAGATGAAGTGGCACAGGGGTGGGAGTAGGGAGACTGAGTTCACAATACTTAACAGGAAGACTAAATTTGCACGGAAACATCCTGAGAACCGGTTCTATTAAGACGGGTGATTTTATTTGGGGGAGAACATAAAAACTTAAAGAGTCCATCTGCTTACCTGGCCAAGCTCAGTTGTCTTCTTTCCTTCCAGCTGTCGGAACATTTCGTTAGTCTTATACTATCTATCTAAAGATGCAAACGAGCTTGTCCTACATTTCTGTTTCTAACCATAGCTACTCAAGTTGTTACGCTACATCGGTGGTTTTCAGATTTTTCTGCCTTGAGGGGACTCTTTCCATGTTGCCTGCCAAGGCACTGCTCCAGCTTGGCTGTGTGTTGAACAGGATTCTGGGTACACACTCCATTCACACATGGTATTGCTATGGTTCTTGGGCCACTGTCATCCTGTGCCAACTAAGGGCCAAACTTGACATGATGTGGTAGATCTGCAAATTGAATTTTTAGAGCGCTTCTAGCTGCAGGGCAGTTTGGATTGGGAGTATGGCATTGAGGGAAAACTGCCTAATCCCTTCCCCTGCACTATTTCCCCAAAGCCCCCCACCCCAGCTGCTATTTCCCCATACCGTATGGTTAACTCTCCTTTCCCAAATGCTCTGGTCCACCCAGATCTCCAATGTCACACCCACTTGGGGCCTCAGATTGCACCTTTGCAGCAGAGGCGCTGCCCTACAGACGGGCGCCAAAACAATCCTGTAGAACAGAGTACGAGAGGTGGGGTGGTGGGTGGGCACTGAATTATAGTGTCAAACGGGGCACTGCTGAAATCTGAGAGCCCAATTCTGCCGCTGTTTGGAGACACCTAACATCCCTCTATGGTTGCATGTTATGGAGAAAGATCAGTTCTAGTGGGCAGGTTTATCCATCAGGAAAGCTAGTCCATTGTTACTGCTCTTTCCGTGAAGATGGAGTGATTAGGTAAAGAGAGAGGAGAGCGGCAGGGGTTCTTTAATAGTTTTATAGAAGAGGGAATTTCAACAGGCCTAGCTTCTCATGCAAGAGAGCTCTCCTGCTTCTGGGGTCACCCTACTTGGGCGACCCCTGACAAGTTCCTAAGAACTCAAGAGTTCTAATATTTCACACACATTATCATAGGAAGCTGCCTTGTGGTCAGGCTGGTTGCCCGTATAGCACAGTATTGCCTACTCGAACTGGCAGCAGCTCTCCAGGTTACGATCCCCAGAACCCAGGTTGTGCTATGTGACTGCAGAGGTGTTGAACTGCTGAGCTCCGAAGCACTTGTAAAAGGGCATTTCCGCTTTCTGTATTTTGCTCTATGATTTCATTCAAACTTATGCCCTTGCTAGATATACAAAGAAAGAATGAAAACAACAATTTCCGCCCCCCCCCCTTCCCAACAGGTGGGTGGGGTTTGCGACACCGAGGAGACTTACCTGGTCTGGTGCCTCTCACCTGGGTCAGGGTGGCTATCGTCCCGCCTCCGGCCTGGGAGAACAATGGACGGCCAGCTGGGGGTGGGGCGAAGGCCAAGGGAAAGAGGCCGCCCCCTTTGGCCAAACCTCACTTTGTTTCTTCCTCTTCCAGGTTTGGTTTGGAATATTGGTCTCCAGTTTCTCTCTTTCTGCAGGTGAAAGAAGTGGGGGTTTTGATCAGCAACTGCAGCTGCTTAGCTAAGGATCTCTGGAAAACCTTCAAAACCTACTGGGATCTTGGGGAAGCAAACGCCACCATCCCATTTCCATGGCCAAGCAATTATTCTACCAATATCAACAGCCACAGTCCTTTGGAAGTGCAGTTAAATGGAACCAGCACTGAAGCTTATTTTTCTGTAAGCAGACAGTTCCTAAGCATGTTTTCCTCATATTAACCCCACTGAATTCAGTGGGATTTACTCTCTACTAAGTGTGCACAGGATTACAATGAAAGCTTCTGTAGGAAATGTTTATTCTCATTGAAAAAACATGGGGATCAATAGATGATGTAGTAATTAAACTTCTCCTTTGCTCTAGGCTTCTCCTGCTTCCTTTTGTCCAGGGGGTCGCACCTTTGATCTCGTGGCAGTTCTCGATGTTCTCTACGATGCAGAAAAATTTGTCTATGTCTCCATGATGGATTATTTCCCTACAAGCCGCTTCAGACACCCGCCAAGGTATGAAGTGAAACCTGAATATATGTGCACCCTTTTATATTCTTAGCTAAATGCTAATTAGTTGTATAGGGACGCGGGTGGCGCTGTGGGTTAAACCACAGAGCCTAGGACTTGCTGATCAGAAGGTTGGCGGTTTGAATCCCCGCGACGGGGTGAGCTCCCGTTGCTCGGTCCCTGCTCCTGCCAATCTAGCAGTTCGAAAGCACATCAAAGTGCAAGTAGATAAATAGGTACCGCTCCAGTGGGAAGGTAAATGGCGTTTCCGTGCACTGCTCTGGTTCGCCAGAAGCGGCTTAGTCATGCTGGCAACATGACCCGGAAGCTGTATGCCGGCTCCCTCGGCCAGTAAAGCGAGATGAGCGCCACAACCCCAGAGTCGGTCACGACTGGACTGGTCAGGGATCCCTTAACCTTTACCTTTAATTAGTTGTATGACTGCTCCCTGCACCATCAGCTCTAAATGACACAGGTTTTGGGGTGTCGCACTGTAAAAGCAATGCAGGTCAGCCTGGGCTTCATGGGACACTAATGTAGTGAAAGACAGCTAGCTAGCACCAGAAGCTGTTACTTCTCTGCTTTAGCAGGAAGCCCAAAACCAAATAGTTCTTGTGTCTATAAAGCTCCCCATTGATCGTTTTACAAGCGTTTGTGGCTGCTGTTCACTTGGACTGGTGAGGTGTAAGGCAGGAGGCCAACAGTAGGTGGAGCCAGAGCCAATGCTAGGCAGAGCCAATGAATTATAGCTTCCTTCCCATCCTCCTCCCAAGTTCTACAAGAGCAACTGAGATGGAGGAGGAGGAAGCTGTCAGCTAGTACCACCCTCTGGTTTGGTTGTAAGCAAGAAGACAGGCAGGTGGGGGGCTGAAACTGAGGTTAATGGGGCAGTACCCATTTGCCCTTTTGGCCTACCTTCACTAATTACAATGTTGTTTTTGTAGATACTGGCCACCCATCGACAATGCTCTGAGAAGTGTGGCGTTACACCAAAATATACACATACGGCTTTTAATCAACTGCTGGGTCCATACTGATTCTTCCATGTTTCGTTTCTTGGAGTCACTGAGTGTCCTTAGCGATCAACATGCCAACATCACAATCGAAGTGGTAAAAGAAGCATGCTTTTGGGCCATGGGCTCCTTACAGACGCACATGTGTCATGTTCCTGGTATTGACAGTCACTTATGTAGCTTGTACATCGAATTTTAAGGGTCTTTTCTGGGTCATATATCATAGTGTCAAATGTGAACATGACAATCCTCAGACTGTTGCTTTTTCTGCACCTGTAATGCCAACTTTTAAAAATCTACACTGGCTAGAACTGGACTGCAGTTTTAAAATGCTTTTCTTCTGTTTCCTATCCATATAGGATCTCTTTCCATAGGAATAGTGGGAGTGATGCTCAAATGCACTTTTGTGTTGTGTGTGCTGCTAATGCCACAAGAATGAAAGAGGAAGTGTTACATTGCTGGATGGGGGAATTCTCAGGATGAATTGGGCTGAAAAGTTATTTCTCCCTACTGTAAAAACTGTAAGCTTAGGTATTAGCAATGATGTTGGGCAAATGTCAACAACCCAATTAATAAATTTTAAAATGTAAACAAACTTATAGATTGCTAAACCTAAAGTGTGTCCCCCCCCCAAGCAGGAAATAAGCCACAATTTAATAAACAAAAATTTCTTCTCACAGTTAAGAAAAAATAAATTTTGGTTAAAATCAGTAATATGGATCGTTTTCCATTCCTCCTTCATATAGCAGAGCCAAAATGGTTTTAAAAAATAAATGAGCTTAAAGCACATTGGTACTGTAGTAAATCCAGGTTAAAAAGCTGTGTTGATATGGGTTTACACTGTGTTGATATAAATGGCAATTTTACCACATGATGTGCAGTAAAATTCATTCTTGCTCTTGGACAGGATGATACAGATAGTGACTACAGACAGTGTCTCTGCACATATGTTTTAGCCTAACATCTTTTTTTGTAAACCACATTGAGGGTTTTCCCCCCTATAAAGTGGTATATCAATTTTATGAAATAAATACATTCTCTTTCGTTAGCCATGCTACCATGGGAGTTGCAGTGGAGGGCCCCACATTGGCTACCTCTGCTCTACACTTGTTGTTGTTGTTGTTTAGTCGTTTAGTCGTGTCCGACTCTTCGTGACCCCATGGACCAGAGCACGCCAGGCACCTCTGTCCTCCACTACCTTCCCGCAGTTTGGTCAGACTCATGCTGGTAACCTCGAAAACACTATCCAATCATCTCGTCCTCTGTCGCCCCCTTCTCCTTGTGCCCGCCATCTTTCCCAGCATCAGTGTCTTCTCCAGGGAGTCTTCTCTTCTCATGAGGTGGCCAAAGTACTGGAGCCTCAGCTTCACGATCTGTCCTTCCAGTGAGCACTCAGGGCTGATTTCCTTAAGAATGGATGCGTTTGATCTTCTTGCAGTCCATGGGACTCTCAAGAGTCTTCTCCAGCACCATAATTCAAAAGCATCAATTCTTCGGCGATCAGCCTTCTTGATGGTCCAGCTCTCACTTCCATACATCACTACTGGGAAAACCATGGCTTTAACTATACGGACCTTTGTTGGCAAGGTGACGTCTCTACTTCTCAAGATGCTGTCTAGGCCTGTCATTGCCCTTCTCCCAAGAAGGAGGCGTCTTTTAATTTCGTGGCTGCTGTCACCATCTGCAGTGATCATGGAGCCCAAGAAAGTAAAATCTCTCACTGCCTCCATTTCTTCCCCTTCTATTTGCCAGGAGGTGATGGGACCAGTGGCCATGATCTTCGTTTTTTTGATGTTGAGCTTCAGACCATATTTTGCGCTCTCCTCTTTCACCCTCATTAAAAGGTTTCTTTAATTCCTCCTCACTTTCTGCCATCAAGGTTGTGTCATCTGCATATCTGAGGTTGTTGATATTTCTTCCGGCAATCTTAATTCCAGCTTGGGATTCATCCAGCCCAGCCTTTCGCATGATGTATTCTGCATATAAATTAAATAAGCAGGGAGACAAAATACAGCCTTGTCGTACTCCTTTCCCAATTTTGAACCAATCAGTTGTTCCATATCCAGTTCTAACTGTAGCTTCTTGTCCCACATAGAGATTTCTCAGGAGACAGATGAGGTGATCAGGCACTCCCATTTCTTTAAGAACTTGCCATAGTTTGCTGTGGTCGACACAGTCAAAGGCTTTTGAATAGTCAATGAAGCAGAAGTAGATGTTTTTCTGGAACTCTCTAGCTTTCTCCATAATCCAGCGCATGTTTGCAATTTGGTCTCTGGTTCCTCTGCCTCTTCTAAATCCAGCTTGCACTTCTGGAGTTCTCGATCCACATACTGCTTAAGCCTTCCTTGTAGAATTTTAAGCATAACCTTGTAGAATTTTAAGCATAACCTTGCTAGCGTGTGAAATGAGTGCAATTGTGCGGTAGTTGGAGCATTCTTTGGCACTACCCTTCTTTGGGACTGGGATGTAGACTGATCTTCTCCAATCTTCTGGCCACTGCTGAGTTTTCCAAATTTGCTGGCATATTGAGTGTAACACCTTAACAGCATCATCTTTTAAAATTTTAAATAGTTCAGCTGGAATAGTTCAGCTGGAATACCATCACTTCCACTGGCCTTGTTATTTGCAGTGCTTTCTAAGGCCCATTTGACTTCACTCTCCAGGATGTCTGGCTCAAGGTCAGCAACCACACTACCTGGGGTGTACGAGACATCCATATCTTTCTGGTATAATTCTTCTGTGACCCCTTCATGGATCACTGCCTTGCCGTGGCGAAGGGGCTTGAAGAACTCAGAGAAGCTATGAACTCAGAAGAAGCTTGAAGAACTCAGAGAAGCTATGAACTACGCCGAGCAGGGCACACAAGATGAACAGGTCATAGTGGAGAGTTTCGACCAAACGTGATCCACCTGGAGGAGGAACCGGCAAGCCACTCCAGTATCCTTGCCAAGAAAACTCCATGGACAAAGACAACTGCTCTACACTACAAATGACCAATTCAGTCACGGCCACCTGATCTGTGGCAAAAAACCTCTTTACCGCTTGACAGGACTACCGTCTTGGTTTGGCCCCTGACAGAATCAGAGAGTGGAAGGTCTTGTTGGCCATCCATTTAGTCTCTGCTTCAAGATATCCAGTGACCAGTGTTGTTTTTTTTTTTTACTTGAAAAAGAGGTGCAGGTACTCACCATGAAGCTGTTAAGTGCCACACTTTTTAACAACAACAACAAAAGATTTGCCGGTACTACGTACCTTTGAGTACGCCCTGAGGGGGAAAGCACTGTCAGTGATAGAGAGCCTACGTCCTCTCTAGGGAACCATTGGTTCCATTGCCAAACCTCTGTAACCAGGATTCTCCTAAAGTTCAACCAAAATCTATCCTCTGGTAGTTCAAGCCCATTAGATGAAGTCCTGCCATCTGCAATAGCAGAGAACAAGTATTTGCCCTCTTTTATGTGACAGCTCTTTTTATGCTTGAAGAGTGCTTCTCCAGGCTAAATACAACAAAGTCTTCAAAGCTTTCCTCATAGATCTTCTTTCCCATCCATTTGACCATCTTCGTTGTCCTCCTCATCTGTGCCAATTGAGATGATGTGCACCCAAAAGGCACTATTAAATGCAAAGCTCTCTTATAATTTTTAGCAGTGGGTTTTTCCTTTTTCTTTTACTGGCAAATGGAAGTGGAACGTCTACTTTAGCTTAGCCAAAAGCTATTCCTATTTTATTTCCATTACTTGGAAAAGGCAGTCAATTGTTGGAAACTCATAAAGTCATCTGTGTTTAATTCTCACTCATTGTAGACATGTTTTTATATTTACATCTTACCAGAAAATCTTCACTGTTCCAGTTGGAAATCACACAAACATCCCCTTTGCAAGGCTGAATCACAGCAAATATATGGTGACTGACAAGGCAGTCTATATTGGTAAGTGTTGTGGCCTGGTAGAGATTGTGGTCTGCGTAGAAGTCAGCTATACAGCTACAAATATAACATTTTAAGTGCATTATACAAATGCTGTGCTTTTTTCTAAAAATTGTTTAGGGGTACTCTCATTTTCCTACTCATATTGAAATACCGCCCCTCAAATAGGCCAAACGTAGATTCACAAAATGTTTAGAGGTATGCGTCCTCCTGCGTCCCCCCAGTAAAAAAGCATGTACAAATGTGGCACTAGATGGCGATGGCGAGCTTATGGCAAATTCAATATATTTTTCAAAATGTTTTGATTCTACCCTAGAGCACATTGCAAGAATCAAGTCTTGAGGTTACTAGGGCATGAATCACCACGTCCAAGAATAAGCTGGTAAAAAGCACTGCTAGTAATTCACATTAGTTTTGAGGGTCCTTATGGATTTTTCTTGACACTGGATCCTGCCTGTTTCAGTCTCTTTCTGGAGGGGTGAAGGTCAGAATGACCAGTTGAGAGCCAGGCCAGAGCCAGGTTTAACCTCTAAAAGCCATTTCATAAACGCAAGCAGCTAAAACTATTTTTCTCTCTCTTGCCTTGCAAACAGCGAGCTTTGCAAACAGCAAGTAGATTCTGCAGGTGCAGCTAGCTTGCCCCTGCAGGAAGTTTGCCAGTTTGAGGTTAAGCCATTTCTGAGAAACGACCCCTGAGAAAGGCAAGTAGCAGGATGTTGCTGACCGCCAGGGTCCAGATATAACTCTTAGGTGTGAAGTGGCTAAACCACAAGTACATTTCTTGGAAGGAGGGGGTTCAGGGGCACTTCCTGGAACTAGTAAAGAGGTTAAGTAGATTATAAACTCGCAGCGCCACCTAGTGTATAATGCAGTTTGGAACCGAAAGGCCAACATCAATTTATTAATTGGTTGAGCTTCAATGAATATGCATAAAGGGGAATGTTTGAGGGCTGGGTCAAGGGTTGAACCATTGTTTTGCCTGAGGGGATAAAAACTGTTTGCCCCTGGTGTTCGGGGGCATTCTCTCATTTCGTCCTGAATGCACCCCTTTTTTGCTTTTTGTCTGACAAAGACCAAATTGAATAAAACTTTTGTTTTAAAGAAATATTGCTGCCTGGATTTTTCCATTCTGGTCTGTATTCTGAAGTCTCTAACATTTCTGGTGCCGTGACTCGGATAGGGACCTTAAGTCCTCAAAAGACCAGAAGGCAGCTCCCTTGTCCTTTTCTAGGCAGGACACAGGGGAAGAGCCAATAGGCCGCTTACTCCTGGCGCCACCGAGGCTTTTCTTCGGAGGAGGGCGAAGCCAATTTGACCCTTCTGCTGGATCCTGGAAGAGAAGGCAACGGATTGAAGGACCGAGGTTGACAGGACAGGCCAGAGTCCAGCCGGCTGGTGAGTACATGGAAAAGGGCCCTGGGGACAGAGGAAGACAGAGACCCCCTTGTAATTAAAAAGGGGAAGGGGCATCCTGATCACATGCCCAAGCGTGTTTGGTGGCAGTAAGGGAAGGATTGGCCCCTGATACCCACCCACGCTTAAGGATTTAAAGGAAGGCAGAAAGGAAAAAAGGGGGGGAACCGGGAGGCTAGTGTGTGTGGTACAGCGTCCAGTGAAAGAGGCACTTGGTGCGTGTGTGTGTGTAACCCCAGGGTATTCCCCTGGGGTAGAACCAATAAGTACTCCGGTTCCCAGCAGCGCGAGCTCGACTGGGCGAGGAAAATTGGGAACTGCATGTGTGTGTGTTTGGTGTTTGGGGACGCTGCACAAGGGCCATATTAAATATGGGAGGGAGTGGCTCAAAAGGTCTAATAACTCCCCTACAGTGCATGATGAACAATTTCAAGAAAGGATTCAGCGGAGACTATGGCGTTGTGATGACGCCAGAACGCTTACGCACTCTGTGTGAGCTGGACTGGACACAGCATTGAACTGGGAAGAAACATAGGGGCCCTAGCTGGGACAGGGCAACAAGGAGTATCTTTTGAGGCTGAGTAGTTACTTAGAGAAGAGTTTCAGACTCAGATTCAGATTTGGGAGCGATGAAGGGGATCGCTCCAGAGATCCCTTAGGTTATCCAAGTTAGTATACAGAACTAGAGTGCATACAAAGCTTTCAGATCTCTGGACCTCAATGAAGGCAAGAGTTCAGCCAGGCAGAGCTGGAGGGTTCTCTGCTGAGCTGTAAGTTTGATAGTAAGGCAAGCCTCCTAGTTTCTCCAAAGCCCATCACTGAACTGTGAAGCACATGAGCCTTGCAGACCTCCAACAGTTTTGATCCCTATAGTAACTACAGCTTAACCAGGGAGGGCAAGCTAAATCCCAGAACTTAGCTAGGGAAGAGCTGGGTATCTATGTGACCAGCGGCAGTTTGGAACACATCAGGGAAACCACCAGTAGTGCCCTAGCTTCTCTGATGACCAGTGAGAGGTGGTCTATGGCTAGGAAATACGAAATGGTTTTAGACCTATAGCAGTTATAGTTGAGACAGGGAGGACAATTTAATTGGTGTCCTTAACCAGGCACCAGTTGGATGGCTCGGTGCTCAGGTGTGTCTCAGAGAACACTGCAGCAGACCCCTGGTTTGGGACTCAGGCAGAGAAACCTCAAGAGAAGACCTGCATCTTTGTGGCCACCACAGTTGACAAGTTAGTTGCCACAGAAAAAGGATGAGGGAACAGATGAGAAAAAAACAACACAAAAAAAAACCTGCATAAAACTAAAAGAGGAAGAAGAACTTTCTCCATTTAACTTGCATGAGTTTGTGAACATGGATGAAGTTCTAGAGGTTCACGTGATAATAGACAACCCCCACCCCCCCTTGGCTGAAGAAATATAAGACTGATCAATGCAAAATTAAGGAGCACAGGCAGGAAAACGCCTCAAGAAGCCCATTTACCAGGGATCCGAGGCAAAGTCCTGGCCCCACCCCCATATGATCCAAGTGCCGTGGTGGCCCCCTTGGGAGGACAGGGACAGCCCCATATCCCCAAAGCTCCACCGCCGCCCCAATATGCGGCCCAGGGAGCCGAAGCAGGAAAGGGGGGGCTGCCAGACACCCCAGAAGTAGACGAGGCAGAGCCCAGTGACCAGATCCTGGACAAAATATACCCCAACCTTAAAGAATTGAGGGAAAGGATGAACAAATACAGAAGTTTGACCACTATGTATCGAGAAGCTGCAGAAGCTTATTACAATGTTCGAGGCAAAGCATTGGGGGAGCACATAAAGCGGTCCAGGTCCACCGCAGAGGCAGGAGAAGCAGAAGTCCTGACCCCCCTTCGTGTAGTTTGGGACAAGCCACTCCCTGCGCCTCCGTTCACCCTTCAATATGTCCCCTTCACCACCATCATTTGATGAATTGGAAGACCCACACCCCTGCGTTTGCTGAGAAGCCCCAGGCAGTTGTGGACTTGCTGTCCTCTATATTTGCAGCGCATGAGGCTACCTGGGCAGATTGTCAGCAATTGCTGAGCACTTTCTTTACCTCAGAGGAAAGGAGGAGAATTAATACACAGGCTTTAGAATTTCTTGGAACGCCTGATGGAGGCATACAGAATTTGGACCCCCTTTGACTCTGAACTCCCTGCACATGAGTTAATGGTAAATGCCTCCTTCATAGGACAATGTGCAAAGGACATTAGAACCAAAATCCAAAAACAGCCTGGGTTCCAGGGCATGTCCAGATCTCAGATCATGGCCATCGCCCAGAAGGTGTTTGAACAAAGAGGAGAGGCTGAGAAGAGGGAGAAAAGCAGTGGAGGAAAGAAAAGGCAGCAGTGTTAGGCACAGCAATGGCTCACAGGCCAGGGACCCGAGGGGTCCGTCGTAGCCATTCAGAGACCCGCGGCCAAGGGGGAGGAAGATGCCTGTTCAGCAACAGCAAGGCCATAAGAATTACCCCTGTGAAAGGCTGCATGGAGCCAATTGGGAAGCCTGGTCAAAACGCATGTATTACTGGCTGGCAGAAAAGCAGCTATGGAAAAATACACAGGCTGAAACAGGCTTTGCCCAGCCCATTAAGAAGTTTACAGGCGCAGTGGAGGCTTGTGAAGGAGACGTGGCTGATGCTCTAGAGAAGCCCTGGGTTGCGTGGCAGGGATTGAAGACGGCATGTCAGGCTGCAGTGGAAGCCAGACCAGAGGGGCCTAGAGGACGCCCAGAAAGCCTAGAGGGGTCTGAGGCTGCTTTGAGAAGTTGTTTCTACGGTTCAATGCATCTGTGTGATGGACTGTGTGTTGGAGAAAGGCTGAAAAGGCAGTTGCAAGCTGTTCCTCAGGCAATGGAGTACCCAAAAGTGGGGGTGCAGGCCAGGCAAGCCATTCCAAGAGTTCTGAGGAGGCCAAAGTCTCCAAGAGTTATTTGTCCTCTGAGGTGAAGTCCAACAGCGAAAGGCATTGCCATGCAATTGGCAGCTGGATGCAAGGCTAACTTCTATATTGATTCTAAATATGCCTTCTTAACCCTGCATGCGCATGGCGCCCTATGGAAAGAGCGGGGCTTGAGTGGAGCCCACGGGAAAGCTCTGAAATACGTTCCAGAAGTTGAGACGTTACTAGAAGCTGTATGGGCCCCCAAAAAGATTGCTGTAATGCACTGCAAAGGCCATGATAGAGGTTGGGACATGGTCACTAGAGGCAACCGGAAAGCAGATAATGCAGCTTGTGAGGCAGCTCTGAAACCTCCACCAGTGGTCACCACCGCCCTCAACCCAGCTACCCTGTTACCGGTAGGAGAAGGTGAGGAGCAGACGCACGATTGCATTGAGGTTATGGACACAAGACTGGACCTGGAGAAGTGGCCAGAGGAAATCGATTGGCAGACAGAGTGGCCAAGGAAGCAGCCCGGGAACCGGCCCCCGCCTCAGTTATTGGAGCAGTGGTCCCAGAAGAGATCTTAAGCACTGCTGACAAACCAGATACTATGTGTCCACCCACATGAGGCCAGATGCCACAACCAGGCAGCTGGAGAAGTATGTCTATATAGCCAACCTTTATCAACTGGCAGCCCAGATTTCCAGGAAATGCCTGCTATGCCAAAAGAATAATCCCAGAACTCACTCCAGACGATGTGGAACCACGTTACACCCTTGATGAACAGCAGTGGACCAGCCAAGAAGGAGCAACGCTCCAGGAAGGACCAGACAGCCGTGTTTTTGTGCCCCAACATCTGGCCAGCACAATTGTAAAGAATTACCATGAGTCCACCCATTTGGGAGGCCCAGCTGCTAAAGCACACCTTGGGAGAATATTCTATCTCAACTAACTGCTGCTATAACTAACTGCTGCTATATCCCAAAACTGTGCCCTGTGCGCCAACCAAGAGACTGAGACTATCACCCTTTGAACTTCTATATGGCAGGCCAACCCCTTTCGTCCGAGACATCCCCGCCAGTTTGGGGCAGATGGGAGATCACATCACCCAAGAAGAAGTGCAATCCCTGTGTTTGTGGTGTGTGTTTGCTTCCTTTCCAGGTATTCCCTCGAGCGTACACCTGCAGTCCCGCGGCAGTCTCGCTGAGCCGGTTCACCAGTTCCTCTGGGTGACAGCGTCTGGCGCCCCCTCATCCCCAACTGCAGTGAAAGTAGCCGAGGTGATCCCCTGGGTACATCACACGCATCTGAAGAAGGGTGTCTGGACTTGCAAGAGAAATCCTGCTGACCCTCTGAAGTTGATCATCACCTTGTGTCTGACGCTACCAGGGAAAAAGCGTTAGGCCACGGGCAACGAGATCCTGCGACTAATCATCACAAGGACAGTTACAAAGACTTTCTCTTTTCTCTCTTATTTTCTTTATTGACTTGCTCTATGTCTTATTGCCCTGACCCTATCGAACCATACCAACCCTATTGGCCTGCTGACCTCTGCCGGTGGTAAGAGACGGCATACTCGTAGGCTCTTGGGAACGAGGGTTCAATAGGGCGGCCGCAGTACAGCATCCCACTCTCCCACTGTGGCTCTTTATTCACTGCATTGCCCAGCGCACTTGGATGTGGCTCCTCCGGGGAGCTGCAGGATCGGTCGAAATCTATCGAGTTCTAGACCGCTCTTGGGGTTGTGGGAGAATAGCCTGCTGGTTGCAGGGTAGAGCACTGTACCAACCCCCATTTGATAAACCAGGCCCAAATCTTACTCCAGGTGTTGCATGGGAGGGTGTCTGAATCAGGTGCACATTAAAATTACTGAACAGGTGCCTGTGGGTTCTGCAGCCCCACCTGTGGTTGTCGTGGTGGCTCAAGCCTCCCAAAATCCCAGAATACTACCTGAACTACTGGGCCTGGTAACTCCACACCTAATACCCTTGAATGTGGCAGGGTATTCTTGTGGCTGCATAAGAGTTGCCACCCAGTAGACAGACAGGGCACCTAGTTCCGGAAGAATTGGATGGGAGGGGTGCCCGCGGGCAGGGTCCCCAACGTAGAAACTTGCTCTCCAGCAAATTTAGAGGCACCACTAGGACTTTTGGTATTGGGACCAGAACCCCTTGATATAGTCACCCCGTGTGTCAGGCCGTTGCAGGGGTGGATATATTCTTGTGGGTGCATGGTGATATATGAAGAGGGGGAAGCCCCTTTTGGGTATAATCTCTTGAGGAGACAACACGAGGGCCCAGTCCACCCACAAGGGATTATAGGGAAATTGCTCCATATAGTGGGTGCCTCAGCAAAAAGGTGGAGAGTCACCCCTGAGGCCCAGCGAATAATTGAATACGAATATCAGTGGGCCCTTCAGCAGTAAAAGAACATTAGGAATGAACCCTGAGTATTGGTGCGAGGAACTATGGAAATATTGGGGTTGGTGGGTAGGCGTGGTATGTACTGCCCTACTTCTTTGGATGCTCCTGTATTTTTGCTGGCATTGGCCAAAGCGGGAAAGAGTTCCCTGGTCTCCCCTGCCAACTTTTCCCGTCTAATGACTGAGTGGGGCATCCATAACCCCTACACTAAGTGTTTACAAGTGGCTGAAGTGGTAGCCCATTCTGCCAATAAGTCACCCCAACAGATGCCACGAGTGGATTACCACTTCTCCCACTGCCACTTAACCGTTCCGCCATTCACAAACGAGCATTGGTCAATGCAGCTACATGTACGCATATCCTGGCTCTCTATGATGTGGTACCTATAGGTCCATCAAGCGAAAATGGAGAACCGTGACCGGTCAGCATTTTCGTGATGGAAAGGGGGGAATGGAGGGGTGAAGGTCAGAATGACCAGTTGAGAGCCAGGCCAGAGCCAGGTTTAACCTCTAAAAGCCATTTCATAAACGCAAGCAGCTAAAACTATTTTTCTCTCTCTTGCCTTGCAAACAGCGAGCTTTGCAAACAGCAAGTAGATTCTGCAGGTGCAGCTAGCTTGCCCCTGCAGGAAGTTTGCCAGTTGAGGTTAAGCCATTTCTGAGAAACGACCCCTGACAAAGGCAAGTAGCAGGATGTTGCTGACCGCCAGGGTCCAGATATAACTCTTAGGTGTGAAGTGGCTAAACCACAAGTACATTTCTTGGAAGGAGGGGGTTCAGGGGCACTTCCTGGAACTAGTAAAGAGGTTAAGTAGATTATAAACTCGCAGCGCCACCTAGTGTATAACGCAGTTTGGAACCGAAAGGCCAACATCAATTTATTAATTGGTTGAGCTTCAATGAATATGCATAAAGGGGAATGTTTGAGGGCTGGGTCAAGGGTTGAACCATTGTTTTGCCTGAGGGGATAAAAACTGTTTGCCCCTGGTGTTCGGGGGCATTCTCTCATTTCGTCCTGAATGCACCCCTTTTTGCTTTTTGTCTGACAAAGACCAAATTGAATAAAACTTTTGTTTTAAAGAAATATTGCTGCCTGGATTTTTCCATTCTGGTCTGTATTCTGAAGTCTCTAACATTTCCTCTCCCTCTTCCTTGAACTCTGCAGCTTTTCTTCAAGTGAATATTCTAGCAATAGTGCTTTCAATTGTTTGAAACCAGAAGTCTTATACGTTTGCCACAATGGGGAAATTTGAGCTTTTTTGGGGGGTGGGTGACTAGATAAATTAAAATTGCACCCTTATATACACTGCATTTTATACATCTCTAGGAACTTCTAACTGGTCAGAAGAATACTTCAGCATCACTGCAGGTGTGGGACTGGTTGCCAAGCAGTCTTCAACAGACGCCACAAAGAGAAACCCTACAATACAGGAGCAACTGAGGGCTCTCTTTGAACGAGACTGGAATTCCAAATATTCAGTAAAAATGGAAGACCTGCCTGGGCAGAAAGACTGTGCTTGGGAAGATGGATTTAAAAGTTCTTTCAAAAGCTAAATTATTCTTATTTTTTATTGCTAATGGGAATTCAGTTATGAGCTTTCTGCATGTGACATTTAGGATCGTTGTGGATTTGCCAGATGACGAATGTTTTAGTTCAGGATGTCCCAAACCTTGATCACGGAGTAGTCCCATTCACAAATTTCATTTCTATGGAATCGTATAGCTGGAAGGGAACTTGGATGTCATTTAACCCAATACACTGCTCAGTGCAGGATCTACAATGCAGGATGCAGTGTCCCTGGAAGGTGACCACTTAAATGCACTCAGTGAATGATAGCCTATTGCCTTGCAAGAAAGTCTGTCCCTAACAGTAAGAGCTATTTGACATGGAAGTTTTGCCTAATGTTTAGCTGAAACATGCTTCCCTGCAATTTCTGTTCACTAGTTATACAGTGGTACCTCTGGTTACGAACTTAATTTGTTCCGGAGGTCCGTTCTTAAGCCGAAACCGTTCTTATCCTGAGGCACGCTTTCACTAATGGGGCCTCCTGCTGCACGTGCGCCTCTGAGGCGCGATTGCCATTCATATCCTGGGGCAAAGTTCACAACTTCCGGGTTAGCGGATTTTGTAAGCTGAAGCGTTCATAACCAGAGGTACCACTGTAGTCATGTTGTATAAAGCAACAGGGAACCTGTCTGCTCCATCTTCTGCACGGCAGTCCTTCAGATATTTGAAGACCACTATAATGACTCCTCTTAAATCTTATCCTCTCCAGGCTATGCGTATCTGCAGCTTTGATCCAATATTGTGTATTGTGGAATGGCTAGGTTAGAAGATGTATTATAAGAGGGTACATGATAATTGGTCATCACTTGTCAACACTTGATCCTTATCCTTATTAATACCTTGACAATAAATGCTATTCTATGGTGTGGTGTGCCTTTTAGTCTGCACCCTTAAAATAGTGATTTCAAGCCAACACACTCAAAAAAATAAAGCCCAAGAAGGGAAAGTTAATTTTTTAGTTGTACTGCGCTGAAATTGTGCAAATACTCTTTGATTGTACAATTTCAAATTGCAGCCCAGAGATCAAAATAGAGTTATGCAACCGGGCAATTGTTGCATTTGCAAAATTCCACAAGGTGGCAATGTTTGAGAAAAGTATGGCCTGCTTTACTCTGCTCCCCCCCCCCCCGCCCATTAAAAGCTGTGCTTCATAAACCACTAACATTCTGTTTCTCAGTTCAGAACTGACTTCATCAGCACTGCTCCAGAAAGGTTTGAAGACTGTACCCTCAATTCTGCCTGAAAAAGGCAGCTGCAGAATAGCAATTTTAAAAAGCTTTGTCTGCTGTTGCCAGCAAGAGTTGCTTATTAAATTAGATTTCTATGGCCTTCTGTATTACTGTTCCTTGAATATCAAGGTGGCTAGTAACATTAATTGTTATATCTGCCTTGTATTGGAAGTCATTTCTATTTTGCATTTAAAAATAGGGAACTGAGGCTACCAAGTGAATTGACCCAGGCCTGCCTAGTAAATCTGTGTCCAAGCTGGTTATGGGCTTGAATATGGAAATTGTATTATGTTTTCAGTATACATTACTGTGGGATATAATTATGTAAATATAGATAAATAAACATTTTGGTGTGGGTGATGTGCGTATTTATATTGTCACCAACTACTTATAAGGCCGCTTTACACCTATTTTCTCCACATGGAAAAATAGGACATATATACCTGTGTTCAGCTTTCTGTGTTGAAATCATATGACTATATATTTTGCTTTGATAATTTGTGTTTGGGAGGCACAGTGCAGAATGAGCCTCAACTAAACAGACGTGTTTTAGATCACATGATCCATCTTCCTATTGCTCCAGATCTATAAACTATGGCCAGAGTGAATCCATCTTCTTGTTTCCTGGTTTGAATGGTTATTCTCTAGTTCTTTCCTTGGCATGGGCATATGTGGACATCGTATGTCTGGTTTTGCGGATGCTAGAAACTTATGTTTTCTAAATAAATAAACAAATAAATAAAATCTGGATATCTGGGGATTGTGGTATGTCTACATAGAGTGGAATGGAGGGACGTAGTTGGGGCTGTGGTCTAAACCACAGATCCTAGGGCTTGCTGATCAGAAGGTCGGCGGTTCGAATCCCTGCGACGGGGCGAGCTCCTGTTGTTCGCTTCCTGCTCCAGCTAACCTAGCAGTTCGAAAGCACGAAGTGCAAGTAGATAAATAGGTACCGCTCTGGCGGGAAGGTAAACGGCCTTTCCGTGCGCTGCTCTGGTTTCGCCAGAAGCGGCTTAGTCATGCTGGCCACATGACCTGGAAGCTGTCTGTCGGCTCCCTTGGCCAGTAAAGCGAGATGAGTGCCGCAACCCCAGAGTCGTCCGCGACTGGACCTAATGGTCAGGGGTCCCTTTACCTTTACATAGGGTGGAGGATCCTGTCCCAAAGTTAATTCCTGTGAAAGCCAGTGTTCCTTGGACCACAACTTATGGTTGTCTAACAGGCTGAATTCCTGCCAGGTGATCCTCAGCTTCAATGCCCAGCTCTGGCTTGGAGGCAGGGCCAGATTTAGGTTTGTTGAGGTCCTAAGCTACTGAAGGTAATGGGACCCTTTATATATCCAGCTGTGCTTTATCAACAACAAATTGTCGGCTGTTTTTTGTGTTGAATATATGCTATATAGTAATTTATGGACCTAATAGGTATCTAAAACCATTTGCACATGCAGAATGTAGGCACCCTGTACAAATGAGCAAAGCAGTGATACTTTAGGGAGCAGGCTAGCAGGCGGGGGCCATTCCTTACATCATAGGCACCTACACAACACAAAACATAGTTGCTGTATGTAGGTTTTATTTTATTTGTTTTTTATCTTATATTTTGGAAATGTACATCCAGGTTTTTTCCCCTTTAATTTTTTTTTGGGGGGGTCACCAAGAGAGTGGGACCCTAAGGTATAGTTTGTTTAGCTTATATGTAAATCCAGCACTGCCTCAGGCCCTGTCTACTGCTGGCCTGTCAGCTCCCTCAGGAAGTGGTCCATGAAGGAATGTAGTCCTTGGGCTTAAAAATATTCCTCCACCCCCCTTTATGTATCTTATAAATAAAATAGATACATAAAGGGGGGTGGAGGAATATTTTTAAGCCCAAGGTCTACGTATTTATATACTACCCTCCCATGAAATATCAGGTCAGTGTACAGCAATTACAAGCACTTTGAATGATATCTGGAAATGAATAGAGGCCAGGGTAGCTGAAAAGCCGAACACTTACCGTAGTTTTCGCTCCATTACACACATTTTTTTCCTCCTAGAAAGTAAGGAGGAATGTCTGTGCATGTTACAGAGCGAATGCTCCCCCCCTCCGTGGTTTCCAGCAGGAGAAGGGCCGCTGAATGGGGAGGAGAGAGGGACAGAGTGCCTGCTTCTTTAAAGGAGCAAAGCGGGAGAGGAGCCGCTTACACGAGTGTAAGCGGCTCCTGTCCGGTTGGCTCCTTTAAAGCAAGCAGGCTCTCTGTATCTCTTCCCGCTTTGCTGGAAATAGCAGGAAAGATTTTCAGCTCGCTAAGGGCGGGGGGGGGGGTAGGAGGGAGAGAAGCAGAACCTGCTTGCTTTAAAGGAGCCTCCTGTCCGGTAGGCTCCTTTAAAGCAAGCAGGCTCTCTGTCCCTCCAGCAAAGTTTTTCAGCTCGCTAAGGGGGGGGGGGAGGAGGGAGAGAAGCAGAGCTTGCTCCACGCGTGCTCCTTATCCCTTGAGTGCTTTTCCTTCCCTCCCCACTTAAAACGTGGTTACAAAGCACAGATCCACATGGATCCTCAGGATTTTTGCACTGGGTCACCCCAAATTCACCATCAGATCACATAGCATGTCCATGGCTACAGTTTGCACCAAAAAATCACGCACCCACTGTTGCCTGGGGCCGCAGTGGTGCAAAAACGTGGTTACAAACATGGATCCACATGGATCCTCAGGATTTTTGCATTGGGCTACCCCAAACTCACCATCAGATCACATGTCTGTAACCATAGCATGAACCACAAAAATCATACATCCACTGTTTCGTGTAGAATATTTTTTTTCTTGTTTTCCTCCTCTAAAAACTACATGCGTGTTATGGTCGGGTGCGTGTTATCGAGTGAAAAATACGGTAAGTCCTTTTCTAAAAAAAAACCTGCTTTGAGTAACCTCCTTGTGTGGCATTATATCATTTTAAATGGACTTGCTTTTACACTTTCTACTTTTGTGGTTTTAAAGGCTTTTTTAAAAAAGCTTTTTTAATCAACACCACAGGGCAGGGGTCAGCAAACGAAGGCCCGGAGGCCGGATCAGGCCCAACTGCCTTCAGGATCTGTCTGGCGGACTCTCCGTGGATCGGCATGAGGATTCTGTTCGTTCGGGCTGCGCCATTCCCCCCCCCCCGCACCATTCCTTTCCCCCCTCTCCCTCTCACACACTGCGGCAGCGCCTCCTCCCTCCCTCTTCCTGGCTTCTCCCCGCCCTGCCTAGAGGAGGAAGGGAGCTGGGCTGAGCTGGCTGAGCAGCATTTTAACCAGCCCCTCTTCCCTCCACCGCCGCCGCCACTGCCCTGGTGCTCTTGTGGACCAGAGAGCAGAGCAAACAAACAAACTCCCTCTGCCAACCCACGACAAACAGCAGTGGCGGCAGCCCCTGGGAAGGTAAGCACAGCAGCTGGGGCTGGGGAGGAGGACTACTTGCCCCCCATGCCTATTCTTGCAGCTCCCCCTCCCCGGTGCCGCTTCTCCAGCCTGCCACAAGGTCTGAGGGACAGTGGACTGGCCTGTGGCTAAATTTTTTGCCGACCGCTGCCACAGGGCAACCCAGTCAGAAGGTTGGCATATAATTAAATTGTTGTTGCTGCTGCATCAGGGGTTGACATCTTCAGGAAATTAGGTAAAGGGACCCTTGACCATTAGGTCCAGTTGCAGACAACTCTGGGGTTGCGGCGCTTATCTTGCTTTACTGGCCAAGGGAGCCGGCGTACAGCTTCCAGGTCATGTGGCCAGCATGACTAAGCTGCTTCTGGCGAACCAGAGCAGCGCACGGAAATGCCGTTTACCTTCCCGCCGGAAGGTATTTATCGACTTGCACTTTGACGTGCTTTCGAACTGCTAGGTTGGCAGGAGCAGGGACCGAGCAACGGGAGCTCACCCCGTTGTGGGGATTCGAACCGCTGACCTTCTGATTGGCAAGCCCTCTGTGGTTTAACCCACAGCGCCACCCGCTGGACATTACTAAGGCCCTAATTTCATGGGGGAGTTCACCAATGGCCTGAGCTTCCACGGTGCAGCAACAACAACAACCCCGGTCACTTGCCCACCCCTGTGGGTAGGGCAATTTGACTCCCTCTAGCTTCTCAGTACCACACTGCCTTGTGCGGAGGAAGACCAGTTGGCATATTGCCCTGGACTCTCTAAATCCGGAAAATGACCCTGATGGCTAGCGATCATTTGCTTATTTACGTCACAAGATTTACATGTGGCTTGATTGTAATAAACCAATAAATAACCTTGAAGCAGTTATCATTAAAATCTATGGCACAACGTAAATGGGCTCTAACTGGTAAGACTATAGAGGACTGACAAATTACCCACCCAACCCAGGTTTTGTTGTTCTCAGGTATTTTCTGACATCTGCAATTCACATAGCACAGTAGTAGCTTCACCTACTACTCTGGAAGTTGTCCCAGGTCCCCCTGCAGACTTTATCTACAGTACAGGCTTAACAGTCATTGTCAGACTGCTAAACTTGAATGCAGGAGAAGATAATTTCCAGATTTGCAGATAATTCCCAAATCTGCAGATGGAAGGGAAGGAGTTCCATCTCAGGGACATTCTAGGGTTTTGTTTTGTTTGTTTTTGCAAATGAACTCAGAATCCTAGTCCAAACAACCAGAGATTCCCCAACCCCCAACTTTCCCAGACATTTTAGATAGCCATATCGGCATGTTAGCATGGGTAGTATTTCTTCAGAATCAGAATGACGATCACAATACTAATGCTACTACTTTTATTTCTGTATCAGGAGGAGCATAGCCAGGATACAATCAACATTATTGCCGTACATAAGCACAATGTTTCACAGGCATGTGTGTACCATCTTGTCGGCTGCATACGTGTAGCAAGCATTCATATAATCCAAAAGGCAAACAATAACTATTTACAACCTATATCCTTAGGAAAGTTAAAGCCACTTACATATGTATGCTCCCTTCCATCTCTTATCCAAGCACTAAACTCCTGACTATTAAGTTTTATTTCTGAAGTCACTTGAACGCCAGTTTACAATCCAGTCACACTGAAGTACACACCTTAAGCCCCCATTCTGTAGGGGTACTGTTCTGGTCAGAAGGTCCTCTTTATCAAGACAGTTGGATCTTATGACCCTTGTCTTAAGATTGAAGTCAATGAATACCACTTTTGAATGGTTAGATGGATTAATGAATGTGATGGCTTTGGTCTGCCCAACACATGTCTTTGGACTGAGAGTGACCACTGGTGATCATGTGGTTACATATCTGTACCTGGCCTGTGGGTATTTCTTTTTACTGCTCAGCAGAAGGGTACAAAACAACACTGGGGCGAATGAGTCACACTGGGGTCAATGAGTGTCAACAAATGAATACAGATTACGGTTGACAAGTCATAACTTATGATGTAGGCATTTTTACGTCAACTGTAACCCCCTTCATGCCTCATATGGCTGAAGTGGGGATGACCCCATGGACCTTACCCCACTCAGTCTGTCATGACCTGACAACTGACACCATTGTCCTCCACATTTAGAAAAATACTTCAGCGCCAGGGATCCTTCTGAATTCCTTGCACAATTTAGAACACTGGCGAATCCGATGCTCTAAATCACACGGGCAGCCTAAATGTGTCCAGGAAGGTCCCTAAGGTTGGCTCTGCCATTAGGCAGAGTGGACAGATTGCCTCAGGCAGATACTAGGTGGTGGAGACAAGCAGCAAGGTGTTGGAGGACAGAGCTGTGTGTGCCACTATATTGCCCTGTGTCCTCTGTAGGTGAGCCCGCTGCCCTCAGATGCACTGTTCTACCTGCTGGCAGTGTCGCAGTAAGGTTCAGTCGGCAGTCTGATTGGCTTCTGTGTGAGGAATAGGGGAAGGGGGGGCATCTTGTCTTTCACCTCAGGTAGCATGTCTTGAACTGGCTCTCCCCCATCACACAATAATGAGGGAAGAACAAAAGAAGAGGCTTGTTTTGTCTTGCAAAATTGCATGAGGAATTCTGCCGCATTTCTCTACCTGATTAGAAATGTGAGGAAGTGTGGGTCAAACTCTCGCTGCTTGGCAGGACAAAACAGACCCCAATTAAATATGCACAGTGGCAAGTTTTCACATAGTAAGTCATTTGTATTCATCCTGCATCCACCATAAAACACGTGATCTGCTCAGGCAATCAGTTACAGGCATGGTAGCCAAAGGAATTTTGTGTGTGTTGGCCTCCAGTCGGTAGGAAACTGGCTGTGTGCATCATGTACTGGGTTCAACGTTTGCCTCCCCAGTGCAAAGGCTTGAAAAAAATATTTGCAGGGGCATAGCTAAAACTGCTTCTTCTGTACAGTGGCAAATGCATTTACCCAAGTTGCCACAGGACAAGCATGAAGGCAAGCAATATTTTTCTTATAGCTACTTTTCACCCAGGTGACCAGATGTTGGCTAGTCCTGATATTTTACATATATAAAACTTCAAAAGGCACGCTAACACATATCTTAAGACACTGGTGCTAAGATTCTTTGTCATTAAAAAGAAATTTCAGAAGTAACATTTATATATGTTGTTCTGCAAAATGTTTAGGACTGATACGCAATGTCTTTTAGGTGCCGATACTTCAGTTTAACTGATAGTCTTGAAAACTGGCAAGATGCTTCTTGACTGGAAAGGAAGTATAAGCATTGTAACATTTACAGTATTATTTCCATTTGGTCTATGCTTCAAAACAATCCTGAAATATGCCTATTGCTCAAAGATAATGAAAATATATTTATATATACTTTTCATAAGATAGCAGCAGAAATACAGTTAAAAAAATAAAATCTAAAAAAGAAAATATGTCTCCTAATTCTCCCAGCACTAGCTTCCTAATACTCTGCAAATAATCTAGAACAAAATCATTGCTGTGATTTGATTCTTAAATGACTATATTTAAACTTTTGTCCAGTCTTTATTCCTCTAAGTAGGTCTGAAGAAGGAACACTTGTGGAAATTAATAGAAAGGGTCTTTGTTGGTTTCATTAGAACTATGGATGTCTCTTGTCAGTAGCTTCCTTTGTCTATTTTTGTTTCCTTATGTCCCAAGCAACAAGTGTTTTTGTTAGGAACTATTTTTCTATATTTCAATGAGCTTGAAAACAGTACTGTAGTTTTAAACAAAACATTTCTTCACTCCTTTTAATGTAATGTTTTATTTATTTTTTGCTGGAAAGAAGGCAATGAGTTTTCTAATTCTCACCTGCCTAGAAAAGTGTTGCATCACATTTTTATGTATGCTTGAATTTTGAAGGAAAAGAAACCATCTTATTTTTATGCCTCTTCAGGAACGCTTTGGGGTGGAGCTTTCCCTTTCTCTAGCAGTATCAGTTCAGTTCTTGCGGAAGATGAAACAATGGGTGAGGTCTCTGAGGTTTCACTCTCTGCGATTGTTTCATTAGGTGGCAAGGATTCTTGTGCATCAAAAAAAGTTTCTGATTTTTCTGTCGGACTTTCCTCATCCTGAGGTTTTTCTTCTTTTGGATCTGTCTCTTCTACTTTATCAGTTTCCCTTCCCTTTTTTGTTGGAGATGAAAAACCTAACTTGGGGAATCTAAACCACCCAGCTTTTTCAGTTTGTTTGGCAGTGTCACTGTCTGATGTGGATGGGACATCGACTTCTGTCTCTTCTTGAAATGGTTTTTGAACTTCAGGTTTGGAATCTGCGCCTGTGTCATCAACAGAGGAAGAAAACCCAAGACTTGGAAGCCAAAATTTAAACCTGCCAGAAGATCTCTTACTATCAGATTTTTCCTTTGGATCTGTTGTTGATTCTTCTTCAGCACTTGCAACTTCAGTTTCTTCGGTAATTTCTACAGCCGATTCGGACATCATTGAACTGTCTGCAAACTCATCAGAAGATTGTACTTCAACTGCAAATGCTTTCAGCTTTGTCAGCTTAGTAGTAGAAGATGCTTCTTCAATAAGTTCTTGGCCTTTGTCTGATACTTTCAGTTCAGCAAAGCTGGTCTTTTGTGTTGTTTCTCTTGCCTTTTCACCTGAAGGTTGGTGATCTTTACTCTCAAACATTTCATTCGTATATTCTGTGGAAGACAGTTTGACTGGCATATCCAAGTTCACAAGTGATTCCTGAATTTTCACTTTTAAAAGAGAAAACCCATAGGTGGCAGTTTGAACTTCTGATGGAGGAATCTCTGATTCTCTCACTATCTGAGTTGAGAAAGATTCCTGACTTTCAGAATCGCAGGAGTCAAACGCAGATTTACCTTGTGGCTGTTTTCCGTTTCCTTCAAAGTATGGTCCTTCAATGTGCAGTGATGAACTTTGAATAAATGTCTCAGTAGATGGGAGTTTACACTCAAGTTGGGTTGTCTGAATATCTGGTTCTGTCAGTGTTGTAATTTTAGCTACTGATTTTTGGATTTTACCGTTCATGGTGTCTATTTTTTCTGTAGGAAATTTAATGTTGAATTCCATTGGCCTCTGTATGAGTGTTGTTGTCTCCTCAAAAGAAGGATCTGTAGATGGCAGTTTAGTTTCCACTTGTGTTCTTTGGATGTCAGACAATGTTGTAATTCTGACTGTTGATTTCTGGATATTACAACCAATGTCTTCTACCTTCTTATCGAGGAATGTAGTTCTGAATTCTTGTTGAGGGGCACCATCACCATCTGTATCAGTAGCAGCACATTTCATGTGTGTTGTGTCTTCTGAAGTCAACACTTGTCCTTCAGCTACAGATGTGCTGTATGTGAACTTGGGTATTTTAAGTTTGTGAATATGGAAATGTATCTCTGAATCTTCAAAATCTTGTTTGCCTGTGGTGTCTCCTGGTTTCTCCGCAAGGTCGAGTTTTCTACTTTTCATGTCAACAAACTCTTCTGCTTTTTGAGCCTGGATTCCAAATATCTGTCCTTCAGTTTTATCTAGTGACACCTCAGCCTCTGTTTTTGGTGGGTCAGCATCAACTTCTGCACTTCGTGATTTGGTACGTAAACTGCCAAACTTTGGCATCTTGAATTTTGATGGTTTTGTTTTACTTGAGCCATCTGTCCCTTCTGCTTTCACTTCTCCTTCCACGGGCATATCTTTTTCAAAGCCTTCTATTGGGTACTCTATTATTTCAAAGTCTTCATCAGTGACTGAAACATCCATTCTAACTTCTGGTGGTCTAACATCAGGCTCTTGCAAGTCAGATGTAGCATCATCAACTTTCTTGGTGGTTTTTGTGGTTGACCATCCAAAAGAAGGCACACTGAACTTTGGCATTTTGAATATGCTTTCTTTCCCTTGAATATCCTTTTTGGGTGATTTTATTTGGCTCTCCTTTTCAGTCTTTGCATCAGGGCTTTGCTCAGCGACGTTTGCATCTGTAATGATAGCATCAACTTTTTCCTCTGTTCCAGCCACAGTAATTTTAGTGGCATGTGTCTCAGCCACTGTCATGTCAATATCCACATTTGGTACACTGATTTCTGATGTGGGGGCAGTGGATGAAGTTTTATGTATCTGTACAATCTGTCCTTCAGCACCAAGCTTAACTACATCAGCATATGTTTTAGATCCCAGGGGACTTATTTTATCGTCAGCTTTTCCTGAGGCCTGTGAAAAACTGCCTTCCCCCATTAATAGGCCAGTTCTGAAGTCCTTTTCCTTCTGTATTGAAACGCCATCTTTTGTAATGTCCTCCTGAGGAAACATGACTTTGCCTTCTAAAATGTCCTGTCCAGAATACAATTCACTAACCACATGAGGAGACTGGGTTGCCATTTCAGGAGCTTTTATTTCTTCTTCAGCAAGAGGAGCTTTTCCTGTACTGCCATCTCCTTCAGCATCACCTTTTTTCCCCTTTGAAGATGATCGGCCAAATGAAGGCATCCTAAACTTTGGCATTTTAAACCAACCCGGAGACTCCTCAGTTTGAATCTCTCCAGACTTTGCTTCATGTTCTCCTTGTTCTTTTGCATCCTGCTCAGCAGGGCTGCGAACAGATATGCCAGATACTTCGATGTCAACTCCGGGCAGTTGTATTTCTCCAGCTGACACCTTTATTTCTGCATCAGCGGGTTCAGCTTTTACTTCCAAGGTTGGAGCTTCGCCGCAAAGTCTCTCAAAGTCCTTTGTTGCTTGTAGATGAGAAACTTCAGTTTCCATTTCGGGTAAGGTGACCCCAGTCTCTGGCAATTTTCCTTCTGGAACTGAAATTCCAAACTTTGGCATTTGGAGTTTTAGCATTCTAATTGTGCCCTCCGTAACATCAGTTTTCATACTTCCACTATCCACATTGATTACACCTTCAGATCCTATTTCTGCACTTTTCAGTTCAACTGAACTATCTATGGTGGGCTCCTTAATATCAACTTTAATATCGGTATCTACTTGGGGAGCTTTGATTTCCACTTTTGATGTGCCCTTTGGCATTTTTATGCATATTTCGGTTTCTTCTTCTTTCTGTGTGGTAAAACTGCTCTCTATATCTGGTATGTGTACCAAAGCCCCATCTCTTTCCAGAGTAATATCTGCCTCCACTTTTGGCAGGCTACCCTGCGATTTTGGTAGCTTTGGCCTGTGAAGGGAGATTTTGGGCATATTAAAATGAGGCCTTTTCATCTGACCTTTTTTTGTAGCTATTTCAGCATCTAGCTCCATGTGGACTTCTTGATCTTCTGACAGAACTGCTGTTAGTTCTGCATCAGTATCATCTGATAAGATAGTCAATTTAGGTTCTTCCAGAGGTTCCTTTGCAGTAGTTTTAAGACTTGCTTCCTTTTTAGGTGACCAATTAAATGATGGCAATTTGAATTTTGGCATTTTGAAATGCCCTTCTTTTTCTTCTGCATCTATACTTCCAGTCTTTATATCTCCCTCAAATTTAGCATCTTTTGCTGCAGCAACCAAATCTTGAGCCTCCGTCTCTGGCTGTGCCACAGAAAGACCCACTGATGGTAATTTTATGTCTATTGCTGGAATCTTCATGTCGGCTCTAGGGATTGGGGGCATTTTAATTTTCCCTTCGGGGCCGGTTTTTCCTGAACCAGCTAAGTCACCTTCTCCTTCAAGTGTTGGAGCCTCTACTGCAATATCTGCAATATCTGCAGTCGTTTTCAACTGAGGAACTTTGGCATCTTCAGATGGCAAACTAATCTCGGTGTCTGGAGTTTTTCCTTTAGAAAATGAGATTCCAAACTTAGGCCTTTGGAATTTAGGCCTTTTCATCTTCCCATCCATTCCTTCAGTTTTTATCTCTGTTACATCTACAGAGATATCAGTGGACGGTCCTTCAATTCCTACTTCTAGGCCTTTCACCACAGGGACTTTAATTTCTGCCATTGTTTTACTAACATTATCACCAACATCAAGTGATTTTAATTCTGCTTCTGAAAGACTGGCATCAGGTATAGAAAGTTTGACATCGCTTTCAGGTAAGCTGATTTCCATGTCCATTTTTGGAACTTTAAGTTCTGGTTTGGAAAGTTCTAGGCTTGGAAGCTTAACTTCGGGCATTTTAATGCCTTTTCTAGAATCACTACCACTGATATCTGTATCCCGCATTTGTAGTGACATCTTTCCTTCATCCTCTATCGTAGATACTGTCATGTCAGCATGCAACTGTGGTACAGATATTTCTGCTTTATGACTTTTCATTTTTGGAAGGGATATCTTTGGCATGCTAAAATGAGGCCTTCTGATTTTGGTTTTCTCGCTGTCTTTATCAAAAGATATGTGTCCCTCTAGGTCTTCAATGTGGACTTCACCTTCCTCTACAGTGAGTGTTAATTCAGATTCAATATCACCTGTTGGAACTGGAACTGAGGGATCTTCTAAATTTGCATAAATATCAGTAGAAACACTTGCTTCTTTCTTTGGAGACCAGCTAAATGATGGAAGCTTGAATTTTGGCATTTTAAATCTGCTTTCTTTTTCAACAATTTCTTTTTCATAGCTTTCACGTTTAATATTTTTGCCTTCTGAATCTGGTCTTTGGATGTCAGCATCTGATTTTGGAACAGAAATATCCACAGATGGAAAAGTGATCTCCTCGTCTGCACCTTTCACTTTGGGAAGCGAAATTCCAAATTTGGGCGCTTGGAGCTTTGGCATCTTAAATTTACTGTCTAGGCCCTCCATCTTTGCCTCAGCACCATCCAGAGTAATCTCAGCAGAAGGTACCTCTATTTGTAGGTCTGCAGCTCTCAGTTCCAAGGAAGTCTCCCCCTTTGGAATATTCACATCAGGTGCAGAGAACTTGATATCTGCTGAAATGTCCCCTGCCTTCATCTCAGGCTTGGTTACACTGGCGTCCGGAAGAGCAATGTCAACCTTGGGTGCGCTGACGTCCACATCGACTTTGGGACCTTTGATTTCTGGTTTGGAGAAACCCATCTTGAACTTTGGCGTGTGTATTTTCATCGCGCCACCATCAATGCTGCCTTCTGCATCAGGCACCTTAACAGAGACCTCTGCCTCTGGAACTTCCACTTTTGCTTTGGGAAGGGAGATGTCTGCTTCAACCTTTGGCAGTGAGACTCCCACTTGAGGAGTCTTCAGCTTGGGAACTTTGACGCTTGGCATTTTGACATCAGGCATTTGAATTTTGCCCTTCTCAGCGACCTCCAACTCCACACTAGGTGCCGTCATTTCAGCTTCAGGCAATTTCACGTCAGTCTCGATGCCCACAGAGGGCAGTGTCACTTCCCCTTTCAGTTCTGGTTTGGAGATATCCACTTCCACAGAAGGTAAGGTGAGTTCTCCCTCTACAGCGGCTTTCCCCTTGGGAAGTGACATTCCAAACTTGGGCATTTGGAATTTTGGCATCTTAAATTTACTGTCCGTGCCCTCCAGCTTCGCTTCAACTCCACCTAGAGTGACATCTGCCGATGGTGCCTCAAGCTTTAGGTCTGGAGCCTTCAGTTCCAAGGAAGCCTCTCCTTTTGGAAACTTCATGTCAGGTGCTGAAAGGCTGGTGTCTGCTGAAATGTCACCTGCTTTGATCTCACGCTTGGTTACACTGACGTCTGGAAGATCAATGTCAACTTTTGGTGCGCTGATGTCCACATCGACTTTCGGAAATTTGATTTCTGGTTTGGAGAAACCTATGCTGGGCATCTTGAACTTTGGCATGTGTATTTTCATCCCTCCACCCTCGATCCTGCCTTCTGCATCAGGCACTTTAACAGAGACCTCTGCCTCTGGAATTTCCACTTTTGCTTTGGGAACAGAGATGTCTGCTTCAACCTTCGGCAGCGAGACTCCCACCTGAGGAGTCTTCAGATCAGGGACCTTCATACTTGGCATTTTGACGTCAGGCATTTTGATTTTGCCCTTCTCAGAGACCTCCAACTCCACACTAGGTGCCTTCATTTCAGCTCCGGGCAATTTCACATCAGTCTCGATGCCCACAGAGGGCAGGGTCACTTCCCCTTTCAGTTCTGGTTTGGAGATCTCCACTTCCACAGAAGGTAAGGTGGTTTCTCCCTCTGCAGTGGCTTTCCCCTTGGGAAGTGACATTCCAAACTTGGGCATATGGAATTTTGGCATCTTAAATTTACTGTCCGTGCCCTCCAGCGTCGCTTCAACTCCACCTAGAGTGACATGTGCCGATGGTGCCTCAACCTTCAAGTCTGGAGCCTTCAGTTCCAAGGAAGCCTCCCCCTTTGGAAACTGTACGTCAGGTGCTGTGAACTTCATGTCTGCTGAAATGTCACCTGCTTTGATTTCAGGCTTGGTTACACTGACATCTGGAAGAGCAATGTCAACCTTGGGTGCGCTGATGTCCACATCGACTTTGGGACCTTTGATTTCTGGTTTGGAGAAACCCATACTGGGCATCTTGAACTTTGGCATGTGCATTTTCATCCCACCACTCTTAATGCTACTTTCTGCATGAGGCACATTGACAGATGCGGAAGCCTCTGGATTCTCCATTGCTGCTGTGGGAAGAGAGATGTCTGCTTGGACTTTTGGCAGTGAGACTCCCACCTGAGGAGTCCTCATTTTGGGGACCTTGACGCTTGGCATTTTGACATCGGGCACTTTGATTTTTCCTTTCTCAGAGACCTCCAATTCCGCACTAGGTGCCCGTATTTCAGCTCCTTGCAATTTCAAATCTGTCTCGATGCTCATAGAGGGCAGTATGACTTTGCCTTTCTGTTCTGGTATGGAGACATCTACTTCCACAGAAGGTAGGGTGCCCATGCCATCTACACTGGCTTTACCTTTGGGAAATGAAATTCCAAACTTGGGCATTTGGAATTTAGGTCTTTTAAATTTACTGTCCATGCCTTCCACCTTTGTCTCAACACCTCCCAAATCAACATCGACTAGTGGTGCCTCAACCTTTACGTCTGGAGCCTTCAGTTCCAAGGAAGCCTCCCCCTTTGGAAACTGTACATCAGGTCCTGTGAACTTCATGTCTGCTGAAATGTCACCTGCTTTGATCTCAGGCTTGGTTACACTGACGTCCGGAAGAGCAATGTCAACCTTGGGTGCGCTGACGTCCACATCGACTTTGGGACCTTTGATCTCTGATTTGGAGAAACCCATGCTGGGCATCTTGAACTTTGGCATGTGTATTTTCATTCCGCCACCCTCAATGCTGCCTTCTGCATCAGGCACCTTAACAGAGACCTCTGCCTCTGGAATTTCCACTTTTGCTTTGGGAACAGAGATGTCTGCTTCAAGCTTGGGCAGTGAGACTACCTCCTGAGGAGTCTTCATTTTGGGAACCTTGGCGCTTGGCATTTTGACATCAGGCATTTTGATTTTGCCCTTCTCAGCAACCTCCAACTCCACACTAGGTGCCTTCATTTCAGCTCTGGGCAATTTCACGTCAGTCTCGATGCCCACAGAGGGCAGGGTCACTTCCCCTTTCAGTTCTGGTTTGGAAACATCCACTTCCACAGAAGGTAAGGTGATTTCTCCCTCTGCAACAGCTTTCCCCTTGGGAAGTGACATTCCAAACTTGGGCATATGGAATTTCGGCATCTTAAATTTACTGTCCGTTCCCTCCAGCTTCGCTTCAACTCCACCTAGAGCGAAATCCGCTGATGGTGCCTCAATCTTTAGGTCTGGAGCCTTCAGTTCCAAGGAAGCCTCCCCCTTTGGAAACTGTACGTCAGGTCCTGTGAACATCATGTCTGCTGAAATGTCCCCTGCTTTGATCTCAGGCTTGGTTACACTGACGTCTGGAAGAGCAATGTCAACCTTGGGTGCGCTGATGTCCATATCGACTTTGGGACCTTTGATCTCTGATTTGGAGAAACCCATGCTCGGCATCTTGAACTTTGGCATGTGTATTTTCATCCCGCCACAATCAATGCTGCCTTCTGCATCAGGCACCTTAACAGAGACCTCTGCCTGTGGAACTTCCACTTTTGCTTTGGGAAGGGAGATGTCTGCTTCAACCTTTGGCAGTGAGACTCCCACTTGAGGAGTCTTCAGCTTGGGAACTTGACGCTTGGCATTTTGACATCAGGCATTTTGATTTTGCCCTTCTCAGAGACCTCCAACTCCACACTAGGTGCCTTCATTTCAGCTCTGGGCAATTTCACGTCAGTCTCGATGCCCACAGAGGGCAGGGTCACTTCCCCTTTCAGTTCTGGTTTGGAGATATCCACTTCCACAGAAGGTAAGGTGATTTCTCCCTCTGCAGCGGGTTTCCCCTTGGGAAGTGACATTCCAAACTTGGGCATTTGGACTTTTGGCATCTTAAATTTACTGTCCGTGCCCTCCAGCTTCGCTTCAACTCCACCTAGAGTGACATGTGCCGATGGTGCCTCAACGTTTAGGTCTGGAGCCTTCAGCTCCAAGGAAGCCTCTCCTTTTGGAAACTTCACGTCAGGTGCTGAAAGGCTGATGTCTGCTGAAATGTCGCCTGCTTTGATCTCAGGCTTGGTTACACTGACGTCTGGAAGAGCAATGTCAACCTTGGGTGCGCTGATGTCCATATCGACTTTGGGACCTTTGATCTCTGATTTGGAGAAACCCATGCTCGGCATCTTGAACTTTGGCATGTGTATTTTCATCCCGCCACCATCAATGCTGCCTTCTGCATCAGGCTCCTTAACAGAGACCTCTGCCTGTGGAACTTCCACTTTTGCTTTGGGAAGGGAGATGTCTGCTTCAACCTTTGGCAGTGAGACTCCCACTTGAGGAGTCTTCAGCTTGGGAACTTTGACGCTTGGCATTTTGACATCAGGCATTTTGATTTTGCCCTTCTCAGAGACCTCCAACTCCACACTAGGTGCCTTCATTTCAGCTCCGGGCAATTTCACGTCAGTCTCGATGCCCACAGAGGGCAGGGTCACTTCCCCTTTCAGTTCTGGTTTGGAGATCTCCACTTCCACAGAAGGTAAGGTGATTTCTCCCTCTGCAGTGGCTTTCCCCTTGGGAAGTGACATTCCAAACTTGGGCATTTGGAATTTTGGCATCTTAAATTTACTGTCCGTGCCCTCCAGCGTCGCTTCAACTCCACCTAGAGTGACATGTGCCGATGGTGCCTCAACGTTTAGGTCTGGAGCCTTCAGTTCCAAGGAAGCCTCCCCCTTTGGAAACTGTACATCAGGTGCGGTGAACTTCATGTCTGCTGAAATGTCACCTGCTTTGATCTCAGGCTTGGTTACACTGACGTCTGGAAGAGCAATGTCAAACTTGGGGGCGCTGACATCCACATCGACTTTGGGACCTTTGATTTCTGGTTTGGAGAAAACCTATGCTGGGCATCTTGAACTTTGGCATGTGTATTTTCATCCCTCCACCCTCGATGCTGCCTTCTGCATCAGGCACTTTAACTGAGACCTCTGTCTCTGGAATTTCCACTTTTGCTTTGGGAACAGAGATGTCTCCCTCAGCCTTCGGCAGCGAGACTCCCACTTGAGGAGTCTTCAGCTCAGGGACCTTCATGCTTGGCATTTTGACGTCAGGCATTTTGAGTTTTCCCTTCTCAGAAACCTCCAACTCCACACTTGGAGCCTTCATTTCAGCTCCGGGCAATTTCACATCAGTCTCGATGCCCACAGAGGGCAGGGTCACTTCCCCTTTCAGTTCTGGTTTGGAAACATCCACTTCCACAGAAGGTAAGGTGATTTCTCCCTCTGCAACAGCTTTCCCCTTGGGAAGTGACATTCCGAACTTGGGCATATGGAATTTCGGCATCTTAAATTTACTGTCCGTTCCCTCCAGCTTCGCTTCAACTCCACCTAGAGCGAAATCCGCTGATGGTGCCTCAATCTTTAGGTCTGGAGCCTTCAGTTCCAAGGAAGCCTCCCCCTTTGGAAACTGTACATCAGGTGCGGTGAACTTCATGTCTGCTGAAATGTCACCTGCTTTGATCTCAGACTTGGTTACACTGACGTCTGGAAGAGCAATGTCAACCTTGGGTGCGCTGACGTCCACATCGACTTTGGGACCTTTGATCTCTGATTTGGAGAAACCCATGCTGGGCATCTTGAACTTTGGCATGTGTATTTTCATTCCGCCACCCTCAATGCTGCCTTCTGCATCAGGCACCTTAACAGAGACCTCTGCCTCTGGAATTTCCACTTTTGCTTTGGGAACAGAGATGTCTGCTTCAAGCTTGGGCAGTGAGACTACCTCCTGAGGAGTCTTCATTTTGGGAACCTTGGCGCTTGGCATTTTGACATCAGGCATTTTGATTTTGCCCTTCTCAGCGACCTCCAACTCCACACTAGGTGCCTTCATTTCAGATCCGGGGAACATTCACGTCAGTCTCGATGCCCACAGAGGGCAGGGTCACTTCCCCTTTCAGTTCTGGTTTGGAGATATCCACTTCCACAGAAGGTAAGCTGATTTCTCCCTCTGCAGTGGCTTTTCCCTTTGGAAGTGACATTCCAAACTTGGGCATTTGGAGTTTTGGCATCTTAAATTTACTGTCTGTCCCTCCAGCTTTGCTTCAATGCCACCTACATCAATATCAGCCGATGGTGCCTCAACCTTAAAGTCTGGAGCCTTCAGTTCCAAGGAAGCTTCCCCCCTTTGGAATCTTTATGTCAGGTGCTGTGAACTTCATGTCTGCTGAAATGTCACCTGCTTTGATCTCAGGCTTGGTTACACTGACATCTGGAAGAGCGATGTCAACCTTGGGTGAGCTGATGTCCACATCAACTTTGGGACCTTTGATTTCTGGTTTGGAGAAACCCATACTGGGCATCTTGAACTTTGGCATGTGTATTTTCATCCCTCCACTATCAATGCTTCCTTCTGCTTCAGGGACCTTAACAGAGACCTCTGCCTCTGGAATTTCCACTTTTGCTTTGGGAAGGGAGATGTCTGCTTCAACCTTTGGCAGTGAGACTCCCACTTGAGGAGTCTTCATTTTGGGAACCTTGACGCTTGGCATTTTGACATCAGGCATTTTGATTTTGCCCTTCTCAGCGACCTCCAACTCCACACTAGGTGCCTTCATTTCAGATCGGGGCAATTTCACATCAGTCTCGATGCCCACAGAGGGCAGGGTCACTTCCCCTTTCAGTTCTGGTTTGGAGATATCCACTTCCACAGAAGGTAAGCTGATTTCTCCCTCTGCAGTGGCTTTCCCTTTTGGAAGTGACATTCCAAACTTGGGCATTTGGAGTTTTGGCATCTTAAATTTACTGTCTGTGCCCTCCAGCTTTGCTTCAATGCCACCTACATCAATATCAGCCGATGGTGCCTCAACCTTAAAGTCTGGAGCCTTCAGTTCCAAGGAAGCTTCCCCCTTTGGAATCTTTATGTCAGGTGCAGAGAACTTGATATCTGCTGAAATGTCACCTGCTTTGATCTCAGGCTTGGTTACACTGACGTCCGGAAGAGCAATGTCAACCTTGGGTGCGCTGATGTCCATATCGACTTTGGGACCTTTGATTTCTGGTTTGGAGAAACCCATACTGGGCATCTTGAACTTTGGCATGTGCATTTTCATCCCTCCACTATCAGTGCTTCCTTCTGCTTCAGGGACCTTAACAGAGACCTCTGCCTCTGGAATTTCCACTTTTGCTTTGGGAAGGGAGATGTCTGCTTCAACCTTTGGCAGTGAGACTCCCACTTGAGGAGTCTTCATTTTGGGAACCTTGACGCTTGGCATTTTGACATCAGGCATTTTGATTTTGCCCTTCTCAGCGACCTCCAACTCCACACTAGGTGCCTTCATTTCAGATCGGGGCAATTTCACGTCAGTCTCGATGCCCACAGAGGGCAGGGTCACTTCCCCTTTCAGTTCTGGTTTGGAGATATCCACTTCCACAGAAGGTAAGCTGATTTCTCCCTCTGCAGTGGCTTTCCCTTTTGGAAGTGACATTCCAAACTTGGGCATTTGGAGTTTTGGCATCTTAAATTTACTGTCTGTGCCCTCCAGCTTTGCTTCAATGCCACCTACATCAATATCAGCCGATGGTGCCTCAACCTTAAAGTCTGGAGCCTTCAGTTCCAAGGAAGCTTCCCCCTTTGGAATCTTTATGTCAGGTGCTGTGAACTTCATGTCTGCTGAAATGTCACCTGCTTTGATTTCAGGCTTGGTTACACTGACATCTGGAAGAGCAATGTCAACCTTGGGTGCGCTGATGTCCATATCGACTTTGGGACCTTTGATTTCTGGTTTGGAGAAACCCATACTGGGCATCTTGAACTTTGGCATGTGTATTTTCATCCCTCCACTATCAATGCTTCCTTCTGCTTCAGGGACCTTAACAGAGACCTCTGCCTCTGGAATTTCCACTTTTGCTTTGGGAAGGGAGATGTCTGCTTCAACCTTTGGCAGTGAGACTCCCACTTGAGGAGTCCTCATTTTGGGAACCTTGACGCTTGGCATTTTGACATCAGGCATTTTGATTTTGCCCTTCTCAGCAACCTCCAACTCCACACTAGGTGCCTTCATTTCAGCTCCGGGGCAATTTCACATCAGTCTCGATGCCCACAGAGGGCAGGGTCACTTCCCCTTTCAGTTCTGGTTTGGAGATATCCACTTCCACAGAAGGTAAGCTGATTTCTCCGTCTGCAGTGGCTTTCCCTTTTGGAAGTGACATTCCAAACTTGGGCATTTGGAGTTTTGGCATCTTAAATTTACTGTCTGTGCCCTCCAGCTTTGCTTCAATGCCACCTACATCAATATCAGCCGATGGTGCCTCAACCTTAAAGTCTGGAGCCTTCAGTTCCAAGGAAGCTTCCCCCTTTGGAATCTTTATGTCAGGTGCTGTGAACTTCATGTCTGCTGAAATGTCACCTGCTTTGATTTCAGGCTTGGTTACACTGACATCTGGAAGAGCAATGTCAACCTTGGGTGCGCTGATGTCCATATCGACTTTGGGACCTTTGATTTCTGGTTTGGAGAAACCCATACTGGGCATCTTGAACTTTGGCATGTGTATTTTCATCCCGCCACCATCAATGCTGCCTTCTGCATCAGGCACCTTAACAGAGACATCTGCCTCTGGAATTTCCACTTTTGCTTTGGGAAGGGAGATGTCTGCTTCAACCTTTGGCAGTGAGACTCCCACCTGAGGGGTCCTCATTTTGGGAACCTTGACGCTTGGCATTTTGACATCAGGCATTTTGATTTTGCCCTTCTCAGCAACCTCCAACTCCACACTAGGTGCCTTCATTTCAGCTCCGGGCAATTTCACATCAGTCTCGATGCCCACAGAGGGCAGGGTCACTTCCCCTTTTCAGTTCTGGTTTGGAGATATCCACTTCCACAGAAGGTAAGCTGATTTCTCCCTCTGCAGTGGCTTTCCCTTTGGGAAGTGACTTTCCAAAATTGGGCATTTGGAGTTTTGGCATCTTAAATTTACTGTCGGTGCTCTCCAGCTTCGCTTCAACTCCACCTAGAGTGACATGTGCCGATGGTGCCTCAACGTTTAGGTCTGGAGCCTTCAGCTCCAAGGAAGCCGCTCCTTTTGGAAACTTCACGTCAGGTGCTGAAAGGGCTGATGTCTGGTGAAATGTCGCCTGCTTTGATCTCAGGCTTGGTTACACTGACGTCTGGAAGAGCAATGTCAACATTGGGTGCACTGATGTCCATATCGACTTTGGGACCTTTGATTTCTGGTTTTGGAGATACCCATACTGGGCATCTTGAACTTTGGCATGTGTATTTTCATTCCGCCACCTCGATGTTGCCTTCTGTATCAGGCACTTAACAGAGACCTCTGCCTCTGGAATTTCCACTTTTGCTTTGGGAAACAGAGATGTCTGCCCTCAACCTTGGGCAGTTGAGACTCCCACTTGAGGAGTCTTCATTTTGGGCATTTTGACACCAGGCATTTTGATTTGCCCTTCTTCAGCGACCTCCAACTCCACACTAGGTGCCTTCATTTCAGCTCCGGGCAATTTCACATCAGTCTCGATGCCCACAGAGGGCAGGGTCACTTCCCCTTTCAGTTTCTGGTTTGGAGATATCCACTTCCACAGAAGGTAAGCTGATTTCTCCCTCTCGCAGTGGCTTTCCCTTTTGGAAGTGACATTCCAAACTTGGGCATTTGGAGTTTTGGCATCTTAAATTTACTGTCCTGTGCCCTCCAGCTTTGCTTCAATGCCACCTACATCAATATCAGCCGATGGTGCCTCAACCTTAAAGTCTGGAGCCTTCAGTTCCAAGGAAGCCTCCCCCTTTGGAATCTTTATGTCAGGTGCTGTGAACTTCATGTCTCTGAAATGTCACCTGCTTTGATCTCAGGCTTGGTTACACTGACGTCTGGAAGAGCAATGTCAGCCTTGGGTGCGCTGATGTCCATATCGACTTTGGGACCTTTTGATTTCTGGTTTGGAGAAACCCATACTGGGCATCTTGAACTTTGGCATGTGTATTTTCATCCCGCCACCATCAATGCTGCCTTCTGCATCAGGCACCTTAACAGAGACCTCTACCTCTGGAATTTCCACTTTTGCTTTGGGAATAGAGATGTCTGCCTCAACCTCTGGCAGTGAGACTCCCACTTGAGGAGTCTTCATTTTGGGAACCTTGACGCTTGGCATTTTGACATCAGGCATTTTGATTTTGCCCTTCTCAGCAACCTCCAACTGCACACTAGGTGCCTTCATTTCAGCTTCAGGCAATTTCACGTCAGTCTCAATGCCCACAGAGGGCAGGGTCACTTCCCCTTTCAGTTCTGGTTTGGAGATATCCACTTCCACAGAAGGTAAGCTGATTTCTCCCTCTGCAGTGGCTTTCCCTGTGGAAGGTGACATTCCAAACTTGGGCATTTGAAATTTTGGCATCTTAAATTTACTGCCCGTACCCTCCAGCTTAGCTTCAATGCCACCTACATCAATATCAGCCGATGGTGCCTCAACCTTCAAGTCTGGAGCCTTCAGTTCCAAGGAAGCTTCTCCCTTTGGAATCTTCACGTCGGGTGCTGTGAACTTGATATCTGCTGAAATGTCACCTGCTTTGATCTCAGGCTTGGTTACACTGACGTCTGGAAGAGCGATGTCAACCTTGGGTGAGCTGACGTCCACATCAACTTTGGGACCTTTGATTTCTGGTTTGGAGAAACCCATACTGGGCATCTTGAACTTTGGCATGTGTATTTTCATCCCGCCACCATCAATGCTACCTTCTGCATCAGGCACCTTAACAGAGACCTCTGTTTCTGGAATTTCCACTTTTGCTTTGGGAACAGAGATGTCTCCCTCAGTGTTTGGCAGCGATACTCCCACTTGAGGAGTCTTCATTTTGGGAACCTTGACGCTTGGCATTTTGACATCAGGCATTTTTATTTTGCCCTTCTCAGCGGCCTCCAACTCCACACTAGGTGCCTTCATTTTAGCTCCGGGCAATTTCACATCAGTCTCGATGCCCACAGAGGGCAGGGTCACTTCCCCTTTCAGTTCTGGTTTGGAAACATCCACTTCCGCAGAAGGTAAGGTGATTTCTCCCTCTGCAACAGCTTTCCCCTTGGGAACTGACATTCCAAAACTGGGCATATGGAATTTGGGCAGGCTTAAATTACTGTCTGTAGCCCTACAGCAGTTCGCTAATCAATGGCCACCTCACATCCAATATACAGCCGATAGGTAGCCTCAAGAATTATAGGCTCTGGCAAGCCTTCAGTTCCAAGGAAGCCTCCCCCTTGCGAATCTTTATTGTCAGGGTGCTGTGAATTTCAATGTCTGCTGAAAATGTCACTGACCGTCCGGAAAGGAGCGAATGGTCCAACCTTGGGTGCCCGCTGATGGTCCACATCGACTTTGGGACGCTTTGATTTCTGGTTTTGGGAGAAACCCATACTGCGGCATCATTGAAACTTTGGCATGTGTCATTTGTCATATCCGCCCACCCTCGCATGCTTCCTTCTGCTTCAGGACCGTTACACAGAGACCCTCGGCTCTGGAATTCCACTTTTTGCCTTTGGGAACCAGAGATGGCTCCTGCTTCAACCTTTGGCAGTGAGACTCCCACTTGAGGAGTCTTCATTTTGGAAAACCTGACGCTGGGCATTTTAACAATCCAGGCATTTTGATTTTGCCCTTCTTCAGAGACCTCCAACTCCCACACTAGGTGCCTTTCATTTCAGCTTCAGGGCAAATTTCACGTCAGTCTCGATGGCCACAAGATGGCAGGGTCACTTCCCGCTTTCAGTTCTGGTTTGGAGATATCCACTTCCATAGAAAGGTAAGGTGATTTCTCCCTCTGCAGCGGCCTTCCCTTTGTGAAGTGACATTCCAAACTTGGGCATTTGGAATTTTGGCTATCTTTAAATTTACTGTCCGTACCCTCCAGCTTTGCTTCAACTCCGCCTAGAATGACATCTGCTGATGGTGCCTCAACCTCAAAGGTCTGGAGCCTTCCAGTTAACTCAAGGAAGCCTCCCCCTTTGGAATCTTATGTCAGGTGCTGTGAACTTCATGTCTGCTGAAATGTTCACCTGCTTTTGATCTCAGGCTTGGTTACACTGACGTCCGGAAGAGCAATGTCAACCTTGGGTGCGCTGATGTCCACATCGAACTTTGGGACCTTTGATTTCTGGTTTGGAGAAACCCATACTCGGCATCTTGAACTTTGGCATCGTGTATTTTCATTCCGCCACCCTCGATGCTTCCTTCTGCATCAGGCACCTTAAACAGAGACCTCTGCCTCTGAATTTCCACTTTTGCTTTCGGAACAGAGATGTCTGCTTCAACCTTGGGCAGTGAGACTCCCATTTGAGGAGGTTTATTTTTTGGGACCTTGACGCTTGGCATTTTGACATCAGGTGTTTTGATTTTGCCCTTCTCAGAGACCTCCAAACTCAACGCTAGGTCACGCTTCATTTCAGCTCCAGGCAATTTCACGTCAGTCTCGATGCCACAGAGGGCAGGGTCACTTCCCCTTTCAGTTCTGGTTTGGAGATATCCACTTCCACAGAAGGTAAGGTGATTCTCCTCTGCAGCGAGTTTTCTCCTTGGGAAGTGACATTCCAAACTTGGGCATTTGGAATTTTCTGGCATCGTAAATTTATTGTCGGTGGCCCTCCAGTCATTAGCGTTTCAACTCCAACCTCACAGCAATATCAGCCGATTGTGCCTCAACCTTTAAGTCTGGAGCCTTCATTTCTGTTCCAAATTTTGGCATTTGGAATTTTGGCATTTTAAACGTAGTGTCCATGCCCTCTTTCTTAATCTCAGCAGCACCCAGAGACATATCAGTTGATGGTGTCTCTAGTTGTATGTGTGGAGTTTTAAGTTCCAAAGAAGCTTTGGCTGTCGGCATACGTATGTCAGGTGTTGCTATCATGACGTTTGAATCTTCTTCATTTTGATTAATTACTCCTCGGATGCCATCCATGTCTTTTTTTCCTTTTTCTGTTTGTTCGTTGTCCATTTGTAATTTTGTATACATTTTTTCTGTGGATCCCTTTTGCTTCTTTTTTCGTTGTTTTGGTGGTGTTATCGGTTTTATTTGTACATCTTGTATTTCACCTGTTTGCAATATAGGTTTTGTTATCTGTGTTGTTATCACTGTCGTTTCTGATTTTTTTGTGATGGCTTTGGATTTTGATTTCTTTTGTTTTGTTTTTTTAATTGTTAATTCAACTTCAGGGTAATTACCTGTTATGGTATGGCAGTTCCAATTTTGTTTCCTTAGCATCTTTTCTGTGTTCCTGATTTCTTCCAGTTTTTTCTCTTTAGCCATGAAGCTTAGAATATTGCACTGTTATTAATTCTGGGATTTCCTGCGCAGTATCATTTTCATAGTCTGTGAGAGGTTTGACTTCGTATTTTGTCCTCTCCTCTGGTTCTTGTTTAGTTCTGTGCATCTTGAATCCAATACTGGGGAATCTTAGTTTCTTTTGACTTCCTCTTTTAACTTTGCGTGAATTTCTTCTGGCTGAAATTGTGATTCTGTGTCTGTGCTTGTTGGGGATATATCGGGAATCGCATGTTCGTATGCATCTGACGTGCTACGAGATCTCCTTTGCCCCAGTATCTTTTTACCTTTTAATGACTGGAATTTTGGCCAGGAAAGTCTGTCCTTCTTGGATCTTTTTGGTCTTCCAACTCTTTGTTTTACAATTAAGTCTGCTTTATCTTCTTCTGTGAATGTCTTTCTGATGTTTCCGGTGCTTCCTTCCCCTGAGAAATACAATTTCCAAAATAAATGGTTGTAGTACTTATTACGTATGTATTTAATCCCCACCCCTTTGCATCTTCAAAATTGTTGAAAGCAATGTACATCAGAATGTTTAAATAAATAAATAGCAACAAGAAACCCAAAACGTTAAAACATACTAAATTAACAGAGAGACTTTGGCTGTGTACACATTACCAGCTTAAAACACAGTGGGATAATTTCCCTCTGCTTCATTTCAAATCACATTTGGACATCATCGGACACATCAGCATGGTTGGGTGTATTTCCCTTCAATAATAATAATAATTTTTATTAAAGCTTTTTCATAATAAAGGTAAAAGATAAAGGGACCCCTGACCATTAGGTCCAGTCGTGACCGACTCTGGTGTTGCGGCGCTCATCTCACTTTATTGGCTGAGGGAGCCGACATACAGCTTCCGGGTCATGTGGCCAGCATGACTAAGCCGCTTCTGGTGAACCAGAGCAGCGCACAGAAATGCCGTTTACCTTCCCGCCAGAGCAGTTCCTATTTATCTACTTGCACTTTTGACGTGCTTTCGAACTGCTAGGTTGGCAGGAGCTGGGACCAAGCAACGGAAGCTCACCCCGTCGCAGGGATTCGAACCACCGACCTTCTGATCGGCGAGTCCTAGGCTCTGTGGTTTAACCCACCGCGCCACCCGCATCCCTTTTTTTCATAATACAATGAGATAAAAGGTTGGATGTTTTTCCAAGTCTCCTATTGCCTGCCCACATCAGTGAGTGGAGAGGGGCATGGATGTCATCATATGGCTTACATTTTCAAATCAGACTGAAGCTGGTTAGGCAGAAAACACATTAAAATGCAGTATTTCTCAGGGAACTACAGGACAGATGTGACTTGTAGCCAACGTTGTGCATGCACGGCTTCACAAACCAGTGCTGGGAGGTCGCTGGAAGCAGAGCAAACAGGAGTGTGCACGAGTCTCCAAAACAACTGATTCACATTCCATAAAAGCCTCATGCTTCCGGGAATGTGAAAAGGTAAAGGGACCCCTGACCATTAGGTCCCTCTAGCAATTCAAGGTGACAAACACTTGCTGAAAAATATCATGTAGATAATACAACTTACTCAATTTTGCAGTCTTTTCCCATTCCCCAGTGATGTACCCCTCCTGAAACCTAGATGCAATGTCCCTAGCCGCTACGACACAGTGTGAAGCTGTTAATAAGTGAAGGTGTACTCCCTTGTGAAAATTAATTGAAACAAAGCATGTTTTCTATCTTACTCGTAATCCTGTACTCAAAACAAACACGAAAAATGAGTTGGTCATAATGGTGTCGGAAGCCTACAGCCAATAGAAGGAATAATGTGCTCGCCACAATATACTGAGGTTCTACGAAAGAGAGTTATTGCAGAGCTGGAAAAAAACGTATCCTGATGGTACTGGGATATTGCAGCAGGACCTAGCCCCCTGTTACACATTGAAAGTGGTGAAGAAATTCATGACAGAGCAGCAAATACAGGTACTTGATTGGCCAGGGAATTCCCCGGATGTAAATCCCATTGAGAACTTGTGGGCTATATGCAAAAGTCGCCTCCGTGCTGTAGACTGTACGACTATGGAGAAGCTCATTCAGGCGCTGATTCAAGTGTGGTGTTGTTGTTGTTGTTTAGTCGTTTAGTCGTGTCCGACTCTTCGTGACCCCATGGACCAGAGCACGCCAGGCACCTCTGTCCTCCACTACCTCCCGCAGTTTGGTCAAACTCATGCTGGTAACCTCGAGAACACTGTCCAACCATCTCGTCCTCTGTCGTCCCTTCTCCTTGTGCCCTCCATCTTTCCCAGCATCAGTGTCTTCTCAGGTCTGATTTCCTTAAGAATGGATGCATTTGATCTTCTTGCCGTCCATGGGACTCTCAAGAGTCTTCTCCAGCACCATAATTCAAAAGCATCAATTCTTTGGCGATCAGCCTTCTTTATGGTCCAGCTCTCACTTCCATACATCACTACTGGGAAGACCATGGCTTTAACTATACGGACCTTTGTTGGCAAGGTGACATCTCTACTTCTCAAGATGCTGTCTAGGCCTGTCATTGCCCTTCTCCCAAGAAGCAGGCGTCTTTTAATTTCGTGGCTGCTGTCACCATCTGCAGTGATCATGGAGCCCAAGAAAGTAAAATCTCTCACTGCCTCCATTTCTTCCCCTTCTATTTGCCAGGAGGTGATGGGACCAGTGGCCATGATCTTCGTTTTTTTGATGTTGAGCTTCAGACCATATTTTGCGCTCTCCTCTTTCACCCTCATTAAAAGGTTCTTTAATTCCTCCTCACTTTCTGCCATCAAGGTTGTGTCATCTGCATATCTGAGGTTGTTGATATTTCT